TTCACCCTTTGCCTTGGTAATTTCCGTCGCCCGCTCTCGCCCTTCCAGGTGCGAGACTGGTACGTGGACTCGTTCAAGGACATCTCCCAGTTTCCGGCCATTGAGAACGCCAGAGAAGAGATGCGCTTCACAGAGCTCCTAGATCAGGTGAGCGAAAAAAGCCGCCGTCGAGCTGTTGATATATTGCACACGAGCACGACAGGCAGCGTGCGAGGATGAGAGGGAGGCGGAGCTGCTGGAGCAGGGGAGGACTAGGCGAGGAGTACCTTGAGATGATCAAGCAGACGAGCAGGTGGTGGTTGCAGGGCACGGGCTAGCAGAGCATGGATAGCAGAGGTGAACATTGTATGTAGCGCCGTTGACTTGCATTACCTTCTGTGCTTGATTCTCATAGACTTCCATTGACTTGCGTTGACCAGGTGCGGATGCGGCACAACAACGTGATGCCGACGGTGGCGATGGGAGTGAGCGAGCTGAAGAGGGACATGGTGGCGGGCAGCACGAGGCAGGGGCTCGACAGCATGCCCGAAATCCACCAGTTCCTGGTCAGTCAGTCGCCTGCTGCTGCAGCCGCCGCCGCTGCTGCTGCTGCTGCTGCCGCTGCTGCTCGTGATGGTGATGGAGCTCTGTTGCTGCTGCAGCTGCTATTTGTCCTTGTCATAGCATCTTTTTCTGTGGCTTTCCCATTGTCCTGTGATGTTTGCTGTCAGTTGATCCACTGGCACGGTGCAAATCTGTCTGGTGCTTCCTAACCTGCTTGTGCCTTTCATCAATCTGCCCATCTGTGCCGTGTGTGCTCAGGATCGCTTCTACATGTCGCGGATAGGCATTCGTATGCTCATTGGCCAACACGTCGCGCTTCATAAACCGTCGCCGCCGCCTCACTATATAGGGTATGCCGCCCTATGATATTTTTTCCGGGTTCTTCTTCCTCCTGCATACTTTCTCGTCCCTGTCCCGGGCTATCAGCAGTGTAGTGGCATGCAGTATCAGAGCCCCTCGCCCCCTCTTCCCCTCAACCCTCGTCTCCTCTCCCACAACCACCACCACCCCACCGTCCCCACACCCATTTCCCCCACATCCCCCATTTTGCCCAACCTTTCGCGTCCCAGACTGATCAGCACCAAGGTATATATCCCTGCTCTTCCCCCTTTCCCACACACCATCTCCCTTTTTCTCTCATTGAAGCCCTAGCCGTTCCTCCTTACCCTCCTCCCCCCACTTCTCCCCTTTGCTTTCCCTTCCAGTCTGATCTGCACCAAGGTGTCGCCAGTGGAGGTGGCACGGAACGCAGTGGACGATGCGCGGTCAGCATGCATGCGCACATACGGCTCTGCCCCTGACGTGCACATCTATGGCGACCCTGACCTCAGATTCGCGTACGCACTTGCACATATCCACCTGCACACGTGCACACATATCCACCTGCACACGTGCACACATGCGCACACCTGTCAACCCTCGCTCACTCATGCCCACGGCCAGCATGCATGCGCACATACGGCTCTGCACCCGACGTGCACATCTGTGGCGACCCTGACCTCGGATTCTCTGCAGTCCCCTTGCCCTGCTGTGCCGTGCTGTAACATGCCATGGCATGCCGTGTCATGCCGTGCCGTGCTGTATGTACGGCTCTGCCCCCGACGTGCACATGTATGGCCACCCTCACCTCAGATTCGCATCCGTTACTCTGCTTGTAAGTGCCTTGCCCGTGCGGTGATGTTACGTGACGGCCCATCTGCGCCAGGTGCTGTTTCAGCTCGTGGCCACAGATATCACATAGGTAACTGTTACCAATTCCCACCAATCTCCCTGCCACCTCTCTCCCTGTCACTCCACAGGTACGTGCCGGCCCATCTGCACCAGATGCTGTTTGAGCTGGTGAAGAACTCGCTGCGCGCCGTGCAGGAGTTCATGCTCTCAATCCCCCATCCCATTTCCTCCCACCCCACCCATCCGCACCCCTTTGCATTGCAGGTACGTGCCAGCCCATCTGCACCAGATGCTGTTTGAGCTGGTGAAGAACTCGCTGCGCGCCGTGCAGGAGTTCATGCTCTCAATCCCCCATCCCATTTCCTCCCACCCCACCCATCCGCACCCCTTTGCACTGCAGGTACGTGCCGGCCCATCTGCACCAGATGCTGTTTGAGCTGGTGAAGAACTCGCTGCGCGCCGTGCAGGAGTTCATGCTCTCAATCCCCCATCCCATTTCCTCCCACCCCACCCATCCGCACCCCTTTGCATTGCAGGTACGTGCCAGCCCATCTGCACCAGATGCTGTTTGAGCTGGTGAAGAACTCGCTGCGCGCCGTGCAGGAGTTCATGCTCTCAATCCCCCATCCCATTTCCTCCCACCCCACCCATCCGCACCCCTTTGCACTGCAGGTACGTGCCGGCCCATCTGCACCAGATGCTGTTTGAGCTGGTGAAGAACTCGCTGCGTGCCGTGCAGGAGAGGTTCGCTGATGCTGACCATGACCCGCCGCCCATCCGCCTGATTGTGGCTGATGGCATGGAGGATGTCACCATCAAGGTGCGTGTTTACTTGAATAAGTGGTAATACCAAGGCGCGTGGAGGGTTTGCAGTACCAAGGTGGAAGGAGGAGAGAGGATTAAGGTGCATTGTGACCATGACCCGCCGCCCATCCGCCTGATTGTGGCTGATGGCATGGAGGATGTCACCATCAAGGTTCGTGGAGGATGGCATAACTGATGTGGGTGGAGGTGTGGGTTTGTGAATGTTAATTGTGCGTACCATAACCCCTCCACTCCCCTTCCCTCTCTCTTCCTCTTCCTACCAATACAGATCTCGGCTGAGGGTGGGGGCATCCCACGCAGTTGCCTGCCCAAGATCTGGACGTACCTCTACACCACGGCCCACTCGCCCCTTACCACCCCTTGACACCACTTGCCACCCCTCCCCATCTTGCAGATCTCGGATGAGGGTGGGGGAATTCCGCGCAGTGGGCTACCAAAGATCTGGACATACCTTTACACCACGGCCCACTCGCCCATCGCTGCTGCCAACCAGCTGCACGAGATGCCCACCGTCATGTACGCCACCCCTTGCCACCCCTTTCCACCCCTTGCCTCTCCTTGTCACCCTTTGCCAAATCTTGCCATTCCTCGCCACCCCTTGCCACCACTTGCCACCGCTGTTTGAAACTCTTACTCATTCCACTTGAACTCATTACGGTTGCCCCCTTGTGCGCCCCTTGTATTGTACCCATCGTTAATATGTGGAGCAGGGCGGGGTATGGGTACGGGCTGCCCATCAGTCGGCTGTATGCGCGCTACTTTGGAGGCGACCTGCAGGTGGTGTCCATGGAGGGCTATGGCACTGACGTGTATCTGCACCTCAACCGCCTTCGGAACGTGCAGGAGCCTCTGCCTTAGTGACGCCACTGCCTTAGTGACGCCACTGCCTTAGTGACGCCACTGCCTTAGTCATGCCACTGCCTTAGTGCTGCCACTTCATGCCCCTCCACGTCTCTCCAAGGTAGTTCAAGCCTTTCCATGAACATCGCCGCTCACATGTATCACCACCGCCGCCCACCTGACCGCGCCGCCCACCTGGACCGCCACCTCCGGCCACATGGACCCCCACCACTGCCCACCTTGACCGCCATCACTGCCCACCTTGACCGCCATCACTGCCCACCTGGACCGCCATCATTGCCCACCTGGAATGCCATCATTGCCCACCTGGAATGCCATCATTGCCCACCTGGACTGCCATCATTGCCCACCTGGACCGCCATCACTGCCATCTCCTCGATGCCATCATCCCCACCCACCACACCGCCCTACCTTGAAGCAGCAGCATAGCCACCGTAACCTTCGCACCCCTCTCTCCATGGAGCAGCCATTGTTAATTATAAATAAGGCTGCACAACTAGCGCCACCCACCCACCCAACCCAACCCCTGTCCCTTTCAATTTTGATGCTGTGGGGTTATGCTACATACCATATGCAATGCTTTCTCCACTCCACCATTGCCGTCATGGTTCCGGCATAGGCCACCTCCCCTCATCCTTGTAAGATTTTCCTAGCTTGATGGTAGTTGCCTTAATGCTTGGATCTACCATCTCTTCATTTCTCAAACCTACTTCCCCTACTGGTTCGGTTGGCTAGCTAGCTGCTTGTTACCCTGTCTACAATGCAGCTCCTTATGCAAGCTAGTAGCAACATTTCTTGTACAAATGGAAACCAGTTCAGGTTGTTTGCACATAATCCTACAAAATACGCGTTGTCGGCTTGATTGTTACGCCTTGGAGAAAAAGGAGGGTCTGTCTACTGGTGTTGCATGAAGCATGCCTACCCAGGTGTTGCATGAAGCATACCTACCCAGGTGTTGCATGAAGCATACCTACCCAGGTGTTGCATGACGCATACCTACCCAAGATATCCGTATATGAATGTTTGGATGACTTCAGTAGCTTCAAGCTTTCAATTTCAAAAACCAGGATAAGCAAGCAAGCACTCCCCTCCCACTCCTCTGATGGTTTGAACAGCCTAGAAGCCACTGTAAGCAGTTGGGCCTCATCAATCGGGGTAATCATCAGCCCATCTATGGCCTTCCCACCTCCCGCCACCACGCCACCCGCCACCCAAGCATACGTGCAGGTTAATGCTGCTCGGACGGCAAAACCTAGTACCGCCAGCAGCTGGGTTTCCTCAATGGGAGTGGTCAGGTCATCAGCCCATCCATGCCCACCTCCCACCACCCTAAGCATGCACCACCATGCTGTGACCTTAATGCTCCTGCTCTGCTGGCTTGAACAGCCTAGAAGCCACCGTCAGCAGCTGGGCCTCATCAATGGGAGTGGTCAAGAGCCCATCCATGCCCACATCGCGCCACCGCGCCACCATCTCAGGGTGCATGTCCGACACCAGCCCCAGAATCGGCACGCGGATTCTCTGCAGGCGAACCTTGTCAATCAACCAAGTCAATCAACCACCTTTCAGCATCTTGAATTGTGTGCCTCTGTGAGTCCTGTCTAGTGCTGCTCTGATGGCTTGAACAGCCTGGAAGCCACTGTCAGCAGCTGGGCTTCATCAATGGGAGTAGTGAGCAACCCATCCATGCCCACATCGCGCCACCGCGCCACCATCTCAGGGTGCATGTCTGACACCAACCCCAGGATCGGCACGCGGATTCTCTGCGCTGACGTGGCGCCCCACCGTTGGACCTCCGCCTTGTTGTGCTCCGCCTCCCGGCGCCGCACCTCCTCCGTGAATTCAAAGCTGCGGGGGAACGGGGGGGGAGGGGAGATCGGGGGGGAATTGGTTTTTGGGAGTGTTCAATGATTCGGGTTAGGACCCACCGTTGGACCTCTGCCCTGTTGTGCTCACCCTCCGGCGCCGCACCTCCTCCGTGAACTCAAAGCTGCGGGGGTTGAGGGAAGGTTTGTTGTTTGGGAGGGTTCATGGATGTAAAGGTGAAAGAGAGATCTGGGTGTGTGTGCCGCCTTGTTGTGCTCAGCCTCCCGACGCCACACCACCTCGGTGGATTCAAACCTGGAAGGGGGAGAAGGGGTGGGAGCGGGAGGGTGGGTGAGAGTGTTGAGGAATGCGGAGGTGAAGGAGAGGTGTGAATGCGTGTGTGGACTTGTGTGTGCACGTGTTGTTTCGCCTTGTTGTGCTTGGCCCGTTGATACCTCAGTGATACACTCCACCCCACCCGAACCCAACACACTCCACTCCACCCTAGCCGACTGCACCCCACCCCACCCCACACCACCAGTCAGCAACACTCACCCAGGCATGTCAGCGAGTCGGATATTAACGAGGATGAGCTGGAAGGAGTGTGGCAGCGGCGTGAGCCGCGAGAGGGCCTCCACTGAGCTGTCAACGGCCACCACCACGTCAGCAAAGTGTGAAACCAGCTCAGCAGCCGCCTTGCGCGTGATGTAATGGTGGTCTACCACCAACACCCGCTTCCCCTTGAGGCACAGCCGCAGCAGCAGCTGCCTGCGCCTGGTGGCCAGTGCTGTTGTCTCTCGTGGGTTCAGCCCGAGTGCCTTTGTGAAAGGTTAGGAGAGAGGGAAAGAAGTAGAGGTGAACGCAGGAAGGAAAATCCGGAGGGGCAGGGGATTAGAAAAGGTTGTAGGGAAGAGGGCGAAATGAGGGGAGTGATGTAGTGGTGGTCTACCACCAGGACTCGCTTGCCCTTGAGGCACAGCCACAACCGTCGCTGCAGCAGCAGCTGTAGGGCGGGAGGAAGAAAGGAGAGGGGCGAAATGAGGGGAGTGATGTAGTGGTGGTCGACCACCAGGACTCGCTTTCCCTTGAGGCACAGCCGCAGCAGCAGCTGCCTTCGCCTGGTGGCCAGCGCTGTTGTCTCCTGGGGGTTCAGCCCGAGCGCCTACGGGGGAGAGGGAGGGAGGAGATGGTAGGAGAGAGGAGGGAGAGGGTAGGTAGGAGGAGAAAGATGGAGGATGAGGGGTAGGTGGGAGACAGGAAATGCAGGAGCAGCCATGCACCATGCGCCATGTACCATGCGCCATGTACCATGTGTCATGTACCATGTGTCATGTACCATGTGTCATGTACCGTGTGCCATGTACCATGTGCCATGTACCATGTACCATGTGACAGTGCCATATGCATACCTGCAGGAGGAGCCATGGCCATAGTGGTGGCTCTAAGCGGATTGAGAATGATTCATGCATGAAATGTCGGGACGGGCAGACTTTCTCCCCTTAGCACCAGCCATACCTGCAGGAGCGCGGTGGCCATGGTGGCAGCTCGCAGGGGCTTGAGCATGATGCATGAAAATCCGTGCCTCGCTGCCTCTGCCTCCAAGTCGTCGTTTGTCGTCTGGTTCAGCACGGTGCAGAGCGGTGAAAGGGACGGGGAAGAGGGGAGAGGAGGACGATATGTAAACAAATACGAGGATGAATGAGTTACTGGGAATGAGGGCAAATGGGTGATTTGTTGAGTTCATGGATACAGTGAAGAATGGGCTCCACATGGATGGATGGATGGGTAAAAGGGAGCACCCGAGTGAGCAGCAGTAGCTTGGGCATGATGCAAGTGACACACTTCCCCTTTCCCCCTTTCCCCCTTCGCGTGACATTGTAACGAGCTGACTACTGAGTCGACTCAGAAGTGAGCAGCAGTAGCTTGGGCACGATGGGTGACACATTCCCCCTTTCCCCCTTCGCACCTTCCCTCCTTCCCCTTCCCCTTACACCCCTCCCTCCCCCCCCCTTACCTGAGTGAGTAGCAGCAGCTTGGGCACGATAGGAGTGGCCTCCCACGCCTCCCTCAACTCCTTGAGTTGCTGCACCATGCGCCCCAGCTCTATCCCCGTGCCCGGCCCATTGAGCTCAGATTTCTTGGAAGCAAGTGATTGAACCCCCCTCCTCCCTCCCCCTTACCTGAGTGAGCAGCAGCAGCAGCTTGGGCACGATAGGAGTGGTCTCCCACGCCTCTCTCAGCTCCTTCAGTTGCTGCACCATGCGCCCCAGCTCTATCCCCGTGCCCGGCCCGTCCCCGACTTGAGCGCTACGAAAACACCATCCTTTTTTAACCTCTCTCGTCTCTTACCTGAGTGAGCAGCAGCAGTTTAGGCACAATAGGAGTTGCCTCCCACGCCTCTCTCAGCTCCTTCAGTTGCTGCACCATGCGCCCCAGCTCTATCCCCGTGCCCGGCCCGTCCGCATCTGCATCCACCACCACCATGTCCCACCGGCTCTTGCGATTCACCAGGCCCTGGCCTGTGACGAGTGGAATGAAGGGACGGGGAGGGATACGTGAGTGAGTGTCTGTGATTCGTCTCCGTCTGCATCTGCATCCACCACCACCATGTCCCACCGGCTCTTGCTGTTCACCAGGCCTTGGCCTGCGCGTTTCAGGACGAATGGAAATTAAGGAAGGGTGTGTGAGTGAGTGAGTGAGTGCTGCTTGGCCCGTCCGCATCTGCATCCACCACCTACATGTCCCACCGGCTCTTTCTGTTCACTAGGCCCTGGCCTGTGTGTGTGCATGGGGGGCATGGAGGGATGGTGAGTGGGTGAAGTGAGCAGGTAAGGGTGCTTGAGTGACTAGGTGGCAGCAGCAACTAGGTTTCACGCTTAAACAATCCACCCGTCAGTCACCCACCTGGGAGGTGCCGGGAGTGTCTGAGCGCCAGGGCAGCAGCAGCAGGGACGCTGTCCGAAAGATCCACTTGAAGGCCCATGCGAGCCAGGTACATGGCAGTGCCAGGGCAGCCACAGGGATGATTCACAGTCACCCACCTGGTAGATGCCGGGAGTGCCTGAGTGCCAGGGCAGCAGCAGGGACGCTTCAAGATTCACTTGAAGGCCCATGCGAGCCAGGTACATGGCAGTGCCAGGGCAGCAATAGGGATGACTCACAGTCACCCACCTGGTAGATGCCGGGAGTGCCTGAGTGCCAGGGCAGCAGCAGGGACGCTTCAAGATTCACTTGAAGGCCCATGCGAGCCAGGTACATGGCAGTGCCAGGGCAGCCACAGGGATGATTCACAGTCACCCACCTGGTAGATGCCGGGAGTGCCTGAGTGCCAGGGCAGCAGCAGGGACGCTTCAAGATTCACTTGAAGGCCCATGCGAGCCAGGTACATGGCAGTGCCAGGGCAGCAATAGGGATGACTCACAGTCACCCACCTGGTAGATGCCGGGAGTGCCTGAGTGCCAGGGCAGCAGCAGGGACGCTTCAAGATTCACTTGAAGGCCCATGCGAGCCAGGTACATGGCAGTGCCAGGGCAGCAATAGGGATGACTCACAGTCACCCACCTGGTAGATGCCGGGGAAGTGCCTGAGTGCCAGCGCAGCAGCAGGGACGCTGTCAGAGAGGTCAACTCGGAGGCCCATGCGGGCCAGGTACGTGGCAGTCACCTGCTGCCTCACATGCTGGTCCAAACCAAACCAAATGCTGCTCGCACCCTATTGCCCTGCCCTGTGTCTATGGATCACCCACCTGGGAGGTGCCTTGAGTGTCGCAGTGCCAGCGCAGCAGCAGGGACGCTGTCAGAGAGGTCAACTCGGAGGCCCATGCGGGCCAGGTACGTGGCAGTCACCTGCTGCCTCACCGGCCGCCCATCCACCACCAGACACCGCATCCCCCGCAGCTTCGCCCTCAGCCCCGCACACTCCGCGTGCTGATCGTCCCCTATCGCCCCGTACCCTATGTGAAACACCCGCGGCACTGCCCCCCCTGCCACTGCTGCCGCTCCTCCTCCTCCTGCTACTGCTCCGACCCCTCCAGCTGAGCCTCCGCTGCTGCCGCCAGTGCCAGGGGAGGGGGCACCTGGGGGAGGCTGGTCCAGGAGGACGTCGAAGGTGACGGTGGTGCCGGTGCTGACGCGCGTGGATAGCGACATTTGTCCTGACATGGAGTTCACGAGCCTGAGGGGATAAATGGAAAGGGCGGGGAGGAGCGGGAACAGGAGGGGGCAAGAGAAGGGGGGAGATGGGGGAGGGGGAGAGGGAAAGGGAGGGGGGGTGACTGTGTCCTGGCTTCATGTGGACCGGCTCGAACGGCCGAAGCAGCACGGCAGTGTACATACAAAAAAGGCAAACAGACAGAAAGAGAGATAGACAGGCAGACTACCGCTCACCTCTCAGCGAAGCACAGCAGCAGCGGCACGCCCGCGTACTTCTGCTGCAGCTTCATGTGAACCGCCTCAAACGGCCGCTCCCTCGCTGCCAGCACCTCCCCCGGCAGCCTCGCCCCCGTGTCCTCCAAAGAAAACACCAGCCGGATGCCCCTCCCCTCCCATGCTTCACTCACCTCCCGGTAAAGCCCAGCGGCAGGGGCAGCAGCAGCAGCGGCAGCAGCAGCAGTGTATGTACAGACGGACAGACAGACGCGTTACTCACCTCTCAGCAAAGCAGAGCAGCAGCGGCACGCCCGCGTACTTCTGCTGCAGCTTCATGTGAACCGCCTCAAACGGCCGCTCCCTCGCTGCCAGCACCTCCCCCGGTAGCCCCGCCCCCGTGTCCTCCAGACTAAACACCAGCCGGATGCCCCTCCTCCTCCTGTCCGCCGCTGCCCTTGCCCCGGTTCCAGATGCACCCCCAGCAGTAGCAGCAGCAGCAGAACCACCACCGCCACTGCCGCTGCCAGAAGCAGCTACAGCCGCAGGAGCAGAAGCAGTCCCAGCAGCAGTCCCAGCAGCGCCACCAGAGGGTGATTTTTTTAGTCGGTTCTCCTGCTGCTTCAGCATCTCACAGACGGCAGGCCAGCTGTTGCTGCCGTCCACTGCTGGTAACCCGCTCAGAGTCAGGTGCTCGCCCTTCATGAGAGACGTTTTGCCCCGTGCTGCCCTCTCCTTCTCCTCCTCTCCTCCATCCCCCCCTTCCCCTGCTGCTGCTCCTCCTCCTGCTGCTCCTGATCCTGCCACTGTTGCTGCTGCTGCTGCTGCTGCTGCTGCTGCTGCTGCTGCTGGTTTGTGGGGAGCGTCGAAGGCAACACGCACACAGAGGAAGATGTGGCCCCGATCGGTGAGGCGGACAGCAACAGTGAAGAGGTTGAGAAGAATCTGCATTTGAAGGAGAGGAGTGAGAGGAATGGGGGGTTTGGAAATCGGGAGAGAGAGGCAATGAGACACAGAGGAAGATGTGGCCCCGATTGATCAGGCGGAGAGCAACAGTGAAGAGATTGAGAAGAAACTGCATGTGGAGGAGAGGAGAAAGAGGAGTGGGTGGGGTGAGGGAGGGGGGGGTTGGGTTGGTGTTTACACATGATGGGGTTAGGAAGTGACAATACACATGCACAAGAGAATGTGGCCTGAGTCTGAATGGGTCACATTCGCTTCCCCCACACCACAACAGCTGCTGGCACATTGTCCACTCGCTTGACCAGCACGGCTATCTCCACTCGCTTGACCAGCGCGGCTACGTCCACTCGCTTGACCAGCACGGCTATCTCCACTCGCTTGACCAGCACGGCTATCTCCACTCGCTTGACCAGCACGGCTATCTCCACTCCCTTCTCACACGCACTTGTCAGAGCCTCGGGCTCACCACACAAACCTGTCTGAGTCGTAGTGGATCGCCCACAACAGCTGCGGGCACCGAGTCCATGACCAGCGCGCAGCTATCTCCACTCCCTTCTCACACGCCTCCCCACATGTGAGCGCTTTAGTGAAACTTCCTCCCCACCCACTCCCCGTTGGTGCATTTCAACGCGCGTACCTGTCTGAGTCGGAGTGGATCGCCCACAACCGCTGCAGGCACCGAGTCCATGACCAGCGCGGCTATCTCCACTCCCTTCTCACACGCCTCCCCGCCTGTCAGAGCCAACACCTCGTCCACTAGCGGACGAAACTCAAACAGTGCCGACTCCAGCCTGGGCGGCACCGGCACTGTAGCCACAGGCCTCAACGCCCCTCCTGCATCCAGGCTGTCAGCTGTAGCAGAACTAGCAGCCGCTGCCCCTGCTGCTGTAACGGCTGTAGCAGCAGCTGCGGATGCAGCTCCACCAGCGCCTATAGCAGCTGTAGCAGAGGCGGCGGCGGCGGCGGCAGCTGCTGCTGCAGCCGCCCGGCCGTCCGCGCGCCAGGTGTCAACGACGTTGTTCGCCACGTGGATGAGGTGGCGCGTGGTGGCGGTGACAGAATGCAAGATATCCTGCTGCATTGCGTCCAGGGGCGAGGAGGACAGCAGCTGCAGCACCCCCAGCACCCCTCTCAACGGAACCCGCACCTCATTCACCAAAATCGCTAACAGCGAGTTCGTCCCAACACTCTCACTGATCGCAGCAAGGCTCTCTGCTAAACCGACATCGCCAACTGCCACGACTCCCCCCCCTGCACCACCTGCGAACCCCTCCCAGTCCTCCCTCTCACCGTCCTCCGATCCCTCCTCTTCCTCCTCCTCACCCTCGCTCTCTTCCCCTTCACCCAGTCCCCCGTCCCCTCCAGCCCCCGCGCTTGCTCCGTCCGCCTCTAGCCTATTAACCTTCTCTCTTAAGACTACTAATGTCTTAATGACAGCAGACACCTGCCGCAGAAGCAGGAGGGCGAACCCTAGGACGACGAGTGTGGCGGCAACAGGGGACCAGGGCTGAAGCGCGAGAGTGGCGGCTGCTGCCACGGCTGGGTGCCACGTGGCGAGAGGAGGGAGAGGCGGAGCAGGACATGTGGCGTTTCCTGATTGGACTGACCCGGGCTGTGAGGCTGGAACCCCTTCCCCTCCTGCTGTTTCATTAACAGCGGAGTTAGAGGAGAGGCAGGAGGAGGATGAGGGGTGGGAGAGACTGGGAACGGGTGACGTGGCAGTCTGCATTACGTGGTAGGCAATAAACGCAGCGATCAAGTAGCCCAGCCATAGGCCAATCCACGATAGCCACGTCAGCCGAGGTCTTCTCGATTGATTATTCTCCTTTTCCGTTCCGTTCGTCCTCCTTGCTCCCAGCAGACCATCTGTCTCCTTCCCCCGTAACCCTCCCGCTCTTTTCGCTCCCGTCTTATCTGAAACCCTATTATTTTCCTCCTCATCCCCGTCCGCATCGCTGACGTCACTCTCCGTTCTCGCGTCTCTCTCGCTCACCTCGTCACTCTTCTCCCCATCCTCCTCCTCTGCTTCAGTTTCACTTCCTTCGTCCCCCGATTCCTCCGCGTCGCTGTCCCTGTCAGACCCCTCGTCGGAACCCTCACTCCTCTCACTTGCGCTTTCATCCCCGCTTCCCTGGCCGCTCGCACTCCCGCTTTCGCTCGCGCTCTCGCTCTCGTTCTCGCTCTCCTCCTTTCTCGGTTCGGCCTTTTTGCGAGGAGGAGCCATCGCTCCTGTTCCCGCTATCAGCTCGTGCACCCGCAATTTGAACTATCGATCAGCGTCCAACGGCGCTAACAATGGGATCGAGGATTGCTGACCAGGGCAATGTGCCGTCCGCGTGAGCAATTTTGAGCAAGTGCATTCAGGAGCCAGGCCAGAACCTCTCTAGGTCAGCCCTCAATCCAACACTCACAAGTCGGAGCTGGGTAAGATAATCAAGTCCTCCGAAGGCTCAAAACTGGATGAATATGCTTTGGGATTTCCGAGCCGATCTGGTCAGTTCAATTAGGGGGGTGGAAGGAATTGGCTTGGCTCTGCTCCCTCACCACCTCCACCAACCTCGGTCTTGGGGATCCCTCGTGAGACATCGCAATTGGCGAAGAATTCACGAGCACTCGAGCGAAACCTTGCTTGCAGGTGGGGCGATTACTTCCCTCAAATTTCTGCAAAAGTTTCAGATGAACTACATTTCTGGATTTGCGGGCACCTTGAGAATAATTTGTTAGCGAGCGAACACCCTGAACAGCCCAGCCAGCATATTCTGATGCCCGGCGGAGAAGCATCACACAAGTACAGTAAACGAACCTTCAACTGTACAGCCAATTCTCCTGAAACAGAACCCAGGGGCCAAAGGTTCTCATCTGCCCCATCTGCCCCATCTGCAGGTTACCATGCCAGGCGACCGAGGGTGTGAATCGTGTATTTCGCACACCAGCTGCTGGTGACGCCCGGTCTCTACAGTTCTTTGAGATGGGAAACTGGAGTGGAGAAGCCTGAACCAGACAGCAGCTGGACAGAAGCTTGAAATGAGATGAGAAGCTGTACTCTAGCTTGAAATGAGAAGCTGTACTCAAGCTTGGAATGAGAAGCTGTACTCCCTCCACCAACCAACTCCATAATACCTCGTGCTTACTTGGATTGGATTGGAACCCAGCTCCATACTGTCTTTTCAGTTTCAGTTCTAGAACCTCTCTCGTTAGTGGCGTGCTATTCTAGTTCTGCTTCTGATAACCCGGGTTGGGTTGACGACGTGGTGGCTCGCAAGGAGTGTTCGGCTTACCTCAGAGCGCAATGGACAGATTACTTTTGCATATGACAGCAGCTAAGCAGCACCTTCCATTTAGGCGGTAAATTCTGCGGTGCACAAACACGTGTCTTGTTTTAGTGGCAATATACGATTGCCTGGCTGGGCCATACATGGTGTCAGTGGGCCCTGCCTGGAGCTCAATTTGATCCGTGGTATCAGTGGCTTGTTATTCGAATCGCTGTCAGCTGTGTGCTGACGATAAATATATCCGTGATCCCGAGCCGTTGTAGGTAACCTCTTAGAGAATTTTCGGAATTCGTTAGCCGAACAGTGATCAATGCGTCAGCCGAGATTGCTGCAATGTGACGTCTAAAACTCTTGGAATGCCCAGCGTATCATTATGGCTCAAATATGCTTTGTTAGCCCGTTAGATGATCCACGGATACCTCCGTACTAGTAGTGGCGGACTTCCGACTCGACTCCAGGCAACACTTGCCACGGCGCCATCTGTTTATTGAAGCGTTGAAGATTAGACCAATTTTCTGAAGGTAGAGAAGTTCTTCGACTCGACGAAGAATTCGTCTTTTTGTATCGGGTCCATCTGTAGTGGAGCATCATGGTCGGCCATTCAACACCCGGGGGATTCCTAAGATTCCTAAGATTTGGCCGATCGGGGTCGCTCAAGGCGTTGTCAGCGGCGTCGAGCAGCAAGCATCCTCCAAGGTAGTAGACCATATATGGTTCAGAGAAATCTCCTGTGCTCTTAAAAGCTCCCACCGTTTCCGTTTTCCACTAATCTGCTAAATCTGCGGGTCAGAAATATCGTATCTTACTTCCAATCCCGCGTTCGTTTTTGGTGAGGCTCATCCATCAACGTGACAATAGTAATTCATTGGGTTTACTGCCTCGGACCTATTTCTAATTGCGAATTTTCTTTTTGACTGGCTCTGTTTTCGAATTCTGTTTCGCAGAGAATCTCTCAGCCTGCGGGTTCTGTTCATGCGGTTGATATACGCGTTAGTGGTGGTCGTCATCGCCATGTGCGGCAGCGTTTCGTTTGAGGAGGTGGCTCGGAGAATAGCGAATTCGCAGACCAGCAACGTCCCGAAACGAGCTCAAGTCCTCATCAACCTGCTCGGGACAGGCCAATTAGGTGAGCGTGCAACAGAATCTCAGCAAATGAGCCGTTACAGCGAGAGATGACTCTTAAGTTGACTTGGGTTAGCAGCTCCCATCCTGGGGACAGAATGGCTGTTAACGAACTCACTCTTGAGTCGCTTAAGAACTATTCATTCGGACGGCACATTAAGCGGAGGCGGAGGAGGTGAGTACAGCAAGCACGCACGACTGACTGGGGCTGTCCGGACAAAGGGAAACGTGAGACGGTGGATGGACGCCTCGGCCGGGTAAATCTGCTTGTTCGTTCGGTTGTTTTTTGCTCCTTTTTTTTGTACTTTTACAGACCTTGTCAGCTCGGTTTTGTCCCCCATAAACATTTTTTGGCCCACACGCTATGGTTGGGTGTACCAGGCAACAGGCGGGCAAGGGGTTGGGGAGGGGTTTGGGGGAAAGGGCTGGGTGATAGGGCAAGCGGATGGGGAAAGTATGCCTGAGTATATGGAGTGGTTTGTATTGTGTGGCATGGTGTGGTGTGACGTGGTTAATGAATAGAATGACATGGCACGGACTGTGTTAGGGATTTCGGCTGTTTCCCTTCTGGAGTGCCTACAACGGTTCGTGTCTTTTTTCATACCCTTTCCCACACAATGCCTCCAAAAGGCTTGAATGGACAAGAACGGAAGGTCTGTGGCACAATGAAGGTTTCGAATCCCGTAAGTAACGTGTCACACTACACTACTGTACATTCAGGTATGTAGGCAGGTAGGTAGGCATAATGGGCATGCCAAGCCAAGCCCGTTCTTCTTCTCTTTTCTGTCTCCCGTCACCTCCTTCCAATCTCTCTCTTCCCATTTCTTCTCCAAGCCAACGTGCACCATTATCCAATGAACTAATGATGCTTATTGCCTGGCATGGCATGGTATGTCTATGTGGTATGGTGCATGCATGTTGCCTGGAGTGCATGGGGGAAGAGGAAGGGGGTTGGGTTGGGAAGGGGTGGGAAGCAGTTGGGAGGGGTGGAGTGGAAGGGAGTGGGGCGAGATGGGGTGGGAAGGAGTGGGAAGGGGTGGGGTGGATTGGTGGAAATTGGGGGGCGTATGGGTGGTGGTGTGCAGGGCGGCCGCTGTTTTACCGCGAATCCAAACGGGACGAGATTCGCCGGACGTTTCACGAGCCCGTGCCACCCAAGCCAAGGACGGTGCAGGGTGTAGTAGAGGGGGTGGTGTTATCAGCAGCGAATGGTATCTCTTCCCTCTGGAAACGTCGCACTCCTGATAAGAAGTGCCTCATTCTCGCTGCTCCAGGTACTCATATCGTCGCAAAAACTCTTCATCAATAGCAGTAGCAGCTGCTGGTGTCCTTAACATCAACATCACCACCAGATGCACAATCTTATTTGCTAAGTAATTTTCGAATGCTCCTCTCCCTCTCCCACTGCTATCCGCCACCCTTGCAGACACACAGCTGCCCATGCAGCAGCAGCAGCAACAGCAGCAACTGGTGTCGTCATCAGCAGACGTGCTCAAGGAGTGGCGGGCCGAGGAGGTGAAAGAGGCCATCCCCATCGTGTTTGTCACCAGTCACGTGCCTAACGAGCCTCACCACCCGGCTCTTGTGGTCATTGAACAGGTACGAGAAAGCTGAAGGGAGGGAAAGGGAGTGAGGGATGCACGGATCGCTGAAGTTTGATTCAAGGAGTGGCGGGCCAAGGAGGACCATGAGAGGCCATCCCCATCGTTTGTGTCACCAGCAACGTGCCCAACGAGCCTCACCACCTGGCTCTTGTTGTGATTGAACAGGTATGGGAGGTGGAAAGAGGGCGAGCGAGTGAAAGGGTGGCTGGAATGTGAATGGAGGGCGGACCAAGGGGGTGCAGGGGTGGCTGGAGAGTGAATGAGGAGAGGGTGTGAGGTGAAGTGAAGGTGTGGCTTGAGTGTGAATGGATTGGCGACCCAAGGAGGTCCAGGAGGTCCAATGGAGCCCAAGGAGGTCCAGGAGGTCCAATGGAGGCCAAGGAGGTCCAGGAGGTCCAATGGAGCCCAAGGAGGTCCAGGAGGTCCAATGGAGCCCAAGGAGGTCCAGGAGGTCCAATGGAGCCCAAGGAGGTCCAGGAGGTCCAATGGAGCCCAAGGAGGTCCAGGAGGTCCAATGGAGCCCAAGGAGGTCCAGGAGGTCCAATGGAGCCCAAGGAGGTCCAGGAGGTCCAATGGAGCCCAAGGAGGTCCAGGAGGTCCAATGGAGCCCAAGGAGGTCCAGGAGGTCCCTCCATTCACCCTCAAGCCACACCTTCCTGTTCTCATTTTCTATTTTCCACTCCCCACTCCCCCCTCCCCCTCTCAGGCACGAAGCCTGAACGATCTCGTATACATGGTGGGGCCCAATCCCAACCTATAGCACCGGTCTTCCTCCTCATCCTCTGCTCACCTTCCCCTCCTGCTCCCCTTCCCCTCCTGCTCCCCTTCCCCTCCTGCTCCCCTTCCCCTCCTGCTCCCCTTCCCCTCCTGCTCCCCTTCCCCTCCTGCTCCCCTTCCCCTCCTGCTCCCCTTTCCCTCCTGCTCCCCTTCCCCTCCTGCTCCCCTTCCCCTCCTGCTCCCCTTCCCCTCCTGCTCCCCTTCCCCTCCTGCTCCCCTTTCCCTCCTGCTCCCCTTCCCCTCCTGCTCCCCTTTCCCTCCTGCTCCCCTTCCCCTCCTGCTCCCCTTCCCCTCCTGCTCCCCTTCCCCTCCTGCTCCCCTTCCCCTCCTGCTCCCCTTCCCCTCCTGCTCCCCTTTCCCTCCTGCTCCCCTTCCCCTCCTGCTCCCCTTTCCCTCCTGCTCCCCTTCCCCTCCTGCTCCCCTTCCCCTCCTGCTCCCCTTCCCCTCCTGCTCCCCTTCCCCTCCTGCTCCCCTTCCCCGGCCCCACTTCCCCTTCCCAGGCGCGGAGTACGACCTGGTGGTGTACGTGGTGGGGCCCAACCCCAACCTCAAGCACCTGCTTCCCTCCCCTGCCTTTCCTCACCTTTTGAGGCGCCTCAAAATTGCGGGTAGAGAGACGACTTTTGAGGCGCCTCAAAATTGCGGGTAGAGAGACCACTTTTGAGGCGCCTCAAAAGCCCAACCTCAAGCACCTGCTTCCCTCCCCTGCCTTTCTTCTCCTTCCTGCCCGTTCTCCATGCCTGCTCCTCCCCCTCACTTCGCTTTTCACCCCCCCAGGCGCGGAGTCTGAACGACCTGGTGTACGTGGTGGGGCCCAATCCGAACCTGAAGCACCTGTCAGCACTGGGAGTGACCATTGAGGGGCGCAACGAGTACAACGACACGTGCGCCTGGCTGGCTGTGAGTTGCTGGCTTTCTAAGGGTGGATCTTTGGGGTTTCTCGTGGGAGTGACCATTGAGGGACACAACGAGTATGACGGCATGTGCGCCTGGCCCGCTGTGAGTTGCTGGCCTTTAGAAGCGAATCATTGCGGTGATGACTCGTGTGGGTGGCTACTGCAGGGGACTCATGGGGGTGACCATTGAGGGGCGCAACGAGTATAACGACGCGTGCGCCTGGCTCGCTGTGAGTTGATTGATGGCTGCAAGAGTTTGTGGTTTGTAACAGGGTTCTGTGCACCTCTCCGACCCACCCCTCCTCAAACCTCTCCCCACTTCCTCCCCAAATCCCCTTTCCCCCATACCAGCGCAAACTGCGGGCGATGCGAATAGAGGTAGCGCGGCCTTAGATCCTCACAGCTGGGTTTTGAGAATTCTCTGGTTTTTTAGAATTCTCAAAAACTGGGGGTGACGCGAATAGAGGTGGCGCGGCCTTGGATCCTCGCAGCCTTCATGGAGCACCACAGCCCACCATTTCCCCCCACTCCAATTTCCTCCCTCCCTCCTCTCCCGTCCCACCTCAACTCATCTGCCCCTTTTTTCGTCCACCCAACCAACTCCCCCTTTCTCCTGTAACTCAATTTCCCCCCTTCCCCCCCCCCACCCCCTCCTTCCTCCCTCGTCCCCCGCACTCCTTATCATACCAGCGCAAGATGGGAGTAACGCGAATAGAGGTGGCGCGGCCATGGATCCTCGCTGCGTTCATGGAGCGCCACAACTTCTCTCGAGTGCTCTCCCTCTCCATAGACGTCATGCTCTATGTCAACGTCTCCCAGGTTCGCTTTATGCGGTTTTGAATGTCCCAGCCTTCAGTATATGCCAATGTGTCCCCAGTATGCTCTTTGTGGATGTGAGGTTTGATGCTCTATGCCACTGTGCCACAGGTGGGAGGTGGCGCTTGGTTGCTCTATGCGCACCTTTCTTTGCTTCGAAGGTGCCGATAGGCGAATGTGTTGCTTCATGCAGCCAGCCAGCCGCTAGTGCAATGCCGGCGTGGCATCGCTACTACAGATTTGCAATGCAAGTGCAGCAACTCCTCGTGAGGCGCCTCAAATAGATGATTTTTGAGGCGCCTTAAGAATGCCGGCGTGGCATCGCTACTACACATTTGCAAGTGCAGCAACTCCTTGTGAGGCGCCTCAAAAAATTGAGGCGCCTTGAGAATGCCGGCGTGTCATCGCTTCAGTTCTGCGAGCGAGTGCAACGCCTCCACTGCAATGGCTTTCTTGCATCTCGTTCCCCTGCTTCACCTCCCTCGCAGATGGTCGCATGGATGTATCCATCATCCAAGATGGTGCTGCCCGTGCGATGGCCCTCCATGCAGCCGCCCCCTCTCCCCTCGCAGTACACCTCAACTGCAGTCTCCAACCATGCAGGTATGCTGCAGTACACCTCAACTGCAGTCTCCAACCATGCAGGTATGCTGCAGTACACCTTACCTGCAGTCTCCAACCATGCAGGTATGCTGCAGTACACCTCAACTGCAGTCTCCAACCATGCAGGTATGCTGCAGTACACCTCAACTGCAGTCTCCAACCATGCAGGTATGCTGCAGTACACCTTACATGCAGTCTCCAACCATGCAGGTATGCTGCAGTACACCTTACCTGCAGTCTCCAACCATGCAGGTATGCTGCAGTACACCTCAACTGCAGTCTCCAACCATGCAGGTATGCTGCAGTACACCTTACCTGCAGTCTCCAACCATGCAGGTATGCTGCAGTACACCTTACCTGCAGTCTCCAACCATGCAGGTATGCTGCAGTACACCTTACCTGCAGTCTCCAACCATGCAGGTATGCTGCAGTACACCTTACCTGCAGTCTCCAACCATGCAGGTATGCTGCAGTACACCTCAACTGCAGTCTCCAACCATGCAGGTATGCTGCAGTACACCTTACCTGCAGTCTCCAACCATGCAGGTATGCTGCAGTACACCTTACCTGCAGTCTCCAACCATGCAGGTATGCTGCAGTACACCTCAACTGCAGTCTCCAACCATGCAGGTATGCTGCAGTACACCTCAACTGCAGTCTCCAACCATGCAGGTATGCTGCAGTACACCTCAACTGCAGTCTCCAACCATGCAGGTATGCTGCAGTACACCTTACCTGCAGTCTCCAACCATGCAGGTATGCTGCAGTACACCTTACCTGCAGTCTCCAACCATGCAGGTATGCTGCAGTACACCTCAACTGCAGTCTCCAACCATGCAGGTATGCTGCAGTACACCTCAACTGCAGTCTCCAACCATGCAGGTATGCTGCAGTACACCTCAACTGCAGTCTCCAACCATGCAGGTATGCTGCAGTACACCTTACCTGCAGTCTCGCAGTACTTGCAGATCTGCTCTTGGCACTGATTGGCACGGTGTGACTCCACTCCACAACGTCTCTCAATCACATCTCCCTCCCTCTCTCCCTAATCCCCTCGCTCTCCTCCCCGCTTCCCTCGTTCCCACTATCAGCCCTGTGGCACATCGACGCGTTCAAAGACTTCTTAGCCCTGTACAAGCAGATCTGGTCCATGGCGCTGTTCGGGGTGTGCCCAGTCTTTTGAGACGTCTCAAAAGTCGTCTACTTACACACGGATTTTACATAGAGGGCTGTTTTGAGACGTCTCACAAGCAGATCTGGTCCATGGCGCTGTTCGGGGTGTGCCCAGTCTTTTCCCAACCACATTTCCCTCCCAGCTCCTCCACTTCCATCCCCCCTTCCATCTCTCCACCCTCTGTCTGTACTACCAGCCCTGTGGCACATCGACGCGTTGAAATACTTCTTAGCCCTGTACAAGCAGACCTGGTCCATGGCGCTGGTGAGGGGAATTGGCCCGATCACTGACCCTTACCACCCGTCTCTGCTCCCTTTCCCCCATCCTCTTCCCCATCAGCCCTGTGGCACATTGATGCTCTGAAGGACTTCCTAGCCTTGTACAAGCAGATCTGGTCCATGGCGCTGTTCGGGGGGCGTCCAGGTTCGGCGCACCTGATGCGCAAGAAGGAGTACAGCGAGATGACCATGCTGGGGTGGTACACGTGGAGCGAGTGCTGGACCAACGACAAGCTCGACCCGCCCTGCATGGCCGAACCTGTCACTGGCGTCAGGTGAGGCGACAGGTGTCAGGCAGGACATCAGGTGAGGCGACAGGTGTCAGGCAGGACATCAGGTGAGGCGCCAGGTGCCAGGCAGGACGTCAGGTGAGGCGCCAGGTGTCAGGCAGGACATCAGGTGAGGCGCCACGCCCTCCAGTTTCCCCTACTCTTTCCCTCCTCTCGTTGCCTTATCCTGCTACTTTCCCGTATCCCTTTCCCTTCTCCGACTCACCCGAATCTCTCCCCAACCCAACCCACCAAACCCCTCCTAATTTTGAGGCGCCTCAAAAATAAATTTCTGCTACTTTCCCATATCCCTTTCCCGTATCCCTTTTCCGTATCCCTTTCCCTTCCCTGGCCCGCCCCAATCTCTCCCCAACCCAACCCACCAACCCCTTCCTACCAGTGCCAAGCTGGCCTACAGGCTAAGGCGCACGCGCTTCCGCCCCAAGTTCCTTGTCGAGTCCCTCTGCCAGCCGAGGGCGTACCACAACTCCTTGTGGTCCGACGAGGGCCTCTGCGTGTGGGACAACAACTTCTCCGTCGCCACGCCCTCCCACTTCCTCCTCCTTTCTCCCCCGTCCTTCCTCCCATAATCCATTCCCTTCCCCCCCTCTCCCCCTCTCTCACCCCAACCTTCCGAACAGTGCCAAGCTGGCCTACCGGCTGCGCCGCACGCGCTTCCGCCCCAAGTTTCTGGTGGAATCCCTCTGCCAGCCGAGGGCGTGCCACAACTCCTCGTGGTCCGACGAGGGGCTGTGCGTGTGGGACAACAACTTCTCCGTTGCCACGCCCTCGCACTTTTTCCGATTCGCCCCCACGCGCGGCGACAAGTGCCCCAGCAGCAAGCTGTATGAGCACTTCCACGCGTGGATGGGGCAGGTGCCTCGCAAGAATGTTCAATTCCTGGCTGTGAACTTCCAGGTGCGATGGGGTTTGGGACAGGGTTGGGTACGTGCATGGGCCATGGGGTTGAATAAATGCGGGATCGGGGGTTGGGGTTAAGATTTGGGGATGGTTTTGTAAGAAGCACCACGGTATCTGAAACCGGCACTTTTCTATCCCTTGTAACGTCTCTCTGCAATGCAACCCCTCCCCTGTCTCACACCTGCAGGGCAGTCGGAGGGACTACTTGAAGCTCGAAGATCCCGACCCTGCGAAAACATGGGGCAGCGCTGTCTTCTGATATGTGCACGGCATGTGATGTGACCTATGTGTGTTTGACTTCACAGTGGCGAATCAGAGCGCACAGGTTGATGTATGCACAAAATCTAGTAGGTATTACTGTTGTTGGATTGGGCAAAATCCAGGAAATGAGCCATGGTTGATTGCAGAGTGAGTTAGGCATGGCTTATACCATATCATCACTGGGAGATGGATCACATTTCACTGTGCGCCTGCCAGCCGGACTGTCCATGTGTGCCTGCTGCTGTGCTGCCTACTTCTATCCAATGCATTTCAGGTCTTGTAGTGCTAGGCTAGGCCTAATCTCTACATGAGTATCTACCTACTTGTCCACACCAGTATCATCAACATTTACCTACATAAGTTCAGCAACAAGGCTAAATCCACAGTTCAAAACGGGGTGAAGGCAACTTCTTGTTGCTGCTCCCATAGCATAGCACCTCTGCTTCTGTGGGCTTCCCACTGCTGCTCATTCTGATATTCACTCATTGCCCCCTCCAATTACAACATCATTTGGAACATGTACCATTATGTTCCTGCCTAGTGCCCACCTTATGACATGCTGCTATGCAATATTACGCTACGAACAAAGCTGTCCTCCTCCCTCCCCTATGCCATGCTGCCATTCACCGTCACTCTACGCTGCCTTAGCCCCTGCTATGTACAGGCTCAGTAACCCTGCCCTTAGTCCTTGACCTTCCAGTTCTCCCCCCCTCTCCCCTCGCCCTGCGCCTCCCCTCCCCCCCCCTCTCCTCCACTGGCATCCTGGTAACAGTTACATTTATCTCTGTGTTTCACCTCCAAATCAAATAGTGTCACTTGCACATGGAACTGTTCCCTATCCTTAGAGGAAGTATTGACTTCTAGGCCTCCTCATCTTCTGTCGTCATCCTCCTCCCCTCCTCTCATCTCCCTTCCTCTTCCCTTCCTTTCTCCCCTCTCTTATTCCCTTCTCGCTCCTCCTGCTTTCTGAAATCCAACAAGGGGTCTTCCCCTTTGATATACCATCCCAGTCCGTACAAGCACACCCCCGCTGTAATCACTCCCCCCCACGCGTTCGCGTACTGTACACTGTACATCCGAAGCGCGTACTTCCACTGCTCGCGCAACGACGCCACGTCAGCAGCTGATGGGGTAGGGAGCGGCGGGGAAGCGGAACGGCCTTGGCGGAAAGAGAGGAAGGGTTTGGCGCGCGGGGGGGTTGCGGAAGCGGAAGCGGAAGAAGAAGGGCCGGGTTTTTGGTTTGCATTTTGACTGCCCGTCTCAGATTTGTTTGGAGGAGCAGAGCTTTCTGGCGACGTGGAATCGCGGGGGGTTGAAGCATCGGATGAGGCGCGATCCGAGATCGACATGACAAGTGAACGGGGTTGAGAGATTTGAACTTTTCCGGAATGACGCAGAGTTGACTAGTGATGCGTAGAGTGCACCGTCTGATGCGGCATCGTTTGCCATACCTTGTCAACAAACCCCTTCAAGCATCCTCGTGATTAGCACAGGTTGCTAAAAAGTGAGATGAAAAGTTTGAACTTCAGTCTCGCGCGGAGTGTACTGACATTTCCCTCAGTCCCGCCAAATTTGATGGGCCAATCAAATTCTAGCATGCGGCTTGCCACAATAAACGTTTCGAATTGAAAGTTGCCAAATGCTGGGTTAACATTCGCCAGAAATATCATGGATCTCCTGATAGCGTGGCATTCCAGCTTTCCAACACAGCCAGATGCTTGCTTCCAAATCCCTGGTACATTTTCAAAGGCGAGATCGCAAAAAGCGTTGAGATGCATGTTTTTATCCAGATTTTGAGTTCTCCCCCCCAATTCACATGCCCTGCTTCACACTGGAAGCATGCAGCGGTGCGATGTTGCAACGGAGATTCACGAACCACTGGCGAACAATCGTACTGTACTTTCGTCAATCATGCCAGGTGCACTCTTCCTGCATCCCCTCCAATTGCAGCTTTGCGTAACCGAGAGCTCTTGCGTCCCGCGGTTGCTGCGAAAAGGAATTTCGTTCCACAGCCAAGCAAGGTCAGTTGCAGTTGACAGGTTCTCGCACACCTCACTTCTCCCCACAGCTCGAGGCGGTTCACCATACAGTTTGCGACACCTCACTTCTCGCTTGAGACTGAGCTGTGGGGTACTGTACTGGACTTGCAAGAAGCTAGGGGAGGGAAATGAATGTGCTGTGTTCGTGTATCTGGCCAGGCATCCGAACGGAATTGGCTGCTCACCGTGAGCCAGCAGCTGCTCCCCGCAGAACACTCCTCTCTGACTGCCAGCCTCGCATTGCTCCACCGAGTATTTACCACACCAAGCATTCGTCATTCTTCATCAGCTTTCGAAAACGCATTCGGCATTCAACTAGTGCGCCCTCTCTCACTCTGTTCACTCGACAGCTTTCAACGCCCACCAGATTCCGGCCACAGCACCCACCAATTCACTCGTTTCCTTGGGCCAGGCTCGGTTGGTCGTCATCGTCGGCACTCGGTTTCACTGGGTTGAATTTGAAGTTCCAAATCTGCACAGCTTGTGCAACTCCAGCGACGAGTCTTTCTGCGCATTCCCTTGTGCATTTCGCTCTTAATTTCCAACCGACTTGCAGCGCTACTCCACCAGATCAACCATGGACACTCTTCGCCTTGCTTCCGTCTCCGACTGCTCGTTCCAGTCCTCCTTCCTCGCGCCTTCCTCCCAGGTCCTGAAATCTCGCACGGGGGCTTCCACTGTCGCCGTCTCTCACGGTGTCTCGCGTCCGTCGCCTACAGTCGCCTCTCAGTTCAGCGACTCGCAGAGGCGTCGCTACATTTCCCCGACCCGCCGCCCCGCTCCCGGCGCCGCCGCAGCCGCGCCGTCGTCCGGCACGCTCTATCCTACGCTCGTTGGCCCCGCCAGCTACGAGACCGACGATGAGGGCGCCGGGACGCCAACTTGCCCGTTCGAGGCGGACGCCGCCAGCCGCGTCATCACGGTGAGCGCATGGGAGGAGTTCGATTCCCTCCTGGCGGCGGCATCCGCGCGCGGCCAGCTCGTCGTGGTGGAAACCACCTTGTCTTCGCTCCCCAACACCGCGAAGAACTACCCCAAGCTTCAGCAGATCGCGCGCGTCTCACCCGGTCGCACGCTATTTCTGCGACTCATGGCTGATCGCAGCGACGTGCTGCGTGACCTGGCGAAGTCGCTAGGCGTGAAGCAGATTCCGTCGTACTCGATTTTCAGGGACGGGCAGATGGTGCACGAGGAGCCTGGCATGGATGTGGATAGGCTGCTGCTGCAACTGCAGTATTACAGCAGCAGCGGGAGCAACCTCGGGATGAACGCCGCGGATAGATCCGAGGGCGGTAGCGTGTACAGCGGAAGCACGGACACGGAGCAGGACGGGAAAGTGCTTGAGCTGAACGGTCGCGAGGATTTCTATGAGCTGCTGCGCCGGCACGAGAACGACGATCGGTTGGTTGTGCTGAAAGCGACGCTGACGTTCTGTGGCCCGTGCGTGCGGATTCATCCGACGTTGGTGAAGCTCGCGCAGCGCATGTCGGACACTGCGGTCTTTGCGCGTGTGTTTGGTGACAATAACGAGTCGACGGTGACGCTTATGCGGGAGCTGAATATTGTCGAGGCGCCCACATTCTTGTTCTACAGGAGGGGGGAGCTGCTGGGGCGGTATGTGGGTTCCGGCAGGGGGGCTTTGGTGGGTGAGGTTCTCAAGCATCAGGGAATCAATGTTAGCTAAATGTCAGCACTATTGTTCGCGCTCACTGAGCGCCTCATGACTCCGTGTATACATGTTGCCTTTTGTACAGGCCATTGTGTGCTTTGTTAGCTTTGTATCTGCTTATAACTGTTTGCATTGTTCAAATCTTTTTTAAATGCAAGAGCTTTCTGTATCAAGGCTCCGACTATCGGAGCCGAGGCAATCGTTTGCCACATATGAGCAAATGGCGAAATGGCATATCCAGTTTGCGTCAGCGCTGTCTCAGCCAACCCCACCCCTCCAAAGAGTTCGGAGTCCGCCAATCAGACGTACCTCCCTCTTCAGCCAAATCTACCTGAATCAGGCATGACAACTCATACCACCACTAGGAAATTCCTTTCCAACTTGTGGTGTCAACCTCAGGCGAGCTGCACATTGTGCATCGAAGCACACGAGGCCGCAAATTCCTACTTACGAAGCTGAAGTTCTCTTGCGAAATAGGCGGTAACTTGCAAATACCCCTTGTCACTAAGCAAATTTCCAGGCTTCGCGAAAGCCACTGTGCTGCCCATCCCTGACCACACAACCAGTTTCTAGGCGACAAATTCCAAAATCTCACAAAACTCATATTTGGACCTTGAGAAACACGGAGGGTCTTCATCACTCTGTCCATTCGATTGCTTTGGCTTTTTGTATGTTCCCTGTCAGTTCTAGCTGAAGCGCCTTTCACGCGTTTGCCTTGCTTGCCAGTTTCTGCCTTCTGCGTTTCTGAAGCTGGTGCAGGCTAAGCTTACCTAGCTTTAAGCTTGTCCGTCCGCGCATGGCTTTCGCTGGGTGGCTGCGCCGAGGCAGCAGCCACCGAAGGGCCGTAAGCGCGCTGAACTCCCCGCTTCCGCTTCAGCTACTTCGACAGCTCGCTCCTGCCGCCATTGCCGCGAGCTACCTGGCGGAAGGCTTAGCGCAAGGTTCGCCTGCTGCGGAGAGTTTCCACAGCAGGGCTACAGGCGTGTGCGGAAGCGGAGGGTCCGCGGTGCAGTCTTCCGCCAGCCCGCCAGGCGGATGGCGGCATCTGGGGAATCAGGGGGGCAGCGGGGAGGAGGATTCGGACAATGACCATAGCGTGGACGTCACGCCGTGGGTCCGCAGTGTCGCCAGGTCGGTAGTTGCTGTTGTGACATTTTGACATTGAATTCGACTCTATATATTCCGAGACATTTCGACATTGGAGTCGACTTCAAAGATTCGGACAATGACCATAGCGTGGACGTCACGCCATGAATCCGCAGCGTCGCCAGGTTGGTCACTAAAAATGTGGCTATTAGTCGATTCAAACTATTCGGACAATGAGCATAGCCTGGTATCACCCGACGGGACCGCAGTGAGTTATTAGTAATACTGTTGTAGGATATAGCCTAGGATCGCTTCAGGCCTGCAACGTAGGGTTGGGTCATGTCTGCGGAATAGTCAAGCGTGAATGGCATTGTGAACGTGAATCGCCTGTTTCGCGTCTGTTGTATGCCTTCTTATCTGAAAAGTCAATGTCTCCTCTCGTCTTAATTCCTCGTCCGTGGCCCCTCGTTTGTCTGTATCACATTCAGTGGGGTGGTTTTTCTCCTTCAAAAAGAGAAAGAGAGCTTCACGGAATGATAATATATTATATCTTTTCACATCGACGTCTGTCTCCTCACGCCCATGCTAGGGCGCCAGTGATCCCTAATTTCAATCCTGGATTAATCTAATCTTATAATGCTATACCAATAGTAATGGTGTGGCTCTTTTGCCCAACCCGCAGGGTCCACTCAGAAGCGTCCAATGTGCTAGTTTTTTTCCTATCCTTGTTATTCATCCGTGCCTGTTGTCTGCAGCAGAGTGGATCTCCTTCGCAACCCCAAGTACAACAAGGGCCCGGCCTTCACAGAGGAAGAGTCTGTCCGTTGACTTTTGAGTCAACTCAAAAGTCAACCCCAAGTACAACAAGGGGCCGGCCTTCACAGAGGAAGAGTCTGTCCGTTGCGCCACGCTCATGCCATAAGCTCCCTCACAACACCAACCTCTTATCTTTCATCTGTCCCTGTCGTGACACCTGGCTGCAGCGGGGTGGATCTCCTGCGCAACCCCTTTTGAGGCGCCTCAAAAGTACAACAAGGGGCTGGCCTTCACAGAGGAGGAACCTCGTTCATTTCGCCACACTCACTCAGTGCGTGAACCGCCTCTCCTATCTGTCCCTGTCTCTTGCCTGCAGCGGGGTGGATCTCCTGCGCAACCCCAAGTACAACAAGGGGCTGGCCTTCACAGAGGAGGAGCGCAACCGCCTTTACCTCAACGGGCTGCTGCCTGCTGGCTATATGAGCCAGGACCATCAGGTGGGTTTGACTGACTGCTAGCAGGCCGAATGAACAACACTGACTGCTAGCCGGCCATATGAACAACACTGACTTCGAGCAGGCTGTATGAACCACACTGACTGCTAGCAGGCTGTATGAACCACACTGACTGCTAGCAGGCTGTATGAACCACACTGACTGCTAGCAGGCTACATGAGCCAGGACCACCAGGTGCGACTGACATTTCGTGAGGACATATTGGCAGCTAGGTGTATCACCACGTGGGACTAGCTAGCAGGCTTTACGAGCCACACTGCCTGCTAGCAGTTTAGTTGAGGCAGGACCTCCCTCCCTCCTTGCCTCCCTCCCTCCTTGCCTCCCTCCCTCCTTGCCTCCCTCCCTCCTTGCCTCCCTCCCTCCCACCAGGTCGACCGCGTGTTGGCGAATTTGAAGGAGGCGCAGTCAGACCTGCAGCGCTACGTGCACCTCATGGCGCTGCAGGAACGTCAAACACGGCCACCCTTCGCTTAACAACCCCCGTCTCTCTCTCCCTACATCATTCTCGCCGTCCGTCCAGGTCGACCGAGCCCTGGCGAATCTGAAGGAAGCGCAGTCAGGTCACCTGCAGCGCTCCGTGCACCTGCTGGCGCTGCAGGAGCATTGAACACCCCTATCCATCCCTCCCATTCCGGCTCTCCCACCAGGTTGACAGGGTGTTGGCGAATCTGAAAGAGGCACAGTCGGACCTGCAGCGCTATGTGCACCTCATGGCGCTGCAGGAGCGCAACGAGCGGCTCTTCTATCGCGTGCTGGTGGACCACGTTGAGCAGCTCATGCCCATCGTGTGAGTGTAGGCGGAGGGAGAAAGTAGCCAGTGAAAGTGTGGGGAAGAGATAGAGAGGGAAAGAATGCTGATGGTGAGTTTGAGCACGAGCGGCTCTTGTACCGCGTGCTGGTGGACCACGTGACCACGTTGAGCAGCTCATGCCCATCGTGTGAGTGTAGGCGGAGGGAGAGAGCGACCTGTGAGCAGGTGTGGTTGTAGGTAGTGGCGTGGTGGTGATGAGTGTGAAGACTGCTCTCCTAGGGCTCTTCGCGTGCTGGTGGACCATGTGACCACGTGGAGCAGCTCATGCCCATCGTGTGAGTACTGGAGGGAGGGGAAGAGAGAGGGAACATATGCTGATGGTGAGCGTGAATAAAGTGCAACGGGCGGCTCTTGTACCGCGTGCTGTTTGGACCACGTGGAGCAGCTCATGCCCATCGTGTGAGTTAACGCAATGGGAGAGGGAGATAGAGAAGTTGGTGATAATGAGTGTGGATTCGGCTCGCCCATGCTCTTTCTATTATACCACACTCATAATAGATGGGGGCCTGGTGTGTGTGTGTGTGTGAGCGCTTTGGGCTGTTATTCTGGCGGCCAGGGTGGCTTGGGATGCGACGTCACCCCATTCTTCCCTATACCACTCCCCACCCCACCACTCTCCACTCCACACTCCCCCATCCCCTTTCCCGTGCAGCTACACCCCCACAGTGGGCCTGGCGTGTGAGCGCTTTGGGCTGCTGTTCCGGCGGCCGCGGGGGCTGTTTGTGTCGCAGCGGGACCGCGGGCGGGTGATGGAGCTGCTCAAGAACTGGCCGGAAAGACGCGTGCGGGCGATTGTGGTCACTGATGGGGAGAGAGTGCTTGGGCTTGGGGACCTGGGAGTGCAGGTGAGCTGTTGTGGGACCTGGGCATGTGGGTGTGGCAAAGGCTGTTTGTGTCGCAGCGGGACCGTGGATGAGTGATGGAGCTGCTGCTCAAGAACAGGCCCAAGAGACGCGTGCGGGCGATTGTGGTCACCGATGGGGAGAGAGTGCTTGGGCTTGGGGACCTTGGCGTGAAGGTGAGTTGATGTGATTGTCTGGGAGTGCAGTGCGGTTGAGATGTGATGTGAGGGCGGGCGGGTGATGGAGCTGCTCAAGAACTGGCCTGAGAGACGCGTGCGGGCGATTGTTGTCACCGATGGGGAGAGAGTCCTTGGGCTTGGGGACCTTGGCGTGCAGGTGAGTTGATGTGATTGTCTGGGATTGCAGTGCGGTTGAGATGTGATGTGAGGGCGGGCGAGTGATGGAGCTGCTCAAGAACTGGCCTGAGAGACGCGTGCGGGCGATTGTTGTCACCGATGGGGAGAGAGTCCTTGGGCTTGGGGACCTTGGCGTGCAGGTGAGTTGATGTGATTGTCTGGGAGTGCAGTGCGGTTGAGATGTGATGTGAGGGCGGGCGAGTGATGGAGCTGCTCAAGAACTGGCCTGAGAGACGCGTGCGGGCGATTGTTGTCACCGATGGGGAGAGAGTCCTTGGGCTTGGGGACCTTGGCGTGCAGGTGCGTTGCTTGGATTGTCTGGGCGTGCGGGTGTGGGAAAGGCTGTTCTATGTTGCAGAGGGACCGCGGGCGAGTCATGGAGCTGCTGCTTAAGAACTGGCCCGAGAGGCGCGTGCGGGCGATTGTTGTTACAGGGAGAGAGTGCTTGGGGCTTGAAGACCTGGGCGTGCAGGTGAGCTGTTGTATTTGTCTGGGCGTGCAGTGCGGTGTGGGTGTGGCAAAGGCTGTTTGTGTCACAGAGAGACCGAGGTCGAGTGATGAAGCTGCTCAAGAACTGACCTGAGAGGCAAGTGCGTGCTATAGTCGCTACAGTGATGGGGAGAGGGTGCTTGGGCGGGGAGAGGGTGCTTGGACGTGGCGCTAGTTGCCATTGTGTCCATACATAGCTGCAACTGTGTGTCAACACCTGTGAAAATAGTTGTTGCTGAGTGCTTCTCTTGGAAACAGTTGTTTGCCCAGGGCGCCCATATCAAGGGCTTACGGTAAACTTCACAAATCACTTTCTGGTTTTTTTTTTTTTTTTTTTTTGTCGTTACGACCTCCCCTTCCCCTCTGCGCTCCTTCCCTTGCCGTGGGCAAGTTGACACTCTATACAGCTTGCGGAGGCAGACCAGCCAGCTCTGCCTACTCCCCCTGTCCCTGTCCTCTCATTTCCCTCACCCCCTACTCGCTCCCCCAACCCTCTCCCTCCCCGGCGTCAGGGCATGGCAATAGCCGTGGGCAAGTTAACACTCTATACGGCTTGCGGAGGCATTCACCCAGCAGAGGTATGCAGGAAGGAAGAGGGTGAAAGGGAGGATTCAGGTTTCTCCTCTCTTCTCTTCTCCTCTCCTCTCTTTTCCGCTCCTCCGCTCCGTCTTTCTCCTCAGCCCCTGTTTTCATTGCTCCTCTCCTCTCACCTCTCACCTCTCACCTCTCACCGCTCTCCTCTCACCTCTCACCGCTCACCTCTCACCTCTCACCGCTCACCTCTCACCTCTCACGTCTCACCTTCCTTGTGTGTGCAATGCATCCATCCCTCCCATCCCTCCCATCCCTCCCATCCATCCATCCCTCCCATCCCTCCCATCCCTCCCATCCCTCCCATCCCTCCCATCCCTCCCATCCATCCATCCCTCCCATCCCTCCCATCCCTCCCTTGCCTCCCACCCAACACACATGGCAGTGTCTGCCGGTGACCATCGACGTGGGCACCAACAACCAGGCTCTGCTCAAGGACCCTTTCTATCCTGGCCTCAGGCAACCGCGTGCCACAGGAGAGGTACGTTCCCAGGTGCACAGAGAGATAACCTCTCATGTGGATAGATAAACCTGCTCGGTGTCATGCCTACCCAGCAGTCCTCTCTGATCGGCTGAATGACCCTTTCTATCCTGGGCTCAGGCAACCGCGTGCCACAGGAGAGGTACGTTCCCACGTGCACAGAGAGATAACCTCTCATGTGGATAGATAAACCTGCTCGGTGTCATGCCTACCCAGCAGTGCTCTCTGATCGGCTGAATGACCCTTTCTATCCTGGGCTCAGGCAACCGCGTGCCACAGGAGAGGTACGTTCCCACGTGCATAGATAAACTTCCTCAGTTTAATGGCGTCTCTATCCTCCCCCCCCCCTCTCCTTCCTCCCTCCCTTTCTCTCCCCTCTTCCTCCCCTCCCTTCGAAACGTACCCTCACCTCTGTTTTCCTCTTCATAACACCATCAGGAGTACAAGCAGCGGTGTAAGCAGCGGTGTGTCGCAGGCATCTGTGTATACGATTTTTTTTCTCCCTGTCACCTCTATATACACTTCCCCTCTGTCTCGCCCACAGGAGTACGGCGAGCTGATAGACGAGTTCATGGAGGCGTGCGTGCAAGCAGCGCTTCGGGTCGGACGTGCTTTCACTCAATTGACAACCCTTCCCTCTTACTCTCCCTCTCCGCTCCTCGTCCTCTCCCCTCTCCTTCCCCTCACCATCAGGAGTACGACGAGCTGATAGACGAGTTCATGGAGGCGTGCAAGCAGCGGTTTGGGTCGGACGTGCTGATTCAGTTTGAGGACTTTGCCAACCACAACGCCTTCCGCCTGCTCTTCCAGTACCGCGGCTCTCACCTCGTGTTCAACGACGATATCCAGGTGGGATTGTTGTCCCTGGATGTGTCGCGTGTGTGCTGTGTGTTAACACTCACTCGTGAGACACCTCACAGACCTGCTCTTCCAGTACCGCGGCTCTCACCTCGTGTTCAACGACGATATCCAGGAGTGTGTGTGTGTGTGTGTGTGTGTGTGTGTGTGTGTGTGTGTGTGTGTGTGTGTGTGTGTGTGTGTGTGTGTGTGTGTGTGTGCGCTTGGCTGCATCTGTTGTTGTAGCACTCACTTTCCGCGCCACCTCATAAACCTGCTCTTCCAGTACCGCGGCTCGGCTCCCACGTGGCCTTCCTTCCGCCATGACGTTCAGGTGCACTTGTTGTGCGAGAGGGTGCCCAGGGCAACATCTCTCTCGTGGGTTTGCATCTAGTTTTGAAACCCAGGGCAACATCTCTCTCGTGCCCCGCCCGCACCATCGACCCACTATTCCACCCTTTCCCCCTTCCGCTCTTCCTTCCCTCCACCCACAATCTCCCTCCCACCAGGGCACAGCAGCTCTACCCCTGCTGGGCTCATCCCCGTCCAACCAGACCATCCTTTGCTCCCCCTTCCTCCATTCCCCTCCCTCACCCCATGGCCTCGCTCCCACCAGGGAACAGCATCAGTGGCCCTGGCGGGGCTGCTGGCGTCTCTACCCCTGCTGGGCTCATCCCTGTCCAACCAGACCATCCTTTGCTCCTCCTTCCTCCATTCCCCTCCCTCACCCCATGGCCTCGCTCCCACCAGGGAACAGCATCAGTGGCCCTGGCGGGGCTGCTGGCGTCTCTACCCCTGCTGGGCTCATCCCTGTCCAACCAGACCATCCTTTGCTCCTCCTTCCTCCATTCCCCTCCCTCACCCCATGGCCTCGCTCCCACCAGAGAACAGCATCAGTGGCCCTGGCAGGGCTGCTGGCGTCTCTACCCCTGCTGGGCTCATCCCTGTCCAACCAGACCATCCTTTGCTCCTCCTTCCTCCATTCCCCTCCCTCACCCCATGGCCTCGCTCCCACCAGGGAACAGCATCAGTGGCCCTGGCAGGGCTGCTGGCGGCTCTACCCCTGCTGGGCTCATCCCTGTCCAACCAGACCATCCTTTGCTCCTCCTTCCTCCATTCCCCTCCCTCACCCCATGGCCTCGCTCCCACCAGGGAACAGCATCAGTGGCCCTGGCAGGGCTGCTGGCGTCTCTACCCCTGCTGGGCTCATCCCTGTCCAACCAGACCATCCTTTGCTCCTCCTTCCTCCATTCCCCTCCCTCACCCCATGGCCTCGCTCCCACCAGGGAACAGCATCAGTGGCCCTGGCAGGGCTGCTGGCGTCTCTACCCCTGCTGGGCTCATCCCTGTCCAACCAGACCATCCTCTTCTTCGGGGCGGGCGAGGCCGGCACAGGCATTGCCGAGCTGCTGGCGACCGCAATCAGCAGAGAGGCGAACATATCCCTGGCGGAGGCTAGAGGCCGCATTTGGCTCGTGGACTCCAAGGTGAGCCACTCAAAGTTGAAGCCCTTTGATCAGGTGATTTATGATCAGTGGACTCCAAGGTGAGACTTACAAGGTGAAGCCAGCACCGGCATTGCGGAGGTGCTGGCGACCGCAATCAGCAGATAGGCGAAGATATCCCTGGCAGAGGCTCCAGGGTGCATCTGGCTCGTGGGCTCCAAGGTGCATCTGGCTCGTGGGCTCCAAGGTGCGAGACCTTCGAATTTCAGCCCCTTAATCGGCACAAGTTCCCCACCGTCCTTCACTCCTCACCGTCCTTTGATCAGCTGATTCGGGGTGGTCATTTCCTAAGCAATTCCCTCCTTCCCTCCTTCTCTCCCTCCCTCCCTCCGTCCTCTCTCCCCCCCCCTCCCCCCCAACACTCCAGGGTCTGGTGGTGCGCAGCAGAGTGGACTCGTTGCAGCCTCACAAGGTTCCCTTCGCGCATGACCACCCCGAATCAGCTGATCTCGTGGAGACCATCCATGTGAGCGGGACGATCTGGGGTTGACGATGCAGACAGCTAGCACTGGGCTTACATTAGCCTGAGTGCATCGGCTGACCACTCACTCAACTCGCCTGTTGGGGTTGAGTTTTGTTCTCTATCCATGTCAATTTGTTTCACTCGATTTTTCTCAACACAGAGACCGCGTACAAGTCTTGATATTCTTTGATAACTGTTATGTGTCCCTCGCCCCGCTCTCTCGTTCTCCCTTCCCCAGGCCATACGGCCAACAGCGCTGATAGGGGTGTCAGGGCAGGCAGGGACGTTCACCCAGCCAGTGTGTGAAGCCATGGCTCAACTCAACGAGGTGAGTTCTGGGGATGCATTTAGGTTGGAGGGATGTGGGTAGCTGGAGAGCTGCATCGATAGGAGTGTCTCAGGGCAGGCAGGGACGTTGTTCACCCAGCCAGTGTGTAAAGCCAGTGTGCGAAGTGAAGCCATGGCCCAACTCAACGAGGTGAGCGCTGGGGATGTTTCTGAGGTGCCTGTTTCAATATATACGATGAGGCGCCCGCAGTGAAGTGGTGCTGGTAGCAGTGCCAGGGCAGGCAGGGACGTTGTTCACCCAGCCGGTGTGCGAAGCCATGGAACAACTCAACGAGGTGAGTTCTGGGGTTGCTTTTAGGTGGAAAGGGTGTGGGCTGCTGCTGCTGCTGCTGTGGTGTGGTTGCTGCTCGTGCTCAAGGGGTATCAGGGCAGGCAGGGACATTCACCCAGCCAGTGTGTGAAGCCATGGTCCAACTCAACGAGGTGAGGGCTGGAGAAGTGCTTTGGCTGGAAAGTCTTGGCCTTTCTGCTGCTGTTCTTGCTGCGCGCTGCTCCTGCTATTCCTGCCGTTCCTGCTGTTTCTGCTCCTCCTGTTCCTCCTGCTTCTCCTGCTTCTCTTGCTCCTCCTGCTCTCCTGCTCCTCCTGCTCCTCCTACTCCTCCGGCTGCTCCTGCTGCAACAGCTTCCCATCCAATTCGCTCTAAGATCCATTCCCCATATAAAAACCGCGTGAACTGAGACGATTTTTGAGGCGCCTAAAAAATGCTCCTCCGGCTGCTCCTGCTGCAACAGCTTCCCATCCACTTCGCTCTAAGATCCATCTAATCCGCTCTCCTTTCTCTTCCTTCAACCCCCTTGCCTCCACTCGTCCTATCCCCCACCAGCGACCCATCGTCTTCGCTCTCTCCAACCCCACGTCGCTCTCTGAGTGCACAGCAGAGGACGCGTACAAGTGGACTCAGGTGTGTGAATGGGTTGAGATGGGTGGATACCTGGGTTTGGTGGCTGAACGTGAATGGTTGTGCTTTTGTGAATGTTCGCTTCCACCTTTTCTCTTGCGATTGTCCTCGTGAGAATGTTCTAAGCTGAATTTTGATCAGATGGGTAAGCGTTTCTGCCGTTCACTCAACCATCTCTGTTCTGCATCCGTCCCTCCACCCCACCAGGGTCGGGCCATCTTTGCCAGCGGCAGGCGGATGGATGGCCCGTTCGCCCCAGTGGAGATGGATGGCAGGCGGTTTGTCCCCGGGCAGGACAACAACGCGTATGAGTTCCATCAAGCCTACTTATCTTATCTTCTCCTCTCACTCTCCATCCCACCAGCGTCGGGCCATATTCGCCAGTGGCAGCCCGTTCGCCCCGGTGGAGATGGATGGGAGGTGGCTTGTCCTCGGGCTGGGCAACAATGCATGTGTATTTCCTCAAGCCAACTTCTTCGCATCCCATTCTTCCACCCCACCAGCGTCGGGCCATATTCGCCAGTGGCAGCCCGTTCGCCCCGGTGGAGATGGATGGCAACCACTAAATCTTCCTGCACACCCACCCTCTCCACCCCTCCACACCCCATTCCACCGCTCCAGGGTCGGGCCATATTCGCCAGTGGCAGCCCGTTCGCCCCAGTAGAAATGGATGGGAGGCGGTTCGTGCCAGGGCAGGGAAACAATGCGTATGTGTTTCCGGGGATCGGCCTGGGCTGCCTCATGTGTGGGGCCACCAGGATGAGAGACGAGATGTTCCTCGCTGCTGCCGAGGCACTGGCTGCACAGGTGAGAATCAATCATTGCGGCACAGCGATATCGACATGTGTGGCACCACGCGCATGAGAGGCAAGATGTTCCTCGCTGCTGCTGAGGCACTCGCAGCACAGGTGAGGGCGATTGAGGCACTCGCGGCACAGGTGAGGGCGATTGAGGCACTGGCGGCACAGGTGAGGGCGATTGAGGCACTGGCGGCACAGGTGAGAATCAATCATTGCGGCATTGCGATACCGACATGTGTGGTGCCACGCGCATGAGAGACAAGATGTTTCTTGCTGTTGCGGAGGTGCCCGCAGCACAGGTGAGGGCCCTGTGGTTTCAGCCGAATCAATGGCCACCACCAGGTGAGTTAGCTGTTGAGTCGATCGATTCAAAGTGTGGCTTTTAAGCGCCACCTTTCGTCACCTTTTTGTCCTGTGTTCCTCCCCTTGTCTTCACTCCATCTCCCTCCCCTGTGTGCATCTCAGGTGAGCGACGATGACAGGGAGCAGCGGCATGTGTACCCACCCATCTGGGAGACCTTCTGAGTGTGTCCCGAGTCACTTATTTGTCCCCTGTTGTGTACTTACACCCCCATCACCTCTTTCGCCTCACCCCGAACCTGCAACCTACCTGCATGTGTGTATCTCAGGTGAGCGACGACGACAGGGAGCAGGGGCGCGTGTACCCACCCATCTGGAAGATTCGGCAGATCTCAGCCCACATCGCCAGGGCCGTTGCTGCTAAGGCGTATGATCTCGGTGAGTTGCGAGGAGAGCTGTAGGGGTGTGGGGAGGGCAGGGCAGGCAGGGGGCTATGTGGCCTCATTCTTAGCCACACTGAACGACCTCAGCACACATTGCGAGGGTCGTTGCCACGAAGGCGTATGGCATTGGTGAGTTGCAGTTGCAGAGCACCACCACATGAGGATGCTTACGGAATTTGTGGTCTGATTCAACGTAAAATACCATTGCACCAGGTGAGTGTGGGGGCTCCTTGATGCCCTGTGAGACAGCACATTGGCTAGGCTATCATGCTAGCACCTTTTCTTCCCCGTTTTTACCCTCAGCCTCCCCCGTGCATCACTCCCTCCCTCTGCTCCCCTCCCTCAGGAGTGGCGACCAACTTGCCCAGGCCACCAGATCTCCTGTCCTATGCCTTCAGCAAAATGTACAACCCTCAATACAGAAGCTTCCGATGATGCCAGCAGGAAGCTTCCTCTAAAAGATGATATGTTGTGGAGAACTGTACCTCTGCTGATCCCGTAGCAGTTATTCAGTAGGGTAGATACCAAGGAATTGTAGGGCATGGAGGGTAGAACGAAGGAACCCTTTTTCAGGATGCTGAATACTGGTGCTGTTAGAGGAACGGTTCACTGGCAAAGGGTTCACAGGGGAATATGCCCCATCCATCACTTACAGAACCTTACAAAACTGACTTGCAAAATGAAGTAATGCTCCCCCAAACAAAGCTGATCACACAGAAACTCTGAAAACCACATGATATTTTGTAGATGTTTACAAGGTTTGTGATGCCAGTGACTTAATTGTCATTGCTGAAACAGAACACTAAAAAGAGAATCGGCAGCACACTACGAGAATCGGCAGCATGAAGATGGATTCTGTGGAAGGCAAATTATCAGCGGTAGTACCGGTAACCTTGGTTAACTTGCTTCGACGCACCACCTGCAAGCACTGCAATCAGAGAGCGAGGCATGAGTCTCACAGCAGGCAGGAGCAGCGCGTGAACAACGCGAAGGCGGTGTTTGGCAATGCAAAATGCGGTGAACAAAGCGTTGAATGTGAGTGGACATGGAGGCCAATGGAATGAGAAATGAGCATTCCATCGGTACTATGTGCCACGTGTCCCTCTCGGGAATTCCGCGAAACCAGCCTCCGCATTGGTGTAACCGGCAGCCTTGCCACGTCAGCCAACCACACCAGTCGCCGAAGCAGATCGTGAAACGACGTCCAACGATCAGCCGAAGCAAACCGTGAAACGACGTCCCACGACCAGCCGAAGCAGCTGGCAGGATTGGCTTAACGAGGCGAGCTGCGGGTTAAGCGGTGGCTGGAAAAGAGAGGAGTTCCCTTTGCAGGCAGTTGTGAGGAATAACAACAAAAAGAAATAAGTTCATTACCTGCAAGACGAAGGACCGATCGGCCGATCAAAAACAGGGATCACGAAGGATCTTGTGACCCCCCTACTGTCACAATTGATTGTGGCTAGAACGACAAAGCGGGGAAAACAGGTGTTTCAAAAGGAAGTACAGCAAAAACGAATGCAAGCGAGGACGACGGAAAAGCGCGGACAGCGGAAGGTCGGAGGGCGACGAAAAGGCGATGAAAAGAAACTGGGTAGAGATAAGTACAGAGCCAACAGGGAGAGTTGGTAGGGGGTGTGCAGGTGCGGTGAGCGCGAGAGCCCATACGTGAAGGAAATCAGGCCATGAATAACGAGAGATAACCATGATATGAGTTCAGGGTTTTGGCCTTTCAAGAGAGGTCGTGGGGAGGGGATTGGTGCGGGGATGAGCTGGGTGGATGGTTGGTGTGCGCGCGAGTCTCAGTTGCGGAATGGCGCTGTCCCCCTAGATTGCCGAGGGAGAAATGGTGTAGTCTGTAACAGCACGAGTTCAGATTTGCATGTGCATATACCTGAAGTGAGAAATTATGAATCAAAACTTCATCCATGGAGGAAGAGAGAGGTGACAGTTAAACCTCCATGTTTTCGTTTTTATCCGGTTAATATGTGGGATATTCACACTAATATGAGTGCGCGATGTGGAAGCGCGGTACTCGCTGCTCTGTCACGAAAATATAGATTATTTAAGATCTATGGATGACCAAACCACAGAAAGCGCTATGCATGACCAAAGTGGTGGATCTACACTGCACAGTGTTGGTGGCGGAGAGCCTTGTCTGAGGTACTTCGGACGGCAGGCACCTGACTCCTGACAACCCACTACACGACTGCTTATCAGTCGTAAGCCATACGGTAACTCAAAAGTGGATTCTCTCAACATGTCAGTCTAAAACGAAGTTGTGTGCTGCAAATGAGTCATTCACCACCGCTCACTGCCACCACGCATCTCCCCTCACCGAATCTCACATACCCGTGTCAGAGTGACAAGATCGTGATTTCCTACTTGTGAGGCAAAATGTGTGCATGTTGCGGGAAAGGTTGGTAGTTCTTGAATCCCCTGATTTGACCCCACACTAACATTCGGAGTGATTCTGACACAACTGCGGCATTGCACGATAGGAGCTTCTCAGAATAGTGAGACGAAAGATGGTCCGACTCGTGTTCATCTACTAGCCCAACCTGTTGCTTGTTTCTTTGCTACGACAGTGAACCTTCAGGCAGTAGTTCTACCTGAGGCCTGTTTCCTTGCTCCTCTCGCCTGGTTTCCTTGCGCCGGTTCGCGCCGAAACGTAACAATGAGGACCTTTCTTCCCTCGAAGCTGCGTCACGCGGGCTCGCGTCAGCATGAGACGAGCAAGACAACAGCATCCGCATCCGCATCCGCATCCGCATCCGCATCCCCAGTGAACAACGGAGATAATGAAAAGGCGACGAGTTATCCTGGAGGAAATGCACGGGATGCTAGAGGGAATGCAGCTGCGAACAGCGCTGAAAGCGAGCATTCATGCAGCTCTCTGCTAATGCTACGACCTGGTACGGCAACTTTGCCTCTGCTGACACGTTTTCAAAATCCAATTTCAGACTCCAGATTTCTTCTTAGTAATGCCGTCCCGTACACTCAGTTTTTACTTTCTTGCTGAAATGCTACGAAATAAAACTTTCTTAAACTCCCCAACTGATGGATGAGGGTGCCTCTGAACCACCCCCCCTGTTTTCCCTCTTGATGTGCGTCTTTGAACCACCCGCTGCCCCCCAGTCCTCCCCCCCCCCCCCCCCCCCCCTCCAACCCCCTTTTCTTCCCCTCGTCAGCCACTGCACCTTCAAGCGACAACCAGGACCGGTGCCAGCACACAGCAAGGCCCCCCTCTGTGTGGGATGATGAGTGCATTCCTTTGAACCATTTCCCTGTTAACTTCTCTCTACACCCCCTTTTCCCTCTCCCTCCCAGCCACTGCGCCATCAAGCGGCAGGCAGGGCCGGCGGCAGCACACAGCCAAGCCCCCCTCTGTTTGTGATGATGAGTGGGTGCTTCTGAACCATCTTTCACCTCTTCTTCCCCCTCTGCACCCCTCTGTCTGTGATGATGAGTGGCCCCCCTCCCCCCCCCCCTTCCTACCAGCCACTGCGCCATCAAGCGGCAGGCAGGGCCGGCGGCAGCACACAGGCAAGCCCCCCTCTGGGACAGAAGCACACCACAGGAGGAACAGCCACGACAGTGCTGCCACCACTGGCACTGGTGCTGATTCTACTGGTGCTACCGGTGCTGCTGCTACTGGTGCTGCTGCTACTGGTGCTGCTGCTACCGGTGCTGCTGCTACTGATGCCGCTGCTGCTTCTGAACGCTGCGGCTGGCCTTTCAACGCGGATACCAGTCCTGACACTGCTGCAGCAGCAGGAGGAGCAGAAGGAACAGCAGTCGACGGTGCTGTAGTAAGAGGAGGAGAGGGTTCCTCTTCGCCACCTGACATGCTCGTGCTAGACTTGCACTCTGATGCTGTTCCTGTCACACATGCTGCTGCTGCTGCTGCTGCTGCTGCTGCTGCTGCTGCTGGGGGTGACAGCGGCAGTGGTGGCGGTTTTGGTGATGGTGATGGTGGTGGTAGTTCGTTGGCGGAGTGTGATTCACAGCAGCATGAGCGTCAGCAGGAGCATCAGAGGAGGCAAAGCTTTGCGGGCCTGCCAGAGGACGTGTGGGTGAAGGTGCTGCAGATGCTCAAGCCGGCAGATCTGCCGGCTGTGAGGGGCACCTGCAGCTCGCTCTACCGGTTAGCCGGTACGTTGAGAGAGTGAATGGATGAGAGCATGTCGGTTTCCAGAGACATGGACACAACACAATGTGGGCTTCAGTGATTGATATTCGCTGAAGCCCATTTCCTCATTGTCTTTTGAGTCGACTCAAAAGTCAACAGAGACATGGACACAATGTGGGCTTCAGTGATTAATATTCGCTGAAGCCCATTTCCTCATTGTGTCAATCCAGATTGTCGAGTACTCATTCTTAATCTCTCCCATCCCAAATCGCCTCTCCGAATTCCCCTCCTTCCTCCTAAAAAATTCCCCATTTTTCCCCACTTCCCCTTCCTGCTTTCCAGTGCGCCCACCCATCAATCTCCATCCGCCAGACACCCAAGCGCCCATCCGACTTCCCCTGCTTCCTCGCCCGCGCCGGCCCTCATCCTTTTCTACCTCCCTAACCCCCGACCCCCGCCCCCCCTCTCCCCACCCCTTCCCCCCCCCCCCGTCTCCACGCAGTGCATGCCCGCCCATCAGTCTTCATCCACGTGCCCCCCAAGCGCCCATCCGACTTCCCCTCCTTCCTCGCCCGCGCCGGCCCCGCCCTCTCCGCGCTCACCATCCTCCCCACCGCACAGCTCCCTGCCACGTGTCTCGCCCTCATTGGCCCGCACTGCCCGGGGCTAGTTACCCTGAATCTGACAGACCAGAAGGGGGTGACAGATGCGGTGTTGGCAGGGGTGGGGGGAGGTTGTGTAGGGTTGAAGACTCTCAAGGTGAAGGTGCATCACGGGAAGCTGAGTCAAGGGCTGGAAGCGATCGCTGCCAACTGCAGAATGCTAGAGACGCTCTCTCTTCCCACTCAGGTGAGCTTTTCTGATCTGATCTGATCTGATCCACGTGTCGATTTTCCCTCTCTTGCTCTTGTATGTGTGCTGCTCTGAAGGCTCTCAAAGTGACGGTGCATCATGGGAAGCTGATTCAAGGGCTAGAAGCACTCCCTGCCAACTGCCGGATGCTAGAGATGCTCTCCCTCCCCACTCAGGTGAGCTTTTCTGATCCATATGTCGATCTCCTCTCTCTTGCTCTAGCATGTGTGCTGCGCTGAGGACTCTCAAGGTGAAGGTGCATCATGGGAGGCTGATTCAAGGGCCAGAAGCACTTCCTGCTAATTGCCGGATGCTAGAGACGCTCTCTCTCCCCACTCAGGTGAGCTTTTCTGATCCATATGTCGATCTCCTCTCTCGCTCTAGCCAAGCATACGTGCTGCGCTGAGGACGCTCAAGGTGAAGGTGCATCATGGGAAGCTGGACTGGAGGCCATTGCAGGCAACAGCAGAATGGTAGAGACGCTCTCTCTTCCCACTCAGGTGAGCTTTTCTGTTCTGAGTTTCACTCTCTTGTCGATTTTCCCTCTCTTGTCGATTTTCCCTCTCTTGTCGATTTTCCCTCTCTTGTCGATTTTCCCTCTCTTGTCGATTTTCCCTCTCTTGTCGATTTTCCCTCTCTTGTCGATTTTCCCTCTCTTGTCGATTTTCCCTCTCTTGTCGATTTTCCCTCTCTTGTCGATTTTCCCTCTCTTGTCGATTTTCCCTCTCTTGTCGATTTTCCCTCTCTTGTCGATTTTCCCTCTCTTGTCGTTTTTCCCTCTCTTGTCGATTTTCCCTCTCTTGTCGATTTTCCCTCTCTTGTCGATTTTCCCTCTCTTGTCGATTTTCCCTCTCTTGTCGTTTTTCCCTCTCTTGTCGAGTTTCCCTCTCATGTGTCGTTTTTCCCCCTCTTGCGCTAGCATGTGCGCTGCGCTGAGGACTCTCGTGTAATGAGTCGACTCAAAACTCGACTCTTGCGCTAGCATGTGCGCTGCGCTGAGGACTCTCGTGTAATGAGTCGACTCAAAACTCGACTCTTGCTCTAGCATGTGCGCTGCGCTGAGGACTCTCGTGTAATGAGTCGACTCAAAACTCGACTCTTGCGCTAGCATGTGCGCTGCGCTGAGGACTCTCGTGTAATGAGTCGACTCAAAACTCGACTCTTGCGCTAGCATGTGCGCTGCGCTGAGGACTCTCGTGTAATGAGTCGACTCAAAACTCGACTCTTGCTCTAGCATGTGCGCTGCGCTGAGGACTCTCGTGTAATGAGTCGACTCAAAACTCGACTCTTGCTCTAGCATGTGCGCTGCGCTGAGGACTCTCAAGGTGAAGGTGCGTCATGGGTAGCTGAGCCAGGGGCTGGAGGCAAAAGCTGCCAACTGCAGAATGCTAGAGAGGCTCTCTCTCCTCACTCATGTGAACTTTTCTGAACCACACAATTTGAACACTCACTTTCATACCTGCACACTCGCTTTCATACCTGCACACTCACTTTCCATAACTGCATACACTTTCCATACCTGCATGCACTTTCCATACCTGCATACACTTTCCATACCTGCATGCACTTTCCATACCTGCATACACTTTCCATACCTGCATGCACTTTCCATACCTGCATACACTTTCCAACTCTGCATACATTTTATTACCTGCATTGATTTTCCGTACCTGTGTTCAGGTCCGGGAGTCCAGCCTCGGGCCGCTCCTCTCGTCCTTCTCGCACCTAACTCGTCTCGACCTGAGTTGGAGCACCAAGCTCGCAGACCCCGCCTTTGCCACCATCGCCTGCTGCTGCCCGCACCTCCACCATCTCGACGCTTCATTCTCCCAGGTGAGCATTCTTCGGAGGACGTGCACTCATGCAGTCCTTCCAAACATAAACAGGTACAAACACTCACTCACGCGTGCACCGCCCTGCCTTTGCCACCATCGCCTGCTGCTGCCCACGCCTCCAGCATCTCGGAGCCTCCTTCTCCCAGGTGAGGCTCTAAATGTGAATGGAAAAACACGAAACACCATCGCCTCCTGCTGCACATACGGCACGTTCACAGGCCTGCCTTTGCCACCATCGCCTCCTGCTGCCCTTGCCTCATGCACCTCGATGCCTCCTTCTCCCAGGTGACCATTTTGGTTTGTTCTCAATCCATGCTGTTTAAAGTAGTTTCTATCACCAACCTGCCTTTGCCACCATCGCCTCCTGCTGCCCTTGCCTCATGCACCTCGATGCCTCCTTATCCCAGGTGACCATTTTGGTTTGATTCTCATCTCAATCCATGCTGTTTAAAGTAGTTTCTATCACCAACCTGCCTTTGCCACCATCACCTCCTGCACCTCGGCGCCTCCTTCTCCTGGAAGGAGGAGGCATCGTGGTGCCCATTCTTCTAAGATGAGCACTTTTGAGGCGCCTCAAAAGGTGCCCGTTCTTCTAAGATGAGCACTTTTGAGGCGCCTCAAAAGGTGCCCGTTCTTCTAAGATGAGCACTTTTGAGGCGCCTCAAAAGGTGCCCGTTCTTCTAAGATGAGCACTTTTGAGGCGCCTCAAAAGGTGCCCGTTCTTCTAAGATGAGCACTTTTGAGGCGCCTCAAAAGGTGCCCGTTCTTCTAAGATGAGCACACATGCAGTCTTTTTCTTTCCCTCTGCTTCACTGCCTGCCCATTCACTCCACCTGCAATTCTCCTTGCTTTCATGTCTGTCTGTGCTCCCCCCCCACCCCACCCGACACAGATATTCCACGTAGGCCTCACCTCCCTCGCCGCCCACTGCCCCACCCTCTCCTTCCTCCGCCTCAATGCCTGCCATGCCGTCTGCCGAACCCCCTGCCTTCCTGTTCTCGCCCTCCTCCCCTCCCTGCAATCCCATGATCCGGGCCAAAGCCCCCTGCTGCAACACTGGATTGAGGGGCTTATATCCGCTGCTGCTGCTGCTGCTGCTGCTGCTGTGTGCTCACATAACTTTCTTCTTCTGTCTGTCTGTGTTACCATCCCCACCCCATACAGATCTCACATATAGGTCTTGCCTCCCTCGCCGCCCACTGCCCCGCCCTCTCCTCCCTCCGCCTCAACGCCTGCCATGCCGTCCGCCCACCCCACTGCCTCCCCATTCTCTCCCGCCTCCCCTCCCTGCAATCCCTCGACCTCGGCCAAAGCCCCCTTCTGGCTGACTGGGTGGAGGGGCTTTTATCGCAAAAGGAGGGGGTGTTTGGCGAGAAGGTAATGTCTGGTGCAGCTGCTGGGACTACTCCCCTTGCTGGTGTTCCTCGCTCTGCTTCTGCCCCTGTTATTGCTGCTGCAGCAGCAGCAGCTTCGCCGGTCCAGCTGCTGCCCACTCTCCGGACACTGACGGCATACTTCCAGGCGAATCAAATCATCCACGCAACGTGGATCGAAAGGTGAGCTCGCTTGTGTTTCTAGTGCTGCTGCTGCTTCTGCACATGCTATTGCTGCGGCAGCAGCAGCAGCAGCAGCAGCTTCGCCTGCCCAGCTACTGCCTACTCTTTGGACACTCACTTCGTACTTCCAGGCGAATCAAGTCATCCATGCCACGTGGATTGAAAGTTGAGTCAACTCAGAAGCACCTATTTGCACATGAAACCTCTTCGTGGGTCGACTCAAAAGCACCTATTTGCACATGAAACCTCTTTGTGGGTCGACTCGAAAGCACCTATTTGCACATGAAACCTCTTTGTGGGTCGACTCAAAAGCACCTATTTGCACATGAAACCTCTTTGTGGGTCGACTCAGAAGCACCTATTTGCACATGAAACCTCTTTGTGGGTCGACTCAGAAGCACCTATTTGCACATGAAACCTCTTTGTGGGTCGACTCAAAAACACCTATTTGCACATGAAACCTCTTTGTGGGTCGACTCAAAAGCACCTATTTGCACATGAAACCTCTTTGTGGGTCGACTCAGAAGCACCTATTTGCACATGAAACCTCTTTGTGGGTCGACTCAGAAGCACCTATTTGCACATGAAACCTCTTTGTGGGTCGACTCAAAAGCACCTATTTGCACATGAAACCTCTTTGTGGGTCGACTCAGAAGCACCTATTTGCACATGAAACCTCTTTGTGGGTCGACTCAGAAGCACCTATTTGCACATGAAACCTCTTTGTGGGTCGACTCAAAAGCACCTATTTGCACATGAAACCTCTTTGTGGGTCGACTCAAAAGCACCTATTTGCACATGAAACCTCTTTGTGGGTCGACTCAAAAGCACCTATTTGCACATGAAACCTCTTTGTGGGTCGACTCAAAAGCACCTATTTGCACATGAAACCTCTTTGTGGGTCGACTCAAAAGCACCTATTTGCACATGAAACCTCTTTGTGGGTCGACTCAAAAGCACCTATTTGCACATGAAACCTCTTTGTGGGTCGACTCAAAAGCACCTATTTGCACATGAAACCTCTTTGTTGGTCGACTCAAAAGCACCTATTTGCACATGAAACCTCTTTGTGGGTCGACTCAAAAGCACCTATCTGCACATGAAACCCCTTTGTGACTCAAAAGTCCCTATTTGCATGCATCCAGGCGAATCAAGTCATCCATGCCATGTGGTATCGAAGGGTGTGCACGTGCTACCATGGATCTTCTTGTCTTGGATACTCTTTGCATTGCAATCAGATTCCCAATCAATTAGGATCTAGCTAGACCCACTTGGATCAAATTAGGCAGGAGCAGATACACCACTCAGCCTCTCCTCTTCCCCTCCTTCCCCTCCCCCCCCCCCCTCCCTTTCTACACCTGCAGTCTCACTCTCGCCTGTCCCTCTCTCTGCCGCATCAACTTCGGCACCACATCACGCATCCTCCTCTCCCCCACTCCCTCCACCACCACCACCACCACACAACTCACCACCAGCAGCAGCAGCAGCGCTGTCAACGCCCTCCCTGGCCCTCCCACCACCACACCCACCTCTTCCTCCTCTCACAGACGCATCCTGACACCCAGAAGCCCAAGTATCTTCTCTCGTCTCGCTGCCCTTGCTTCTCCTCGCACCAAGCCGCTTGAAGGGTCGGCAGTGGCTGGAGGAGGAGGTCCCACTGGTGCTGGCATTGACAATGCCGGTGGCAGTGTTGGGGTTGGCATTGCCAAAACCAGCACTGGAGGAGGTCCCACTGGTGCTGGTGTTGGCAGTGCCGGTGGTATTGTTGCTGCTAGAAACGGTGCTGCTAATGGTGGTGCTAGTGATGCTGCTGCTGCTTCTGCGTTGGTCTTGTCAGCAGCTCCAACACCAGCCCAGGCAACATCAGCTCCTGCTCCCAGAGAAACTGCCACTGCTTCTCCTCCTCCTCCCACTGCCCCCACTGCTCTCCCTTCTGCCACCGCCGCCACCGCCTCTGCTCACACTCCTCCCAGAACCCCCCCCAACCACGCACCACCGCTCGAGTCCCTCGTGCTGCCCTGCTTCGGCATGTCAGACACAGTAATCTCCGCCATTGCTTCCGCCTGCCCCAGCCTCACGTCTCTCCGCTTCGACCCCGGTTCCAAGAAACGCTACGCGAAGATTCTCGGAATGTTCCAAGTCGCCGGAGCGCTGGATGTGAGTGGCTCTGCTTGCAGGTTTCTCGGAAGGTTCCAAGCTCGTGGGAGTTTGTCTGCCCCCCCCCCCCCCCCCCCCCCGCCCCCCCACATACACCTGCAGTCTGACAGTTTTTTCTCATGTTATTCTCCAGTCTGTCTTCGCTTTTCGCGTGTAGTGAGTCGATTTTTGAGTCGACTCAAAATTCGACTCACCTGCAGTCTGACAGTTTTTTCTCATGTTATTCTCCAGTCTTTCTTCCCGCTTCTCTTAATCCTTCAACAAGTTGCCATTTACTGTCATTCAACAACCATTTCCTCTGCAAAACCTCCCTCCCCTCCCCCTCACCTAACTTCCCCACATCTGCACTAATATTTTGTTCCCTTTGCCCTCCCTCCTCCACCCCCGTATTCCCCCGCACCTTAGATCGACTGCACCGTGACAGACGCATCCCTCCAATCGCTGGCCGCCAGCTGTCCGTCGCTCTCAGAGCTCCACCTCTTTTCAGACTACCTTCTGGGCACCGGTCTCGCCTCCCACTCCCCAGCTACACCTTCCTCCACTCCCCCCTCGCCCCCTCCTCCTCCGATCCCCAATTCGACATCTTCGTCTCCTCTTCCCAATCGTAGCCCACCCACCCCGTCCTCCCTATCCCCTCTTCGCAATAACAATTCCTCCCCATCCTCCTCCCCGTCGTCCTCCTCCCCTTCCTCCTCGCCTCTTCCCTCCAAGCCTCCCTACCGCTTCCTCTCCCTCAAGGCACTCTCTATCACCAGCTGCTCTCTCGCTGACCCGGGCGTTGCCTGCATAGTCACCGCCTGCCCCAACCTCCTCCGGCTGCTCCTGCGTGATTGCATACAGGTACATTGCATCAGCCTTACTGTTGGGCCTCGGGTAATCGTATCGTACCGCTTCCTCTCCCTCAAGGCACTCTCTATCTCAAGCTGTTCTCTCGCTGACCCGGGTGTTGCCTGCATAGCTGCCGCCTGCCCCAACCTCCTCCAACTTTTGCTGCGCGGTTGCCTACAGGTACGCTGCCCTTTCACTGGCTACAGGTAAGTGCCACTTCCAACCTTCGGATAATTTCTCCATGGGTGTAACCATACCGCTTCCTCTCCCTCAAGGTCCTTTCCATCTCTAGCTGCTCTCTCCCTGTCCCATGCCTTTCCTGCATAGCCGCTGCCTGCCCCAACCTCCTGAAACTGTTGCTGCACGATTGCATACAGGTGAATCAGCAACTCTCTGCCTTTCTTTTTCTCCCTGACTCAGCCCTCTCTTCCCACTCTTTCACACTCCTCGCCTTTGCCCCTCTCTCCTCCTTGGCTCCCTGAATCTGCCCTAATTGTTACTGCGTCTCTGCCACTGGCAGGTTACTGAGGCAAGTGTAAGCAGTGCAGTCAAGGCATGCAAGAAGCTTCAATTGCTGGACGTGTCTGGCTGCACCAGAGTGAACCTAAAGCAGGCTGCTAAGGTCGTAGCAGCTAGACCACGGTTGGTGCTTGTAACGGTTAGAAAGGTTTCGGATCGGACTGAATAATACTCAGACTCTGATTAATACCGTAAACTGAATCACAGGCACTCTAACTGCAGCTTAGAAAGTGTCGCGTGCTCAAATTACTACCGGTATGTACCGTACACTCTGATTAATAACAAGTGAATTTGAATCCTAATACCGTATCCCCCCGGATATACCCCCATGGGGGGCAATAATAAAACAGGTTTTTTCATGGGGGTGGGCTTATAATCGAGTAAATTTATAAGCGCCGGCGTTTATAAAATGACATACATATTTTTTTATATCTTTTAACACCAAACTGTAGGTCTCGTGCTTGCCTTTTCAATCGAGTCGAAGTTACATGGGATCGTCTGTGAAATTCTCGCGCGCGCTGGGAGATACACCCAATCTGACTCACATCCAGCTCCTGACAGGTCCTGCTGACTGGACCCACATCCAGTGCAGGGTCCGAATGTGAAGGGAACCGATTCTGCAACATATCCGCCTGCTAAAGTAAAAATCGTTACAGCTTTTTGAACACATTTCAAATTTTAAAGTTTACGTGCGCTTATAATAAAACAAGTTTTTTCAAGGGGTGCGCTTATAATCGAGGAGGGGATATAAGCGCCATATGCCAATTAGAAGCGCCAGGCGCTTATCCTAGGGTGGCGCTTATATCCGGGGGGAGACGGTATCAGATACCCTTCATGTTGGACGGGTGTGGCTGCACCATCAGAATGAACTCCAAGCAGGCTGCCATGCCAAGACAAGGCAGGTAGTACAGCAGCTGGACTGTGGCTGGTGTTTGTTGTAAAAGTAACAGGTAGATGAAATTAGAATTGAATATCGAACACATCCAAGTCTAGATTCCACGTTTGGTTTGAATGACCGTACCATGATTTGAAAGAGTGTCGTCTCCTCCACATAGAAGCCACACCTTTGATTCATGAGCGCGCGAAATAGAATTCGACTATGTCGATACAACAGAAAGCGTAAGAGTCATCCAGATTCAAGGATAGAGAAAGAGCCAACAGTTGTACAATTTCACCAAGTGTAATGATGGGGCGCACCCATGGTAGTGCTGTACCATATTCATCCATTAAGCCAACCAGTCCCAGTCTCTACCTCCAAGTGACTAAGGAGAGTACCATACGGTATGTATCTAATCAACAACCCCAGGTTATCTAGATCGAGATCGCCAGGTCCTTCACCCAGGGATCAAGCGGCTTCCCAATCGAGTACACAATGAACCCAATCTTCCTGAGCGCCTCCACGTCCAAAACATTCCTCCCGTCGAAGATAAACGCGGGCTTTTGCATGCCGTCGTACAGCTTCTGGTAATCCAGAGTCTTGAACTCGTCCCACTCGGTGATCACTGCGATGCACGATGCGTCCTTGGCTGCTTCATAAGGAGATAAGTCCACGGTGACGCGTGAGGAGGCATCCATGGAAGTGGGCGACTGCATCGGGAGGGGATGGTCCCACTCGAACTTGCCTGTGCCCAGATCCCTCCGAATCTGCTCCTCACTGCAGTGGGGTTTGTGTGTGGAAGGGGATGCGAGAAGTTAGCAAAGGATGGTGAGAAGGCCTCCATTAATGTTGGGAATGCATCCGGAGGGGATGGTCCCGCTCAAATGCCCATCCCCAGATCCCGCTGAATCTGCTACTTACTGTATCGGGGAGGTAATTGCGTGTAGGGAGAGGTAACCTCCGTCAATGCACCAAAACTTACTGATAAACCCTGTCACGGAACCCTGCTAAACCCAGAACACTGAGGCCGGTGGCTGTTGACCGAGGCCGGTGGCTGTTGACCGAGGCCGGTGGCTGTTGACCGAGGCCGGTGCTTGTTGACCGAGGCCGGTGCCTGTTACCCGAGGCCGGTGCCTGTTACCCGAGGCCGGTGCCTGTTACCCGAGGCCGGTGCCTGTTACCCGAGGCCGGTGCCTGTTACCCGAGGCCGGTGCCTGTTACCCGAGGCCGGTGCCTGTTACCCGAGGCCGGTGCCTGTTACCCGAGGCCGGTGCCTGTTACCCGAGGCCGGTGCCTGTTACCCGAGGCCGGTGCCTGTTACCCGAGGCCGGTGCCTGTTACCCGAGGCCGGTGCCTGTTACCCGAGGCCGGTGCCTGTTACCCGAGGCCGGTGCCTGTTACCCGAGGCCGGTGCCTGTTACCCGAGGCCGGTGCCTGTTACCCGAGGCCGGTGCCTGTTACCCGAGGCCGGTGCCTGTTACCCGAGGCCGGTGCCTGTTACCCGAGGCCGGTGCCTGTTACCCGAGGCCGGTGCCTGTTACCCGAGGCCGGTGCCTGTTACCCGAGGCCGGTGCCTGTTACCCGAGGCCGGTGCCTGTTACCCGAGGCCGGTGCCTGTTACCCGAGGCCGGTGCCTGTTACCCGAGGCCGGTGCCTGTTACCCGAGGCCGGTGCCTGTTACCCGAGGCCGGTGCCTGTTACCCGAGAGCGGCGCCTGTTGACTGAGAGCGGCGCCTGTTGACTGAGAGCGGTGGCTCTTCACTGAGAGCGGTGGCTCTTCACTGAGAGCGGTGGCTCTTCACTGAGAGCGGTGGCTCTTCACTGAGAGCGGTGGCTCTTCACTGAGAGCGGTGGCTCTTCACTGAGAGCGGTGGCTCTTCACTGAGAGCGGTGGCTCTTCACTGAGAGCGGTGGCTCTTGACTAAGGGGTGAAGGAGACTAAGGGGTGAAGGAGACGCTGGCTGAGGGGTGGAGGGGACGTTGAACGAGGTGAGGTTGGCGTTGACTGAGATGAGAGGGGGGCGTTGACTGAAACGAGAGGGGGGCGTTGACTGAAACGAGAGGGGGGCGTTGACTGAGATGAGTGGGGGGCGCTGACTGAGATGAGCGGGGGGCGTTGACTGAGATGAGTGGGGGGCACTGACTGAGATGAGAGGGGGGCGCTGACTGAGATGAGAGGGGGGCGCTGACTGAGATGAGTGGGGGACGCTGACTGAGATGAGTGAGAGGCGCTGTCTGGGAGAGGGGCTGATTGGGGGAGGGGCTGATTGGGGGTGGGGCTGACCTGGGAGTGGTGGTGATGTTGACTCGGGGTGGGGGTGACATTGACTGGGGGTGGGGTGATGCTGCCCGATGGATGGGGTTGGTTCATTCAGAGGCTTACGCGACTCCGGCCCACCTAACAAATGCCTCTACAGCTCGGTATGAACATGACCGTCTGGCGTACGTGACACTGGCCCTCTAAACTCGGTACAGAAGTGACTTCAAGCATCCGTGACACCAGCCCTCCTATCAACTCGCTACGTACGTGACTTCGGGGTCGTAGATGTGGAGGTACGCGCGGTCGTTGAGCAGCCCGTGGCACACGTCGATGGCGGGCGTCTCGCGGGTGTCGCCAGTGTCCTTCTTGAACGCGAACCCGAAGATGGCGATCTTCTTGCCCGACACCGTGTTGAACATGGACGACACGATCCTCTGATTGGGATGGAGGAAAGGACAAAGGCGCCGATATAAGATCACTCCGTCTAGAATTCTAGGGCACCCTGTTGAACACATCTATCAGGGTAGTACGCAAGGTGTAGCAGAAAAAGAGCGCAAGCAAGGCCAATCTCCTGTTAGGGTCAATTTAATTCTTTGCATGTTGCAACGCACCTTCACAAAGCGGTTCTTCTGGTAGTCGTTGATGTCGATCACCTGCTGCCAGTACTTGGCGCACTCTGTGAGCCCATTGCACTCGCAAATGTACACCAGGTTCAGAATATCCTGAAACAGGGCAAAAAACAAAAAAAGGCACACACACACACAACGTTAGACACTTGGAGGGCAATAACACCACTGACTTGGCAGGCACAAGGATCATCGGTAAGTTAAAACTAGAGCACTCACCTTCTGAAAGCAAGAGCCACCGAAGCCAACGCTGGATTGGAGGAAGCGCTTCCCAATGCGAGTGTCCTTGCCGATGGCGAAGGCCACTTCGGACACGTTGGCACCCGTTGACTGCAGATAAGCAAACAGAATTGGAGGGAATTAAATACGAGAAAACCCCTGGAAAAGCATCTAAACACTAAGCAGCCGTGGTAGAAACAAAGCAACGGTACGATTGGCTGGAGCAGGAACAAATAACGAGCCACGCCAGGTTGTAGCGGTGCGTACCTCGCAAAGGGCAGAGATGGCGTTGATGGAGGAGATTCTTTGCGCCAAGAACGCATTGGCTGCGAGTTTCGACAGCTCCGCGGACCAGAGGTTGGTGGTGAGAATGTTTTCCTGAGGCACCCAGTTGGCATATACTGACGCCAGTGTAGCCATGGCCTTGCGACCAGACTCCGTCTCCTGACCACCTGTAGGAGAAAGGAAGCGAGTTGCGAAGTGATCAGCGCGTTTTTTTTCTCTAAAACTAATTTTCAGTTTTTATTTCTTGCCTTTATTGGCAATCTATAATTTGTTTCCTGAAGTGAGGGATAAGAAACTTGAGGGTTATAGTGCCATGAAACTAAAAGGAGCGGGAAGGTAGTGTTGCTTACCGATGAGGACGCGGTCGGGCTTCCGCAGATCGTCCATGGCGGTTCCTTCAGCAAGAAACTCTGGGTTTGACAGGATCTGCCCATTTCAACAACACATGGTCAGGCGGGATTCTCACATCAGAAACGAATCCCGCTGGCTCCTTAATCCACAGAAATTGAATAAAGAAAAGGAGCTTACATCAAATTGGACACCACTCTTGGTGTGTGTCAGAATTTTCTCAATGGCTTCTGCTGTCTTCACAGGCACTGTTGACTTCTCCACAACCTGAGATTCACGCGAGAAACATTCTCATATTTAACGAACCACTTTGTGCAGAATCTGTCATGACCAGGCCATGATAAGAACAGCCATTCATGTTTTTTCCCTCCCGATAACGTACAATCTTGGGAGAGTTTGAAACGTCTGCAATCATGCGGGCGGCGCTCTCCCAGTATGTCAAATCGGCGGCCTTTCCGGCTCCTAGACCCTGTAACCAACAACCACGTCCGTGAGAAAACGACAAATTTGCATTAACCTCACTGAAATAACGAGGAAAGCGGGGATCAAGAACCAGAACGAACGGTGAGACCCGTTGCACATACCCTGGTCTTTGTGGGAGTGTTGACGCTGACAAAAATAATGTCGCACAGAGCCACATACTTCTGAACTTCCGTGCTGAAAAACAAATTCCTCCCGCGGCACTCCTTGACCTGCGATTCGGCATCGAGAATCGGTAAATCAACTGCCGATTGGACCAAGGCCCGATCACGCTAGGCACGACGCCAAACGTGAAGCTCAGCGGGTTGAACGGCACTGAGTAAGGACTTACAACTTCGTCAAGGCCTGGTTCGTAGATAGGGAGGCGATCGCTGTTCCAAGCGGCAATGCGAGGCTTGCTAATGTCGACGACGTACACCTGAGAAATTTATGACAGCCAGCAGGATCTCTCAGACAAACTTAATCACACTGCTGCTAACGGGCGATCGACACAGAAACAGCTGCAGAAGCAACAGCTAAAGGGTGATCGGCAATAGATCCTGCGTAACAACAAGTACTGCGAACGATCGTCGCACGTACCTCGATGTGGGGACACTTCAAGGCGATCATGGCCATGGTGGGACCGCCGACATAACCGGCACCAATACAGCAGATCTTCACCATCTTGGCGTGTGAGTCAATGAGAATGAAACAATGAGCGGAAGACGAGGAGGCTAACTCGACTCACAATGCCAAGCTAGTGTGACAATCAGGTCTCAAGCGAAAATGAAGAGCCTTGCCGGTATGGAAAGCTAGGCGACGAAATCTTGACTTGAGAATCAATCTAAAGTTTCAGCTGACATTTGAAGATGCCTTCAATTCGGAGATTTCTGGGTGAAATTGGTTGGTGAGAGGGAGGGAGGGACGGAGGAAGGAAGGTGGAGGGGAGAGAGGTTTGGGGCCGGTATGGGCAGGTTCGGACGTCCTCGAAAACATCAGCAACCTAGCCCAATGGACGTCGGTCAGCCTTCTGCAGGCGTTTTTTGGGACACCCGAACCTGCCCATTGGGATCTCCTGAACTCCACCAACTCAGCACTCCAGTCGCAGGCGTGCATTGTTGGCGCATCGCAGCCTCATCTTTGCTCTCGCCAAGATCCGACGGCCATAAAAGCTTCGAGGGCTGTGTTGGCCGTTGGGGCTGCCCCAGGAACTCGGACACGTGAAACGTAACTGATGGGATCCCCAACCGCGCCTCGAGATTGGTGGCACCTGAACGAAACGCGGTGCGTTTGGCGACAGGAAAATGTCGTTACAGCCAATCGGACTCTTCGCGTTCAGGTTTCGTGGAGCCAAAGCAACCCGAGGCGAAAGGACAGCCACGGCCTTTTTTCACCGTTGGTTTCGCTGCTTGAAACAGCGAGACAAGCGTCAACAGTTCAAAGCAACCTTCCCAATAACCAATGCCATAAATAATGTGTACACCAAATCGAGGTGGCCTCCATGGACTTCTCTTTAGCGAGTACATGTGGATTTATCTGTAGTAATTTCACTTCCCCAGGCAGGTACGATTCTGACCTTGATTTCTGCACTGATTTCATGACCAGCTGACGAAAAGCACACTTCGCGGCGGCCGCATGTCGCCATGGCTGCGCGTAGAGCCGCGAATTCGACCATCGGCGCGCACCTTCGCTCCTCCTTCATCCGCCTCTCACGCACCTTCAACCCACCATGCGTTGCTGACGTGTCACCACATTGTCCATCATCCGCGATCCCGTCAACCGCCAATTTTTCGCAACGCACGGCGGGTCGCATTCAATCCCCACCGCTGTCGTCGGCGGCTCCGATCTCTGGTAAAAGCCGTTCTTGGATCGCATGTCTGGACACGTGGCAGCACGCGACCATCAGGCGGAACGCGCCTTTCCAGCCTTCAGGCGCTCATCAAATTCAGGACGTAGCCCTTCTGATCAACCACAGTATCGCAGCTGCTACAAACGAATCCCACAGATTAGGCTCTTGCGTCGACAAGGATTACTGTAGCCAGTTTAGCACTAGTGAAAGAAGTAGAACAGAGAGGAGCATTGACTCCATTGGTGGTAGAAATAGTAGTAGGAACAATCTATTAGGTTCAGAGAGCCTAGACAGAATAACGGTCGACAACAGCAGCAGCCTTAGCAGCAGAACTAGCAGCAGCAGTAGGAGTAGAAGCAGTGTCGGTAACAACATACGCAGGTTCAGTGGCGACGCTAGCAGCAATGCAAATGTCCCCAGCAGCAGCGGCACTACCAGCACTAGCAGCGCCGGCACTAGTAGCAGCAACACTAGCAGCAGCAGCAGCAGCGCGAGCGGTAGCAGTGGGAGGCTCGAAAAGCCCCCCATAGACCTGTCCGCCTTCCCGCCAGATCGGATCCGGAACTTCTCCATTGTCGCCCACGTGGACCACGGGAAATCCACGCTGGCAGACCGCCTGCTGGAGCTGACAGGCACGCTCACGCCCAGCGACACCAAGGGGCAGGCGCGCCCACAGTACCTGGACAAGCTGCAGGTGGGCTTTGAAGGGCTTTGAGCACCTGGACAAGCTGCAGGTGGGTGGAGTATTAGGTGTCTATTAGATGTCTTATACCTGAGTTTTGACCTATTAGATGTCTAATACCTGAGTTTTGACCTATTAGATGTCTAATACCTGAGTTTTGACCTATTAGATGTCTACTACCTGAGTTTTGACCTATTAGATGTCTAATACCTGAGTTTTGACCTATTAGATGTCTAATACCTGAGTTTTGACCTATTAGATGTCTTGTTGCCGAACGTGCCCACCTTCACTCCCTCTGCTCCCTCCCATGCCAGGTGGAGAGGGAGCGAGGCATCACAGTGAAGGCACAGCTACGAGGTGTCTCGTTCGCAGGCCACCACTCAGGGCGTGCTGATGCTGCTGGTGGTGCTGGTGCTGGTGGTGATGGGCGTCTTAACACTTGCATCACCTTCACTCCCCCATGCCTTCAGGTGGAGAGGGAGCGAGGCATCACAGTGAAGGCACAGACCGCCACCATGCTCTTTGACTTCCACCCATCGGCACCTACTGGAGGAGACCAGTCTGGTCCCGGTCCTCCTCCCGGGCGCTACCTGCTGAATCTGATTGACACGCCCGGCCACGTGGACTTCAGCTACGAGGTGTCTCGCTCGCTGGCCGCCACGCAGGGCGTGCTGCTGCTGGTGGACGCGCAGCAGGGCATCCAGGCACAGACCGTCGCGAATTTCTTTCTCGCTTTGGAAGGAGACTTGGCCATCGTACCCGTTGTGAACAAGATTGACAGGCCCGATGCCGATCCCCAAGGTGCATTGAGTTCTTATGTGTTTGCTGGCTTCGATGGGGGTTATGGTGCTGGTGTTGGTGGTGGTGGTGCTGGGGGTTCTGGTACTGCTGGTCGTTCTCTCTCGTTCCCCCCCTCTCAGCCATTCGCTCAAATCGTCTCCAACTTCCACCTGCCTCTCCCCTCCTGTTTCTCCACCTCAACTCTCCCTTTTCTAATCCTCCAATCCCCGCTTCCGACCCCTCTCCCACCTTCCATTCGGCCCCTCTCAGCCGTTGCTGCCCAAATCGCCTCCACCTTCGACCTACCTCGAGCCTCCTGCCTCTTCACCTCGGCCCGCACGGGAGCTGGCCTGCCCTCGCTCCTCTCACGCACGCACTGTTTCTGTTCCCATTTCACCCGCTCCTTGCCCCATCAGCTGTCGCGGCTCAGATCGCCTCCACCTTCGACCTGCCTCGCGCCTCCTGCCTCTTCACCTCAGCCCGCACTCTCCCTTCCCTTGTCCCTCCACTCCCCCCATCCCCCCTCTCAGCTGTTGCTGCCCAAATCGCCTCCACCTTCGACCTGCCTCGCGCCTCCTGCCTCTTCACCTCAGCCCGCACTCTCCCTTCCCTTGTCCCTCCACTCCCCCCATCCCCCCTCTCAGCTGTTGCTGCCCAAATCGCCTCCACCTTCGACCTGCCCCTCACCTCCTGCCTCTTCACCTCGGCCCGCATGGGAGCCGGCCTGCCCTCTCTCCTCTCCGCCATCGTGCGCCAGATACCACCTCCCCCAGGCGACCCTGCCGCGCCGCTGCGCGCGCTGCTATTGGACGCGCACTTTGACGAGTACAGGGGCGTGGTGTGTCACGTGGCAGTGGTTGATGGGGCAATCAGGGAGGGGGAGAAGGTGGCGGTGGCAGGCATGGGGATGAGCTACGATGTGGGGGAGGTGGGGGTGATGTACCCTGAAGCAACGCCCACTGGCTGTTTGCTTACTGGGCAGGTGTGTGCGCGGGTGAATGTGTGTGTGGGAGAGAGGGTGGCGGTGGCAGGCATGGGGATGAGCTATGATGTTGGGGAGGTGGGGGTGATGTACCCTGAAGCAATGCCCACTGGCTGTTTGCTTACTGGGCAGGTGTGTGTGCGGGTGAATGTGTGTGTGGGAGAGAGGGTGGCGGTGGCAGGCATGGGGATGAGCTATGATGTTGGGGAGGTGGGGGTGATGTACCCTGAAGCAACGCCCACTGGCTGTTTGCTTACTGGTCAAGTGAGTATGAGAGTGCTTGTTTGAGTTTCGGTGCTGGCATGGGAGTGGGAGTGAGTGGCAGTGGCAGGCATGGGGATGAGCTATGACGTAGGGGAGATTGGAGTCATGTATCCGGAGTCTACGCCTACACGGTGTCTTCTTACTGGTCAGGTGGGCGAATGTGCAAGGGTGGGTGGGAGAGTGAGTGGCAGTGGCAGGCATGGGGATGAGCTATGGCGTGGGGGAGGTTGGAGTCATGTATCCGGAGGCTACGCCTACAGGCTGTCTGCATACTGGACAAGTGAGTTTAAGTAGGCTTGTAAGAGTTCAGGTGCATGCATGGGAGAGCGGGAGGGTGGCGGTGGCAGAAATGGGGATGCGCTATGATTTGGGGGAGGTGAGGTGGGGATGATGTAACCCAAAGCAATGCCCATGGGTTGTTTGCTCAATGGAACTTGTCTTGCCTGTCCCAAGCTGAGACCTCTCCGCACCCCATCTCCCAAGCAGGTGGGGTATGTGATGCTGGGCATGCGGACAACGCAAGAAGCAAGGGTGGGTGACACGATCCACCACCACAAGGCGCAGGTGTCGCCCCTCCCGGGCTTCAGGGCGGCGCAGCACATGGTGTTTGCAGGGGTGTTCCCGGCCAACTGACATAGCTCAAGTGTCTCCCCTTTCCCCCTGTGCCTGTGGCAGGTGGGGTATGTGATGCTGGGTATGCGCACGACTCGAGAAGCAAGGGTAGGCGACACCATTCACCACCATAAATCCCAAGTGTCGCCCCTACCGGGCTTCAGGGCGGCGCAGCACATGGTGTTTGCGGGGGTGTTCCCGGCCGATGGGTCTGACTTTGAGGCGCTGGCCAAGGCGGTGGACAAGCTGGTGTGCAACGATGCCAGCGTGGCCGTGACAAGATACAGCAGTGCTGCACTGGGGGCTGGATTCAGGTAAGGGGGAGAGGGAAGGGCGAGGGTGGCTGGGAGGGAGCGCAGCACATGGTGTTTGCGGGGGTGTTCCCGGTCGATGGGTCTGACTTTGAGGACTTGGCCAAAGCGGTGGACAAGCTGGTGTGCAACGATGCCAGCGTGACCGTCACCCGCTACAGCAGCGCTGCCTTAGGAGCCGGATTCAGGTGTGTGTTGGGATTGCAGCATGTGGTGTGGTGTGGTGCATGCATGCAGCGAAAAGGCGCTGGCTAAGGCGGTGAACAAGCTGGTGTGCAGCGATGCCAGCGTGGCCGTGACAAGATACAGCAGCGCTGCCCTGGGCGCGGGATTCAGGTGAGGAGGTGAGAGGGGCAAATGCAAGCAGGCACGAGTAAGCGAGCATTGGCATGTGAGTGTCTTTTCTCCCCTCAAGGCATTGACTAAGGCGGTGATCAAGCTCGTGTGCAACGATGCAAGCGTGGCTGTTACCAGATACAGCAGCGCTGCCCTGGAGGCCGGATTCAGGTGTGTGGTAGTGTTGGATATGGGAGTAGAGTGAGTGAATGAGTTATTGAGCGAGTGAATGAGTGAGGGAGTGAGTGGGGGAGTGAGTTAGTGATTGAGTGAGTGAGTGAGGTAGTGAGGTAGTGAGTGACTGATTGCTCCTCTTCTTTGTCATTGTCCTGGCAGGTGCGGCTTCCTGGGTTTGCTCCACATGGACGTGTTTCACCAGCGCCTGCAGCAGGAGTTTGGAGCCGAGGTCATCTCAACCGCTCCCTCCGTGCCTGCCATCTTTGAATACGCTGACGGCACGTGAGTGCGTGTACCATGCTGCCGATAGTACGTCAGTCAATTCTCCATGTCGACTCGCCAGCGCCTGCAGCAGGAGTTTGGTGGTGAAGTCATCTCAACCGCCCCCTCTGTGCCAGCTATCTTTGAATACGCTGACGGCACGTGAGTTGATGTGCCATGCCATGTCATGCAGTGCCAATACATGCACATGACACGTGAGTCGGTCGGTGTGCAGTGTTTGAGTTTTCCACCGCTCCCTCCGTGCCTGCCATCTTTGAATACGCTGACAGCACGTGAGTCACTTTACAGTGCCACATCATCCCATCCCATGCCATTCCATGTCAATTTCTGTGCCATGTAGTGGCTTCTGAGGCGCCTTCTCGGACCATCATCTACACTTGTTTCTCAGTTGTATCTACACATTCGAACAAGTCCAACAATCACACGTTCTCCCAAGTTTTGAAACACATGATTTCTCCCACCTCACATCTACTCCCCTCACATCCCACCTCACATCTACTCCCCTCACATCCCACCTCACATCTACTCCCCTCACATCCCACCTCACATCTACTCCCCTCACATCCCACCTCACATCTACTCCCCTCACATCCCACCTCACATCTACTCCCCTCACATCCCACCTCACATCTACTCCCCTCACATCCCACCTCACATCTACTCCCCTCACATCCCACCTCACATCTACTCCCCTCACATCCCACCTCACATCTACTCCCCTCACATCCCACCTCACATCTACTCCCCTCACATCCCACCTCACATCTACTCCCCTCACATCCCACCTCACATCTACTCCCCTCACATCCCACCTCACATCTACTCCCCTCACATCCCACCTCACATCTACTCCCCTCACATCCCACCTCACATCTACTCCCCTCACATCCCACCTCACATCTACTCCCCTCACATCCCACCTCACATCTACTCCCCTCACATCCCACCTCACATCTACTCCCCTCACATCCCACCTCACATCTACTCCCCTCACATCCCACCTCACATCCTCCCAAGCGAGCGAGGGAAGCAACAATCACTTCCTCTTTCCTCGCTTCCCACCTCACACCTACTCCCCTCTTTCCCTCGCCCTGACTCCCCTCTATCCAGTCGCATAGAAGCCCAGGGTCCATCCGACATCCCATCTGTACCGAAGCAGCAAGAGCTTCTCATATCTTTGTTCTTCCCACCTCCTCTCCCCACCCTCCGACCTCGCCCTCTCCCTCCTCCCTCCCATCCAGTCGCATAGAAGCCCAGGGTCCATCCGACATCCCTATCTGTCCCGAAGCAGCAAGAGCTTCTCATATCTTTGTTCTTCCCACCTCCTCTCCCCACCCTCCGACCTCGCCCTCTCCCTCCTCCCTCCCATCCAGTCGCATAGAAGCCCAGGGTCCATCCGACATCCCATCTGTCCCGAAGCAGCGAGTGCTTCGCTGCACCGAGCCCTTCGTGCTCGCTACCATCGTGACTCCCTCCAAGTGAGTGCCCCTCCAAGTGAGTGCCCCTCCAAGTGAGTGCCCCTCCAAGTGAGTGCCCCTCCAAGTGAGTGCCCCTCCAAGTGAGTGCCCCTCCAATCATCCCCTCCCTCCATCCAAGTGAGCCCACAAGGCTTGGAACATGAGCTCCCTTCCCGCTGCACTGAGCCCTTCGTGCTCGCTACCATCATGACTCCCTGCAAGTGAGTAACAAATAGAAAGTAGTCAAAGGCTTTTGAGTCGACTCAAAAGCAGTCAAAGGCGCAAACATCCTGTTTGAAATACACTCAGATTGGTGAGGTCTTAGCGCCGGGGCCCATTTTGGGATCCCAACAAAGAAACCTGCAATATGATCGTTTAGCACTGCAATAGTACCTTCTGTGTGGTGCCAAGCCCTCGCCTACAGGGTCAACATAATGACTCCCTTCCCGCCTTCCCCATCCCCCGTCCCTTCTTACCCAGTCCCTCCCTCCCCCACTTTCCCTGTCACGCTCCCTCTCCACCCCAGGTACGTGGGACCTATCATGGACCTCTGTGCGAGCAGGAGGGGCGAGCAGAAAGAGTACTCGTTTATTGATGGGTGAGTTCTGGTTTAGACTAGGCTGATGAGCACTGAGATGCTAGTGTGCGTGCCGCAGTGCGGGCGACGTGGGATGGTTCCTGACGGACCTTTTGAGTTGAATTAAAGGACTTTTGAGACGTCTCAAAAGTCATGGGTGGGTTCTGGTCTGGTCTAGGCCGATGAGCATTGAGATGCTAGTGCGCGGCAACATTGTATGGTACCTGACAGACCTTTTGAGTCGACTCAAAGGTCAAGCCAGGTCACATCACACTGAGATGGCAATGCAAGAGGTGGTAAGGGAGCGCTTGTTTGCTTGTTTACTGAGTTTTACAGCCTTTCACCTAGATTACTGCATTTTGTCCTCTTCCCCTGTATTTTGTATGCTGTTGCAGCGACCGGGCCATGCTGCGCTATGACATGCCGGTGAGGGAGGTGGTGATGGATTTCTACAGCCACCTCAAGAGCATCTCGTCAGGGTTCGCGACGTTTGACTACGAAGATGCCGGGTGAGTGAGTGTGTGTGTGTGAGTGAGTGAGGTGCAGCGTGAGGTGCAGGCAGGCACATGGCGGGACAGCCAAGAAAAGAGCAGGCTTCTTCTTTCTAGTCGACTCAAGATTGGTTTAGTCAAGAAAGAAGGGGGCTTGGGGGTGAGGAGGTGATGGATTTCTACAGCCACCTCAAGTGCATCTCGTCAGGGTTCACGGCGTTTGACTGGATCTGCAGGGTGAGACAATGGATCTGCAGGGTGAGACAATGGATCTGCAGGGTGAGACAATGGATCTGCAGGGTGAGACAATGGATCTGCAGGGTGAGACAATGGATCTGCAGGGTGAGACAATGGATCTGCAGGGTGAGACAATGGATCTGCAGGGTGAGACAATGGATCTGCAGGGTGAGACAATGGATCTGCAGGGTGAGACAATGGATCTGCAGGGTGAGACAATGGATCTGCAGGGTGAGACAATGGATCTGGTGATGGTGGGATCCGATCTGGCGAACTTGTAATCTAGGGAAACTGGGATCTGCTGCTGAACGATTTCGAAATTCGAAGTAATTTGAAAAGCTGCCTGCACCTTCACGCTTCTTTTTTTTTTGTTTTTTTTTTTTTGGTGAATGGGCATGCACTATATAATGCAATTACATTCGCAGTCGTAACTGACCTTCACGCTTCTGAAAAGGTTTCCCGTATCCCGAAATGCAACCCGCTTCCTCCCCCCCACCCTTTTTCTTGCACTTTTGCTGCCCTTTTTCCATGCACGCCAGTATGAGGGAGGCGGATCTGGTGAAGGTGGATGTGCTGTTGACCGAATTTCAAATCAACTGTTCCCTCCCTTTGCTACCCTTGTTCTGTTTGTCCCAGCATGAGGGAGGCGGATCTGGTGAAGGTGGATGTGCTGCTGAATGGCAAGCCAGTGGATGCGCTGGCAGCCATCGCCCACAGAGACGCGGCGCAGCGCATGGGCAGGAAGCTGGTGGAGCGCCTCAAAGGGGTGCTCGACAGGTGGGTTTGAAACGGTTTAGAGGGTTCCAGAAGGTGCTGAGAGGGTTTTGTTGTAGTGGCGAGTGGCAGCCATCACCCACAGAGACGCGGCGCAACGCATGGGGAGGAAACTGGTGGAGAGACTCAAAGGAATCCTTGACAGGTGGGTTTGAAGCGATTGAGAGGGTTTTCGAAGGTTGAAAAACTCATCATTTTTAAAAGGGTTTTGTAGTGGCAGTGGATGCATTGGCAGCCATCGCCCACAGAGACGCAGCGCAGGGCATGGGGAGGAAACTGGTGCAGCATTTGAAGGGGATTCTTGACAGGTGGGTCTGAAACGGTTGAGAGGGTTGTGAGAGGGTAGTGGATGTGGCAGAACGCGTGAGGAGGAAATTAGAGGAGCGACTCAAAGGAATCCTTGACAAGTGTGGTTGAGGGGTAACAAAGGCGCGACACATTGAAGCATTTGGCTGCTTCTGTTTCATCTGGATTGATTTCTCGCTTTATGCTTGTGGATGTAGGATCGCGGGTTTGTTTTCTGTTGCATCTGTTGGGTTTGCCTCAACGATTCGCCTCAACTGGACACATGTTTCAACTGAGTGTACATGCACCCATAAATGCGTGCCATTAAAATATGGGTGCATGCAGGCAAATGTTTGAGGTGGTTATCCAGGCTGCTATTGGCGCTAAAGTGATCGCAAGTGACAAGTGAGTGGGAGTGCAGGTTTTACTGTACTGACAGTATGCTTTCTTGCAAGTTTCATCGGCACACCTTTGCTCAAGTGTGCACTTGTGTCCATATCCTTTTCTACGTACTGTACAATTCTTTGTTCATCCTACCAGCATATTGTGCAACATGGTACCTTCTTATCCATCGATTATTGAACAACTTGCAACATTTGTTTCTCTCCCCGAACAGGCTTTCAGCTATGCGTAAAAACGTGCTTGCTAAGTGTTACGGCGGGGATGTTTCGCGCAAGCGGAAGCTGTTGGAGAAGCAGAAGGAAGGGAAGAAGCGAATGAAACGAGTTGGTTCCGTCTCTCTTCCCCAAGAGGCGTTCCACGACTTGTTACGGACATCATAACAAGAAATTGCATTTTGTTTTTGCAATGCAAGTTAGCTATTTACTTCCTTACATGTACCGACAATCTCTTTCGTTCACAAAGGGTGCTCTGACCTACTAGAGGGAACGCTAAAGTTGCGTGCCGCGAGACATGGTCTGCACCGTACAACCGTACTACACAGTTTTTCACCGGGCTGTAAAGGAACTACAACGGACACCTATTTTCTGGTGTCTGTCACACCTACTGCTCTCCATCGCTCCATTACCTCCCTAATCGCACACTCCATTACCCCTCGCCGTCGCCTTCGCTACCCCTTATCTTCCTCTCCGCACCGTGTCGCGATCCGCATTCTTCCATCTCCATGTACTAACACTCCCACGAGACATCCCAGCGGAACTTCAACACGGATCAGCTCCTACATATTTCCCAGTCTTTCTTTGCTCCTAAACGGGTTACGCTTCAGTAAAACTTTTAAAACCAACCGTCGCTGCGTCTCAAAAAGCGGGAGCATTACAGCCTTGAAATAACCTCGTCGGAGCACCTTATAACGAGGATTTAATACGCGCTAAGATATCAGATCGGATCGGAGCGGTCATGGGATCGCCGTCGGTGATGGATGAGGTGCGGAAGGTGATGGCGATGGTGACGGAGGGCAACGAGCAGCTGCAGCAGGCGCAGGAGCAGGCCTCCGCCGCCATTCGCGAGACCACCGCGGCCGCGCGGCAGCAAATGGCGGTCATGGAAGCTGCAGCGTCGGAGCAGCTGCTGGAAGCGAAGGTAGGCAGCTTATAGCGCGTATTGATACGCGGGGAGGAGGCTGATGGGGCTCGAGCGTTTCAGCCACAGCAGATGGAGGCAAAGGGGGAGGTGCAGGCGCAGGTGTAAGCAATTCAGAGATTCCTGCAAAACGAGATCCTTTAATTTTGCCCTTTTCTCATCTTTGCTCGTTTCCCATCAACTTCCTTTTCCCAACTTCCATTCTTCCCCCTTTTCCCTTTCCTTTTCCATCTCCCTTTCTGTTTCCCATCCTTGCTCTGTTCTTGCAGGCGTCCCTTGAGGTGGCTCGTGAGGTGTACACACAATACGAGGACGTTTTCTTCCACCACCTCAAGAGTGAGTGAAGGAGTGAGGGAGGGGGTGAGTGAGTGAGTGAATGAGTGAGGTGTACACGCAATACGAGGACGTTTTCTTCCACCACCTCAAGAGTGAGTGATAGAGTGAGTGAGGCGTGTGCGCGTTACACTGGGAGTCACAAGTGTGCGAGGCGTGTACACGCACCATACCAGAGTTGTGCAAGATTTCTCAGAAGTGAGGTGTACACACAGTATGAGTATGGGTTGCTTCTTCTCTGCCCCTGGTTTGCCCGTCCAGCTCTTCTCAACTTGTTCTCTGTTTTCTTCATTTCTCCGCCCTCCCTCCTTTCTTTCTTCTCTCCAGTGGGGGTTTATCTGGCCTCAGAGCATCGCGTTGCCTCGTCTGCAGCGCTGCTCTCTGCCCTCGCTTTTATCCTTCCAGGTTAGTCGTTTCGCTCGGGCTTGTTAGTTGATGACCCAAAACGCTAGTTTCATGAAATAATAGTACAAACCAACCAGTCTGGGAGAGCTCCACCTTGGCCGAAAAAAAACCCATTTCTTGTTCTACTCTTTTCTGTTGCTTCCCGCCTTTCTTTCGGACTCTCCCTGCCTCTTCATTTGATTCTTGTGCGGAATCTCCCTGTCTCGTCCTGTGCAGGGCCACGCAAGATGCTGTATAGGGCAACATTTGGCCGGTTCCAAACTCCAGAGGTAAGCGAGTGTGCACAGATGCAAGACTGTATGATGCAAGGCTTTTGTGTACTTGTTGTTAGCTTGGCTGGATGATATTGAAAGCTTTCAGATGTCCCTTCCCTTTTCCCGTTCCCCTTCCCGGCCTCTGATGCAGGTGCTGGTGGAGTCAGCCGAGCTCAAGCTGGAAAGGTTTGGAGCAGTTAGTGGAGGTGAATGGAGGTTAACGCAAGTCAGAAAAAGTCAATGGAAGTCCATCCTGTTTATCATTTCCTTTTCCGATTCCCCTTTCCGGCCTTTGACGCAGGTGCTGGTGGAGTCAGCAGAGCGCAAGCTAGAGGGCTTGAAGCAGTCGGTGGAAGTCTTTAAGAACGACACCAAGAAGCTGCAGGTGAGATAAGAGCAGGCAAAGGTTTCGCAACTTCTTTTCGTGCCTCGCTTCCTTTCCCTCTCTTCTACCATCTGCAGAAGCTCCGTTCAAAGATAAAGCTTGACCTTGATAATGTCATATTCACTGAATGTGGACGTGCAGGAACGGGCTCAAATGGCCGAGTCAGAGTTCCTGTCAGGCCGAGACAAGCTGAAGTGAGCTCGCCAAACCCTTCACATTTGCTGATGACAGTTGCTGCACCTCCTGCTCATTGTGATGATATTGCATGCTACGATTGGTTTTTGACCTGCTTCACCACCATGCTCCATGTTTCACACGCTTTGCACCAAACCTCTTCTTGTCACCACACCACGTCTTCATTGACTTTCACTAGGGCCGCAAGGCCTGAGATGCAATGCGATTTCTAAGTCAATTCAGAGTCACCTTGTTTCACCCCGTCCTTTTCATTCATCTCATGATTTTACCTTCCGACAACAGGGCTGCAGGGGCTGAGATGCAAAGGCTGGCAGGGACGGTACGAGCAGCAGAGAAGAAGTCACTGGGTGAGTTGCTGCTGTAGGCATCTGCCCCACACACAGTTTCTGTGGCATCTGCAATGAAACTCGCTTGCATGTCAATAATAATACTTCACCAGTTTGCTTACCAGTAACGGTGTGCTTCAAACCAAGCTTCCAAGTGGTCTGGCTTCCATCCTTGTTTGCTGTTTTCTCTTTCTCCTCTACCCTTCCCCAGGGCTTCGTGAGCTACTAAAAGACCTGCCTGCAAGAGACAGCGTTCGGCTGCGATCAGAGGTACGCCGTGTGGTAACTGGCTCCGACAGTGCTTGCCATGTGGTTACCATCCCTCGATGTGGTCTGTCTGTGCCATCAGCATGCCGCAGACTCTGAGCATCCTGTTCAGCACCCTGCTTCATTCATTCTTCTCCGCATTCTTTGCAGCACATTTGCTCTAAATTTGAACATTCTTTTCAGCCATTTTTGAAGCACTCGTAGTTCCAACATCCCCTCCCCACGTTGTCTGCTTCAGCTGGCCATGGCAACCCGAGAGGCTCAACGTCAATTGCATGCCATTAACAAGACAACTGTGCATGTGGCTCGTCTCGGCATCCCTATCTAGTTGCTGCTTGCATGCGCAGCCACTGCTGACAATGTTCCAGCATCCTCATGCTTGGCATGGAATACCCATCTGGTAGTCAGCAATTATGCAGCCCCTCTTGTCAGCTGGTGCATCACAAGCTGGCAGGAGGATCACGATTTTCGCGAAGCTTCCTTCACGAGTATTCATCATGATTCATGAGCTGAGACCAACACATGTGCTCATTGAGTACATCTAATACGATTTCGTACAGCCATGCCAGTTGTAGTTCAGTAGCAGCTACTGAATCGTATCTAAAGCAAGGTCCGTCCATTTGTTTGGATCCTCCTGAGGCACCTCATTGCCTGCATGAATAACAAACAGCAACAGGCATAACAATAGCAAAAGAAGATGAGGGGGCAAGAGCAGGATGACTTGTTGCTTGTCTGCAGAGGCCATGAATCACGATGAATGCTCCCTGAAGCCTCCGTTAGGTACACTCATCATGATTCATAAATTCACGGCCTCTCCTTCATATCTCACGATGAAACGAGCACCTAAGTAAAGGAATGACACAGGATGGCCAAGGCAAAGGCGCCATGAATCATGATGTATGCTGGTGAGAAGAGTGCTTACCAAGGTCGTCGGCCTCTTCTGATGTAGGAGCAGGGCCGATAGGGAGCATCACATCTGATCATAAAGATACCCAAATCACAGGACGTGTAGACGAGAAGCAAGCAGACGAAGTGTTAGCGAAATCTAGAAATTGCCAACGAGCAAAATGCACAATAGGTACCTCCCTACGGTACGGCTTCGGTGGGAAGTGACACACAATTCAAATCAATTTGAAGTCATCTACTTTAACTCTCACCATCGTCGGGAAGCGTCTCGCTCATCCATTCCTCATCGACGATGTCGACAAGGAGCCCGGGAAACAGCACTAGATTCGCCATGTCGCGGTACCTCGAATCAAGTCAAACGAAGTTTTTCACTCGTCGCTTTCAGGAAACTGAAGTGTGATTTGGGACTAACGACGTGCACGTGAGCTCAATCCATGCCTCCTGAACATTCATAACAACGCGAACGCGGAAAAGACCGAGAATAAAAGCAGCTTTGGGACGGAAAGATTCAATCAAATATTAAGCACTACCCAAAGCCGAGTTGTTCTAGTGTTTTTAGTCCGAGATTCCTGCAAAAACACCTCCCGCAAAAATCGTTGAACATCTGGCCCAACCAGTGGCGAAAATTGGCCCAACCAGCGGCGAAAATTCGTGAATGTTGGTACTCGAATGTCGCAACAGTTCGCACTTGAGTGCCTGGGTCAGGCACTGAGCAAGGGAAGCACAGTTAGCACCCACCATTCCAAGCCCAATTCATGCGTTTCCTTCAGCGCTGACGTTTGCTTCTCATTCAACATCCCGAAACACATTCTGGTACTTCGCGATCATGAGGAGCACGACACTTATTCATGTGCTCTGGGCTTTCGCTTTTCTGAGCTGTGCAGCTTCGACATTATTAGGTATGCTCATGAGCAGAAAAGTCTCCACTGACAGCATGACCGGCATGAGGCAACCGAGCTCCAGAAAGCTGAGCTCGACTACCATCCCTTTACCATATCGTCTCCATTTTTTTCGCGATAATATTCTCCCACTTCTTAATGCCATTCGCACTTTTTTTTCCCACTTCTTAATGCCATTCGCTGACTTTCGCAACCGCGGCTCGTGTGAGGTAGCAATCTTGGACCATATTCCAAGCACGAAATCCTCATATTCTAATTTGTCAAATTCTACGTGTGCAGAAGGGAGAGATGACCTAACTCTCGCCATTCTGAAGCCCGACATTATGGGGAGTAACTTCTGGACGGGCTTGTCCAATGACATCCGAGCAGCCGGATTCCAGGTCGTGCATGAGAAGCACTTCTTCTTTGACGAGCCTTTAGCAGAGACATTTTATGCAGAGCACAAGGGAAAGAAGTTCTATCAGGGTCTGATCAACTTCATGCTAAGGTCAGCCATTCCCTCCGTCTCTCTTCTTGTCTTCCCTTACCATCCCTATTGTAGCCACTTGCATTCTTGCTCCATCAGTATTCTTTCAACCACCCGTTATCCCAATCGTTTTCGTGAGTGTTGTCTGCAGTGCGCCAGTGACAGCATTGGTGCTCCAGCAAGAGAATGCACCGTCAGCCTTTCGAGAGCTCATTGGCCCCACTGATCCCAAGACAGCCCGTGCGGCTCACCCTAACAGGTAAATTTCAGACTTCCAAAACTTGCAAGCTGAATGTCAAGTTACACCAGCCACAAAAGTCTGGTCTATAACTTTTTTCTCTCTTCAGTTTTGTTGAATCCGCCTTACCATCCAATATCCCCCTTTGGTGCTTGCTCCTGTGCCAGCTTACGTGCCAAGTATGGCACGGATGTGCTACAAAACGCAGTGCACGGCTCTGCATCTGTTGCTGATGCTCTCCATGAAATAAACCTTCTGTTTCCAGACTGGAAGCCACCTCCAAGTAAGTCGATGGTGTATGTTGGCTTCTCGTCTTGCATTAACGCATTTCTGCCTCTTGTTCTTCTGCCAGGCTGGCTGTAGGACTGGAATTTGTTTTCTTGCAATTTGACGATATTGTAAGGTTTTGTTTTGTGTCAGGTCTTAAGACTCTTACCAACTTCGAAGACGCCAGCGAGCTCTGATGTGTGTACTGCTGCATGCTGGTGCTGACTGTCTGTCGCACAATCTAATTTCCATGAGGCGCAGGTCGCACCGAGGGTACAAAGTACAGGTAACCATGATGATTTGGCTCACAGCATTCCATGGCAGAACTGGACCGTCAAAGACCCATTTCACATTCTGGAGACAAACACTACCGTATCGTATCTCAAGGCAACAATTATTATTACTGGAGGGTTCTTCAAGCCTCCCTTTTCTAATCTCTGGCATCAATGACTCCTTTTCAAAACAAAACAAGGACTTATTCAATTTGAAGGGAGGAGCTTCATTGACCAGAAATACATTGATGGTAATCTTACAAATAAGGCAATCTCACTCTGAGAATGTAATTTTGGGGCTCGGAATTTGAAGGACACTTTCAACATGTTTTGCAGGTCTCGCAGTTGTGGTACATCAAATGGAGGAGTTCCACATTCCTTGGTACTGTCCTCCACTTTGCAGAAGAACAAAATTAGATCACCGTTTTTCTGTACAGAGCGACTGTGCAATTGGATAGCTGTACTCGTCAAAGCGTTTTTGGTTTGGCTTTCACCTTGAAGTTTGAATGAGGTGAAAGCGTCAGCAACTTTTCTCCAGTCTCGAGCAGACTTCTCGGAGCTTACTCGTTACCTGACGAGGATCTCGTCAACGAGCATCGAGCATCACGGCAGCATGTGATTGTACGCAGATTGGCGGTAGAGGCAGCGGGAAATTCGCATACTGAAGGAGGAGGTAGCGGTGACAGTGGCGTGAAGTCTAGAAAATCGCGGACCAAAGATAGAAGCTATTTCAGTGCGGAAAACCAACGCGGAAATGAAGGATGAGGTCGCTCAACAGGAGAAGACGCGCGACGTAGCGACGAAGGACGAAGAAATGGAAGATGTTGAGGAAACAGCTGCTGATGTGAAGGAAGCGGAGGAGGGTAAGGACAAGCGGGATGAGGAGGATGAGGATCAGGTTGAAACGATCGGTGACGGCGATGATCCCGAGGAGCTCGCGGTGATCGAGGCGGAGGAAGTGGAGGAGGGCGACGACGGCGAGCAAGCTGGCGACGACGACGAATTGAACGACGACGACGAGGAGGAGGTTGAGCAAGCGGACGAGGACGACCCTCATAAAGACGAGCCGCATTTCAACGAGGTAGCAATTGCGCGTTTTGTCGTCAATAGTCTCTCCCGCTGGGTCTCGTCAAGAGAGTAGAGTCGCCGTTTGCCCTTTGCCAATGCCCCGTGCAGCTGCTGTCCTTCCTTCGCTGCTTGATTCAATGGCTCAATGGCTCCACTCCTCTCTGTGTTTCCTGCGGTCCGGTCGATTTGCAGCGCAAGGAGATAGCGAGGAAGGAGAGGGAGCGGCTGAGGGAGATGAAGCGGAACAAGAAGAAGGAGCTGGAGGAGCTCGTCAAGAGGCAGAACGAAGCCGTGCAGGCTGAAACGGTAAGAAAGAGATGTTGGAGGGGCTTCCTGCGGTTATCATGAAAAAAAAGGGCAACCAGAGGGAGATGAGGCGGAACAAGAAGAGGGAGCTGGAACGGAAGAGCTCGTCAAGTTACAGAACGAAGCCGTGCAAGCCGAAACGGTAAGCAAGGGACTGCCGAGGGGCTTCGTGCTCTTATTTTGTTTGAGTAAGGAGGGCAGCCTGGGGAAGATGAAGCAGAACAAGAAGAGGAAGCTGGAGGAGCTCGTCAAGCGACAGAACGAAGCCGTGCAAGCCGAAACGGTAAGCAAGGGACTGCTGAGGGGCTTCGTGGTCTTATTTTGTTTGAGTATGGAGGGCAGCCTGGGGGAGATGAAGTGGAACAAGAAGAGGAAGCTGGAGGAGCTCGTCAAGCGACAGAACGAAGCGGTACAAGCCGAAATGGTAAGCAGGGGCATTTGGAGATGCCGTGAAGTTAACTTGAGAATATATGATAACCTGAGCCGAGGGAGATGAAGCGGAGCTAGAAATGGGAGCTGGAGGAGCTTAAGGCGCAGAACAACACTAAACCGCAAAATTCCTAGTGAACTTCAAAGGCAGCTATCTGTATGCCTCTCTGTTCCTCCCCGGGTTCCTTATTCCCTCCGTTCCGTTCCTGGGCAGGCCGACAATGCTAAAGGGCGGCTCAAGTTCCTGCTGCAGCAGACGGAGATATTCCAGCACTTTGCACAGCAGCACGACTCGCCTGTGAAGCCCAAGGGCAAGGGCCGAGGCAAGGGCCGGGGTCGAGGGAGCTCGAAGCTGACAGAGGAGGAAGAAGACGAGGAGTATTTGAAGGAGGAGGAAGAGGCGCTGGGGGACGGAGGCAGCACCACCAGGCTGCTTGTGCAACCCTCTTGTAAGTCTCTTTAGGTGCCTCAAAAAGATATCCCAGCACGTTGCGTGGGTCGAGGTCGAGGGAGCTCGAAGCTCACAGAGGAGGAGGAGGACGAGGAGTATTTGAAGGAGGAGGAAGAGGCGCTGGGGGATGGAGGCAGCACCACCAGACTGCTCGTGCAGCCCTCTTGTAAGGCCTAACTTGTTCCTAAGCTTCTTGTACCTTCTCTGTTTTGATGGTTTGAAAGGCATCATCTGACTGACTGTGAGTGCAACGTTTTGTGAGATCGTGGCCGTTACGATCTTGACCGTTGTGCTTGCTTAAAGGTCATTGCTGGTTTGCTGCGAGTTTTACTGTACTTCTTGCTCTGTCTGTACCTCTTACACAGTACATTGCTTTGAGACGCCTCAGAAGAAGTCAGTCTGTTCCTCTTACACATCACATTGCTCACGTCAGAAAGATTCTGCTCCCCCGCCCCACCCCATCTTGCACTCCCCAGGCATCCAGGGCAAGATGAGGGACTACCAGCTGGCGGGACTCAATTGGATGATTCGGCTCTATGAGAATGGCATCAACGGGATTCTGGCCGATGAAATGGTGAGAAAATATGCAAACAAAACAGTGCAGAGAGTCAAGAAATTTGACTCCCGATAATTTTCTTGCCTGACAGCAGGAACAGAAGATTTTACACTTCTCAGAATGCATGTGATTGGAGGAGAGCGTGCTAGCCTTTGTTCGTTCCCCTTCCAGTCCGATGTCAGCCCTCCTATCATCTCCTTTGTCCCCTAACCTCCCCTCCTTCTCGCCAAACCTTACAGCCAATCCCCGCTTGGGCTTCCTTCACTAAGTTAATATTGGCATATCCGCCCCCCACACACACACAGTAGTGGCTTGTTGGCTCTTAAGCTGATCCCTTTCTTCCCCGTCCCACTCCTACTCCTCCCCCCAACCTTCATATCTCCCAGGGCCTAGGCAAGACCCTGCAGAGCATATCGCTGCTGGGGTACCTGCACGAGTTCAAGGGCATATCAGGGCCGCACATGGTGGTGGCACTCAACTACACTACCTATCGCAACCACTTACTTCCCTGTCCCCTTCCCCCTCTTCCTCTCCCTCCCACACCACAAACCCTTCACCTTTCCCAGGGCCTGGGCAAGACCCTGCAGAGCATATCGCTGCTGGGGTATCTGCACGAGTTCAAGGGCATATCAGGGCCGCACATGGTGGTGGCGCCCAAGTCCACACTGGGCAACTGGATCAAGGAGCTGCACCGCTTCTGCCCCTCCCTGCGCGCCTTCAAGTTCCACGGCAACCAGGAGGAGCGCACCCACCAGCGCACCAACCTGCTGCAGCCGGGGAAGTTTGACGTGGTGGTGACGAGCTATGAGATGGTGATCAAGGAGAAGTCGGCGTTCCGGCGGCTGTCATGGCGGTACATTATTATCGATGAAGCGCATCGGATTAAGAACGAGAATTCTATCCTTTCGAAGACCATGCGCCTCTTCTCCTCCAACTACCGCCTCCTCATCACCGGGACTCCCCTGCAGGTATGTTGTGGTTTGGGTTGGCTGCACCCCGGCCCCACCAGCGCACCAACCTGCTGCAGCCGGGGAAGTTTGACGTGGTGGTGACGAGCTATGAGATGGTGATCAAGGAGAAGTCAGCGTTCCGGCGGCTGTCGTGGGGGTACATTATCATCGATGAAGCGCATCGCATCAAGAACGAGAACTCCATCCTCTCCAAGACCATGCGGCTGTTCTCCTCGAATTACCGGTTACTCATCACCGGGACTCCACTTCAGGTATGCAGTAGGCTGCCCGGATTCCCCGTTGCCCTTCACCCCTTCCCCACTCCCCCCTTCCCCCCGGCCCAGCCCCCCGCCACCCACCATGCGCCTCTTCTCCTCAAAAGGAGGCCATGCACCTTATGTTATCATTGATGAGGCACATCAGATTAAGAACGAGAATTCCATTCTCTCCATGACCATGCGCCTGTTCTCATCCAACTACCGTCTCCTCATCACCGGGACACCCCTGCAGGTTTGCTGTCTATAGACCCTCACTCCCTCTTTCCCCTCCGCGCCCCCACCCCCCCCTCCCCGCTCCCCCCCACACCTTCCTTCCTCCCCCCACCCGCTCCCTCCCGCCACCACCCTTCCAACCTGCTGTAACCGGACAGGCATGCTGTAGGCTGGCTGTAAAGTGACTCCCCCACCCCGCCCTTCCCCACCTCTCCTCCTTTCTACTTCGCCCCTCCTCCTCCAGAGACCCTCTCATACACAACTCGGACCCTTTGTGCAATTTCTTTTTCTCTCGCTTCCCTCCCTACCCTGCAGAACAACCTTCACGAGCTCTGGGCACTCCTGAACTTTCTTCTGCCCGAGATCTTCAGCTCAGCAGAGGCGTTTGACGAGTGGTTCCAGCTGTCAGACGGGGAGGACCAGCAGGAGGTGGTGCAGCAGCTGCACAAGGTGCTCCGCCCCTTCCTGCTCAGACGGCTCAAGTCAGACGTGGAGAGAGGGCTTCCTCCCAAGAAGGAGACGATTTTGAAGGTACTAGTGCGTGTGAACTGACTGACCTGTGAGTCGACTCAAAAGTCGGACGGGGCGGACCAGCAGGAGGTGGTGCAGCAGCTGCACAAGGTGCTGCGCCCCTTCCTGCTCCGGCGCCTCAAATCGGACGTCGAGAGAGGTCTTCCTCCCAAGAAAGAGACCATTCTGAAGGTAATACTATGTGGGAACTGATCTGTGAGTCGACTCAAAAGTGGGACGGGGAGTACCAGCAGGAGGTGGTGCAGCAGCTGCACAAGGTGCTCCGCCCCTTCCTGCTGCGGCGGCTGAAATCGGACGCGGAGAGAGGACTCCCACCCAAGAAGGAGACGATCTTGAAGGTGGGCTTATATGTGAAGAATTGCTGATATGCATTTAGAGAGGAGGTGGTGCAGCAGCTGCACAAGGTGCTCCGCCCCTTCCTGCTGCGGCGGCTGAAATTGGACGTGGTGAGAGGGCTCCCACCCAAGAAGGAGACGATCTTGAAGGTACTGGTATTGCCTCGTGCAAAACACGGGGGGTGGATGTGCATTAGGTAGCATTAGAGAGTGCATTGGCGTTTGAGGCCGTCAAAAATCGGCTGTAGTGGAGAGAAGAGGCGTTTGACGAGTGGTTCCAGCCGTCGGACAAGGAGGACCATTCAGCCTCGCTAACAGCTTTCTCTCCCTGCCCTCTCTGCCATCAGGTGGGCATGAGTGAGGTGCAGTGCAGCGCAACTAGCACCGGGCGCTGCTTTTGAGACGTCTCAAAAGAGGTGCAGTGCAGCGCAACTAGCACCGGGCGCTGCTTTTGAGACGTCTCAAAAGAGGTGCAGTGCAGCGCAACTAGCACCGGGCGCTGCTTTTGAGACGTCTCAAAAGAGGTGCAGTGCAGCGCAACTAGCACCGGGCGCTGCTTTTGAGACGTCTCAAAAGAGGTGCAGTGCAGCGCAACTAGCACCGGGCGCTGCTGCAAAAGGACTTAGAAGTCTAGCCCTTACAGATTGGCCTTTTAACTTGTTTCTCTTCCTGCTCACTCTGCCTTCCACCTCCTTGCCCTCCTTGTGGTCAGGTGGGCATGAGTGAGGTGCAGCGCAACTACTACCGGGCGCTGCTGCAGAAGGATAGAGCTTTAGCCCTTTCCATTCGCCGTTCCAACCTGTTTCTCTCCTTTCTCACTCTGCCTTTCACCTCCCCACCGACTCTGACCTGGCCTCATGTGGGCACGAGTGAGGTGCAGCGCAACTACTACCGGGCGCTGCTGCAGAAGGACATAGTGCTCTAGTCCTTTCCCATCAGCCTCTCAAACTTGTTCCTCTCCCTACTCGCTCTGCTGCCTTCCACCTCCCCAACCCCTTGACTCTCTCTGCCATCAGGTGGGTATGAGTGAGGTGCAGCGCAACTACTACCGGGCGCTGCTGCAGAAGGACATAGAGGTGCTCAACAGCGGGGGGGAGAGGTCTCGCCTGCTCAACATTGCCATGCAGCTGCGCAAGTGCTGCAACCACCCCTACCTCTTCCAGGTACTGCAACTCCCATCCTCTTTTCTTTTGCGCCTTTTTCTCTCTCGCCCCCCCCCTTTTTATTTAACACTTACATTGGCGCCGGTTTTAGATCGAAAGTACCCAGGAAGATCTGGGTTGGCTCCAGAACCGCTTGAACTTCACCTTGGCAAATAGCACAGTATTCTGTGTTTTGAGAATTCTCAAAAACCAGCTCATAGCACAGCATTCTGTGCACTTCAGTGTCCTGTGCTTCCCATTCCCTCCACCTTCAAAGACCCTTCGCAGGGCGCTGAGCCCGGGTTTGGGTCGACTAAAAAATCTGGCTTTCTCCCTGCACGTCCTAATACCCTTCCAGGGAGCCGAGCCCGGCCCGCCCTTCATCACGGACGAGCATCTGATAGAAGCTTCCGGGAAGATGGTGCTGCTGGACCGCCTTCTCCCAAAGCTGAAGGCGCGGGACTCACGAGTGCTCATCTTCTCCCAGATGACACGCCTGCTGGACATCCTAGAAGACTACTGCATGTTCCGCGGGCACCAGTACTGCCGGATCGACGGCAACACGGGGGGTGACGAGAGGGAGGCGGCGATCGAGGAGTTTAATAAAGAAGGAAGTGAGACGTTCATCTTTCTGCTGTCTACTCGGGCGGGCGGGCTGGGGATTAACCTCGCGACGGCTGACATCGTGATTATCTACGACTCTGACTGGTGAGTCGAGAGCTGCTCCTCTGCTGGGTGTTTTTTAGAGAATTCTCAAAACGCCCTTTTCTTCAGTCACTCCCTTCTTCAGAAATTCCCAAGCAAAGATTCAGGCCATGCACAGAGCGAGCTCATCTCCCCACCTGCCATCTCCCCACGTGCCATCTCCCTACGTGCCATCTCCCCACGTGCCATCTCCCCACGTGCCATCTCCCTACGTGCCATCTCCCCACGTGCCATCTCCCCACGTGCCATCTCCCCATGTGCCATCTCCCCACATGCCATCTCCCCACATCCGACACTTTCTTGCCCTCGGCGTCGCAGGAACCCCCAAGCGGATCTGCAGGCCATGGACAGAGCGCATCGCATCGGGCAGAAGAAGGAAGTGCAGGTCTTCCGATTCTGCACTGAGGTGAGCTGTCTGTGCCCATCCCCCTTCCCTTCCATCACACGCGGTTTTCAGTCGACTCACAGAGCGCATCGCATCGGGCAGGCAGAAGAAGGAAGTGCAGGTCTTGCGATTCTGCACTGAGGTGGGCTTTCCTACCCATCCCTCCTGCTGGCCCAACTTCTCTCCTGCCCTCCATCCCTCTCACCCACTCCATCCCTCTCTCACCCACTCCCTCCCTCTCTCACCCACTCCCTCTTTCCCCCAGTCTGCTCTGAGATGAGCTCCCCGTGGTGATCCCTCTTGCCCCCCCAACTTCCCGTCCTCCTTCCCTCCCCGCCTCCCCCCCTCCCCTCCCTCTCCTCCGCTCCTCTCCTTTCCCCCCCCCCTGCATAACTTTCTGGTTCCATAGACGTGACAAAAGTGAATTTGATTTTTGAGTCGACTCTGGAGTCGATTTTTGAGTCGACTAAAAAATCTCCTCCACTCCTCTCCTTTCCTCTCCCCTCCTCTCCTTTCCCCTCCCCCTGCATAACTTTTCTGGTTCCATAGACGTGACAAAAGTAAATCTGCAACTCTGCACCACAGTTTTGCCACTTTGAGTCAACTCTCTTCCGCTGTCCTCCGCCCTCCTCCCCCCTTTTCCACCTGCCAGCACACGATAGAAGAGAAGCGCGCGTACAAGAAGCTGGCTCTGTTGTTTCGCAAGGGTTCATAACACTTCTCATACCCCTTTCCCTCCTTTCTGCATCCCCCTCCACCCACCCCCCCTCCAATACTCCGCGGCAGCACACGATAGAGGAGAAGGTGATAGAGCGCGCGTACAAGAAGCTGGCTCTGGACGCTCTGATCATCCAGCAGGGCAGGCTTGCAGAGCAGCGAGGTATGCCAATAAGGGCCATGTGTGTTGTGTTGTGTGGGCGTGTAGGTTGCAAGGAGTGCTGAGCCCGCATGAGCGTGTGGGCTGCCAGGTGTGATAGAGCGCGCGTACAAGAAGTTGGCTCTGGACGCTCTGATCATCCAGCAGGGCAGGCTGGCGGAGCAGCGAGGCATGCCGATAAGGGGGATGTTTGTTGAGTGAGCGGGTTGCAGGATGTGCTGAGCTGATCCCTTGTGGGCATTGGGTTCGCAAGGTGTGATTGAGCGAGCATACAAGAAGCTGGCTCTGCTCTGGATGCGCTCATCATTCAGCAGGAGCGAGCTGGCAGAGCAGCGAGGTACGCCGATAAGGGGGGTGTTTGTTGGGTGATCGGGTTGCAAGGTGTGCTGAGCCCGTGTGGGCGTTGGGGAACTTGGGGTTGCTAGGTGTGAGGGAGCGGGCGTACCAGAAGCTGGCTCTGGATGCGCTCATCATTCAGCAGGGCAGGCTGGCAGAGCAGCGAGGTATGTGGAGAAGGGGGGTGTGCAGGACGTGTGGAGAGAGAGAGGTGTGCGGATAAGGGGCTCGGGTGAAATATGAATTTTGAGTCGACTCAAGGTGACTTCTGAGTCGACGTGACTTTTGAGTCGACTCAGAAGGGGGTGTGCGGGACGTGTGGAGAGAGAGAGAGGTGTGCGGATAAGGGCCTCGGGTGAAATATGAATGAGCATGTGGGTTATTAGGTGAGTGAGATGCGGCCATATGGGTGTGTCTGAAGCGTTTTTCTTGACGTCCTAATGATCTGTTAACCACCAACTGTTCTCCTTTCCTCCCAGCTGTGAATAAGGAAAGGAAAAGTTCCTTCAATTGGTGCAGTTTGGAGGAAAGAAGGTCTTTACCTCTGCCAACACAAGCATCACCGCCTTTCCCTGTTCTCCCTCCACAACCCTCCCAGCTGTGAACAAGAACGAGTTCCTTCAATTGGTGCAGTTTGGAGCCAAGAAGGTCTTTACCTCTGCCAACACAAGTATCACCGATGTTGATTTGCTGCTGTTTCGCCTTCCCCTCCCCACATAGCCTCTTTTTCCATTTCGGCATTCCTCCCAGCTGTGAACAAGGACGAGCTGCTTCAAATGTTACGGTTCGGAGCCGAGAAAGTCTTCACATCCGCCAACACGACACGACCATCACTGATGCTGACTAGCGAACTTCCCTCCCTTCTCCTCCCCTCCACACCTCTCCCCAATTTCCCTCATCAACCCTCTCAGCTGTGAACAAGGTCGAGTTGCTGCAGACCGTGCGGTTCGGAGCCGAGAAGGCCTTCACATCCGCCAACACAACAACCACCACTCTCCCCCCTTTTCCTCCACGTCGCCCCTACTTGTGCTCCCCCTCCCAGCTGTGAACAAGGACGAGCTCCTTCAAATGGTGCGGTTCGGAGCAGAAAAAGTATTTACCTCCGCCAACACGACCATCACTGATGCTGACGTGGACAGGATCATCGCCAAGGGGGAGGAGGCGACCGCTGAGCTGGACGCCAAGATGAGAAAGTTCACGGAAGATGCAATAAAGTTCAAAATGGACGACACGGCGCTGTACAGTTTAGGCGAGGGCGAGAAGGAGGAGGAGAGGCCTGATCTCAAGAAGCTGGTCACTGAGAACTGGGTCGAGCCGTCACGGAGAGAGAGGAAGAAGAAGTGAGTGTAACTATGCTGGTAGTATCAGTTCAGCCTTTCTGTACTCCTATGCTGGTAGTATCAGAGCAGGTGTGTGCGGGTAAGGAGGAGGAGAGGCCGGACCCCAAGAAGCTGGTCACTGAGAACTGGGTCGAGCCGTCACCGAGAGAGAGGAAGAAGAAGTGAGTGTAACTATGCTGGTAGTATCAGTTCAGCCTTTCTGTACTCCTATGCTGGTAGTATCAGAGCAGGTGTGTGCGGGTAAGGAGGAGGAGAGGCCGGACCTCAAGAAGCTGGTCACTGAGAACTGGGTGGAGCCGTCAAGGAGAGAGCGAAAGAAGAAGTGAGTTCAGGATCTTTTTTGTTCTTCTGCGCTAGTATTCTCAGAGCATGCAAATCGGCTTGTTGTACCAACCGCTCAGTTGGTCCAACTGGACTAAATGGACCATCAAGCTAGTGGTCCAACCGGCTAGTTGGTCCAACCGATCGGCTGGTCAATAAGCCAGTTGGCTGTAGCAACCGATCAGTTGGTTCATCCAGCTTGTTGGACCAAGGAGGAGAAATCCGACCTCAAGAAGGTGTCACTGCGAACTGGGCCGAGCCGTCAAGGAGAGAACGGAAGAAAAAGTGAGTGCGCATGTGTGAATGTGTGTCCGGATGTGTGTGCGGTGTATGCATGCAAGTTGATTGGTACACCCTTCTTCCACCTTCGCCTCTTTCAACCACTCCCCACCCCCCCACCCGCACCATCCCCTCCTCCCGCCATCAGCTATTCTGAAGCAGAGTATTACCGCCAGGCCATGCGCATGGGCCCTCCCTCTCAGCCCAAGTCGAAGGAGGCCCGACTGCCAAAAATGCCCGTGCTGTGAGTCAATGGTTGGGCGAGAGAAAGAGGGGAGAGGAGTGAGGGAAGAGGGGAAAATGAGGGGGGAGAAATGGAAAAAGAGGCCCAGCTGGCCATGCTGCTGTGAGTCAGTGGGCAAAGAGAACAGGGGCAGGATGCTTGAAGCAGGAGAGGGGGGGATGGGAAGAGATGTCCTGAAACTCAACACTTGAAAAGCTTAATCTCGAACATTTCATAACAGCAGTCGCGCTGTTTGTCCTCTTTCACCCCTTTCACCACCATCCCCTTCCACCATCCCCTTCCACCATCCCCTTCCACCACCCCCTCCGACCTCCCTCTACCACCATGGCCACTCCCTCCTGGGCACAAGCTTTTCGAGAATCTTGAAATCTGCCCTTCACCGGTTCTACCCTTTCCTGCCACCGCCCGTCCTACCCCCCCGCTACCCACTCCCAGGCACGACTTGCAGTTCTTCAACACGGCTCGCCTCTCAGAGTCCTCTTAAGTCGACTGGAAACTCACCTCACACCACCCACCCCTCCCTCCCACCACCCCCGCCCCCACCCCTGCTACCCCCTCCCAGGCACGACTTCCAGTTCTTCAACACGGCTCGCCTTTCAGAGCTCTTTTGAGTCGACTCGCAAGTCACTTCCCACCCCTTCCACCGACCCTCCCACCCACTCCCGCCCCCGCCCTTGCACCCCTTCCTTCCACCACCCTGACACCCCCTCCCAGACACGACTTCCAGTTCTTCAACACGGCGCGCCTCTCGGAGCTCTTCGACAAGGAGGCCAAGGCCAAGCTGGTGAGTGACCGACGGTGATTATAGCGAGTTGGTTGGTGTGACTATAGTGCCTGTATTTGAGTGTGCTACATGGGGGGTTTGTCACTGGTGTGTCTCTCAGAGCTCTTTGACAAGGAGGCCAAGGCCAAGCTGGTGAGTTGTGTGATGAAAGGATGTTGTCAGTATAGGGTTTTGTTGTCACTGGTGTGTCTCTCAGACCTCTTCGACAAGCAGGCCAATGCTAAGCTGGTCTGTGAATGGGTGTTTGACTGTGATTGTAGCATGTTGTTATTATAGCACATTGTTGTGACGTAGTGGCTGTTGAGGCTGAGGTGCTTCTCAGAGCTCTTTGTCCATGAGGCTCGGTTCATGGGCGTGTGCTGGCAGAATTCAAGGCAGAAATGGAAAGCATGCTACAAGGTTTAGAAGAGGAGCAAGCATATTGTCTATGCTTGACTGACTCGCTCCTGCGCAAGATCTGTCGCGGGTCGTCCTGGTTCTCGGGCGTGTGCTGGCAGAAGTCAAGGCAGAAATGGAAAGCATACTACAAGGTTAAGTAGGAGCATGTATATTGGTTATTGCCCGATGACTGGCATATTGGCTATTGGCCGATGATTGGCATATTGACTGGCATCGGGCAATAGCCCATGTGCTTGCTCCTCTTCTTAACCTTGTAATATGCTTCAGATTTCTGTCTTGACTTCTCCCAACATACACCTTTGAACCGGGACGACCTGCAAGCGATCTTGCGGAGGAGCATGTTTTTCGGGTGACTAGGCTACTGTTATAGCGTGTTGTGATTATGTCATGTTGTTGTGAGTGACTATAGTGGTTGTAGGCCGGTGGAGGGAGTGTGATTGGGTCTGGACTCTGGAGTGCCTTAATTGAGATCTTCGACAACGACGGCAAGGTCAAGGTGGTCTCTCACTGTATGACCTGGCTGTCATCATAGGGTTGCTGTGACTATGGTGGCTGTAGGCGGGTGATGTAGAGTGACTTTTGAGAATTCTCAAAGTCACTCCAACATAGCTGTGACTATGGTGGCTGTAGGCGGGTGATGTAGAGGGAGTGTGATTGGTGTGCCTCTCGGAGCTCTTTGACAAGGAGACCAAGGCCAAGCTGGTGAGACAGTGGTTGACTTGACTGTCATTATAGCAGGTGTCCCACATAAGGGTGTGTGTCTTGTTTGTCTCTCGGAGCTCTTTGACAAGGAGACCAAGGCCAAGCTGGTCAGTGCTGCTGCCGCCACCGCCACTGCCGATGCCGCTGCTGAGATTGCCTCTCATGCACTTGTTTGTTTCTCGTATCCCTCCTCCTCCTCCCTCCTGGTGTGGTTGGCAGCAAGCCTTGGAGCGGCAGGCAGCAAAGAAAGAAGCCAAGGAAGGGGGCGAACCGTTTGAGGAGGAGGGTGAGTGGGTGTGGAGTGATGGAGAGGGATGTAGAGGGATGGAAGGACAGAGATGGAGATTGGGGGATGATGTGATGAGTACCGAATCTACATCTCTTATTGTTCTTTAGCCTTACAACAAGGTGTCTTACAACGAAATTCATACATGTGCTTCTCTGTGCGCCTGTGTGTCTGTGATGGTCTGGTCTGAATGCGCCCACGTCCGTCCATCCATGTCCCCCTTCCCTTGTACCAGACGAGGTGACTTTTGAGTCGACTCAAAAGTCTGGTGTGAATGTTCCCACGTCCGTCCATCCATGTCCCCCTTCCTTTTGTACGACTCAAAAGTCAACTCGCCTGTGTGTCTGTGATGGTCTGGTGTGAATGCGACCACGTCCATCATCCATGCCCCCCTTCCCTTGTACCAGACGAGCAACCAATTCTGACGCTAACAGACGAGGAGCAAGAGGAGAAACTGACTCTTCTTAATCAGGTCAGCAAGAGGAGAATCTGACCCTGATTAAATTAGAATAACTCCAACCAGTTGTGGTTGAAATTGAAAAAGCAACAAGGTTGTGATCGCTCTAGCATCTTTCGATCTATTTATGTCTCCCCCTTGCACTGACTCTCCTCTTCTCTCCCTTTTTCTCTCCTCCTTCAGGGCTTTAAGTCATGGACGCGCAAGGACTTCAACCAGTTCCTGCGGCTGTGTGAGAAGTACGGGCGAGCGGACGTGGCGAGCATTGCAGCCGAGATGGAGGGGAAAACGGAGGCAGAGGTTCGAGAGTATGCGGCAGTGTTCTGGGAGCGATGCACTGAGTTAAATGGTGAGTAAAGGCTTGCGGAAAGTCGAGTGATGTGCAGAGAATGAAATGGTGAGAAATGCTTGTGGATACATGGAGGGGAAGACAGAGGCGGAGGTTCGGGAGTATGCAGCAGTGTTCTGGGAGCGATGCACTGAGCTGAATGGTGAGAATTGCTGTAGAAAGGATCGGTTACTGGGGCACGATTCTGTACAAATTAGACTTTGATCCCCCAAGAACTGCCTGCCACTTCAATAATAGAAGCGGCTAATCAGCAAATTTCGCCGTTTTCCACCCTTTCTTTATTTTCCACCCTTTCCCCATTCCCGCCCCCTCTTTCTCTCGCGCGCACAGATTGGGACAAGATTCTGCGCAACATAGAGAAGGGCGAGGCGCGCATCGTGCGTCGGGAGGAGATAATGCAGTCGGTGCGGCGCAAGATGGAGCGGTACAGCAACCCCTGGGTGGAGCTGCGGATCCAGTACGGCACCAACAAGGGCAAATACTACACGGAGGAGAGCGACCGGTTTATGGTGCGTGTTCCTGTGGGTGGGGTGCGTGCGGAGGGTGTTGATGCATGATGGGTGACAGCCGATTGCCTTCTCATGGTGTCTGTGAGTCAAAGATGGGGTAGGCAGGCTCAAGTTTGTGGTGTGAGGGATGATAAGATGGGAGGAGATGATGCAGTCGGTGCGGCGCAAGATGGAGCGGTACAGCAACCCCTGGGTGGAGCTGCGCATCCAGTACGGCACCAACAAGGGCAAATACTACACGGAGGAGAGCGACCGCTTCATGGTGGGTGCTGAGGGGTGTAGTGTGGTATGGATGCTTGGTGTGTGGTCTAGTAAAGTTCATGGTGTGAGTGAGGGGGGTGCATCATTCATTCAGCTGCGCATCCAGTACGGCACCAACAAGGGCAAATACTACACCAAGGAGAGCGACCGCTTCATGGTGCGCACTGAGGGTGGATGGGAGTTTTGTTGTATAATGGGGAACTTTGGTGAGTGTTGAGGGTACGGCGGATTCTTAGTGCGTTTGGGGGAGGGGGTGGGTTGGTGCATTGCATTGCTACTGTTTCCATTGCACCTTGGTGGCTTTGCATTGCTCTCACTGTTACTCTTGCACCAGCTTACCTCTCTGGTGCACTGCTGCTTGTTGCGCCCCGTCATAGGGATTCTGGCTCCATTGTCTGTCTCCTGACACCAACCTGCGCCTTCTATTACCCATCCCCCATCTCCGTTCTCTTTTCATCTCTTGTTTTCATTCCCTCCCATTCTTAAATTGAGTCCGTCAGATCTGCATGATCCAACAGCTGGGATATGGCAACTGGGACGAGCTCCGGGCAGCAGTGCGTCAGTCCCACCTGTTCAAATTCGATTGGTTCCTGAAATCAAGGCAGCCGCCTGAGCTGGCGCGGCGGTGCGACACTCTCATCCGATTGGTGGAGAAGGAGAATCAGGAACTGGAGGAGAAGGAGCGGCAGGCGAAGCGGAACAAGAAGAACAGCGCCAAGGTAAAGCGACGGTTCTGTGTGAATTTTCCTTTCACATGGCTTTGTTTTGAGAGGTCTCGAAGGGGGACGAAAAGAGCAGCGGCAAGGTAACGCTGCGGTTCTCTTTCTCTCACTAAGCTCAAAGCATCAGCTTCTGTGCATCACTCATGCTGCTTTTGTTTTTGTTTTTCTTTGCCACTTCTTCCCTGACTTAACCACAGGCATCTGGAACAAGCAGAGGAGGAGGCCAGGCAGCAGCAGCAGCTGAAACTGTTGGCAGCGGAAGCAGGAAAAGAAAGCAGTCCACTCTTGAGGCCTTCGTGGTGAGATCCTATTCGTGTACCTCTTCACTTCGACCACATGTTCCTCTTTCTCCCTCCTGCACCTGTGCATGCGCTCTCTTAGTACGATCCCCCAGCCTTGTGTCGATGATCAGTTAATGTTCATCCTGTGCTTCGTGTGTGTTGCCAATCTTGCAGAAAAAAAGGTAGCATTGCAGAATGGAGCATTCGCTATGGTGGACTCAGGACTGCCATATGATTACCACTACAAGAATTGTCGTGATTCATGGTGGTAGAATGAGTTGTGCTGCTACAGCAGATTCTTTCCCCTTGACGTATTCGGTTGGAGCACCGAATGTGCTTCAGCACAAATTAGTGGCATCGCCTAGAAGTCGGTCCACTAGTGCCGAATCACACCCCCAAACACATTCAACTGTACAAGACTGACAACACAACACATGGCAGATTGAAAGATGCACAATGTGTACCCATGGCTGCATGGTCAGCAAGTTGGTAGCAGTGCAGCAGAACAAGCACTAGTGACTGCAACCCTCCACAAACAGTTAGTGAACTGGAGTAAGCTGGTACCAGTAACCAGCCCTGACAAGCCCATTAGCCATCGCCACAGAAGCATCCATTCTGAAAAGGTCTTCAGCGGAATCAAGCTCTTCAAGAACTCTGTTTGAGCATCTCAGTGGAACAAGCAAGTGGGGATTTGGGGTTTAGGGAGGGGAGCAGAGGAATGGCCAACTGAAACGGACGACTTGCACATGCCGACACATAATGGCCATGCCAGATTCCAAGAAAAATATAACAAATGCAAAAAAAAAGGAGGTGCAGCAAAGTAGTGCACCAGTTAAAGAATGTGGGGAAAAATCCTAGCCAGGCTGCCACGACTTTGGCAGCCCGGCGGCTAAGACGCCCCTTCCAGTCAAAAGTCAGGAAAGACAAACAACAGAGAATTGCTGTGCGCCAATCGCATCGCGAGGATGCGCCACGTATTTGACACGCCAGTGGCATGCCATACCTTGTCTCGTGGAATACCACGCTGCCCAGGTGCCTGGATGGGCTGGCGCTCGGCCTAAGGCGCTTTGAGACACATGCTTGCCATGCCAACCCAGTATAGACTGACTGGATTGAAAGACAAAGACTTGAGAGAATTGAATGCACGAAAGAATTGAATCCACGAAATAGCACCAGTGTCAACATCAAGTCCTCCCTCCCCTGCTCCCATCCATCCCATCCCTTTCCAACCCTCCTGCCCCATTCTGCACTGCACCACATCCCTCCCTCATCCTCACAAACCCTTTCTCTGATCCCACAAACCCCGCCAACCCCATCCCATATTCCTCACCTCAACCAGGTTAATCGGGCAGCGCAGTACCCCGCTCCAAATTATTCTTAATCTCCACCGTGTATTTCCCAAACGCGCGCTCAATCTTCCGGTTGAAGTGCTCATTCCGGTCGTTAATACTATCAATGTCCTTCTCATCATGGTGCCGTCTTCTTCGGCTGAACTCCTTGCGGCTCTTGGCTCTGTCTGTCAGCTCCGCCACCATTCTGTCAACGTTCTCCTCGGGAATCTCCGGAGCTTGCCCGTACTGCAGGCTCGCATCGTCGCGGTAAAAGTCAGGGTCTTTCTCCTTGGCCTTAAGGTAGTCTTCCTCTGTGTAGGGGATGTTGCCCGTGCGCTTCTCGTATGCGTTGTACAATGCCTGCTGGTTGAACGCTGGAAGGCAGGAGCGGCGGAGAATCCAGGAAAAAAAAGGAGATGAGGACAGGGGGGGAAGGGGGGGATGGAAAAAAAATCATAATCAGAACTAAAAAATTCAAAGAGTATGATAGGCCATGCTGACTCAGAAGCTACAGAAAGTCGTGGCAGGCAACACGTACCCATCATAAGCATTCCAACAAATCTCAATCTTTCCTTCATTCCACCTTTCCCCCAAAACACTTCTCATCCTTTCCCAATTACCACCTTCCTGTCTTCCCCCAACCTAACCCCCCACACATCCCCTGCACGCACCAACCCAGCCAAACTGCGCTTCTTGCTTCTCCCACTTCTTATACTTGCTCCCCGCCGCCTCCTGCCTCTCCAGCATGTACGCCTAGCCCTCCTTTTCCCCCACCCCCTCCCCCAAACTCCCCCCCTCCCCTCCCCCCTTTCCCGTTCCTATCACGCACCATCCCAGCCAAACGGCGCTTCTTTCTTCTCCCACTTCTTGTATTTGCTCTCCGCGGCCTCCTGCGTCTCCAGCATGTACGCCTTGGTGATATCCAGCCCTCCCTTCTCCCATACCTTTTTCCCAAGACCCCCCCCTTCCCCCCCTTTCCCCCACCCACGTGAACGCCGCCCCTCGCCCCCCCTCCCCCCACCCACACCCCCGTCCCTAACACTCACCATCCCAGCCAAACGGCGCTTCTTTCTTCTCCCACTTCTTGTATTTGCTCTCCGCGGCCTCCTGCGTCTCCAGCATGTACGCCTTGGTGATATCCAGCCCGGCCGCGTCCAGCTGTTTGCTCATCTTGCGCTTCTTCTCCTCGAACCACGCCGCCTTGCTCACTCCGCGCGACTCCTCCTCCTCCGGCTTCTCTTCTCGCCGCTTCTCCGCCACCACCGCCGTCTGATTCGCCTTCCGCGCCTGGTTCTGCGGGGGGAGAAGGGGGAAAAGGGGGAAGGGGGACCGGAGGCCCGCGGGGGCGCGGGGATGCAGGGAAGGAGAGGGGTGGGGGAGGCAAGGGAAAGGAGGTTAAGACATGACGGGGAAACACCTTGGTGATATGCAGCCCGGCCGCGTCGAGCTGTTTGCTCATCTTGCGCTTCTTCTCCTCGAACCACGCCGCCTTGCTCACTCCGCGCGACTCCTCCTCCGGCTTCTCTTCTCGCCGCTTCTCCGCCACCACCGCCGTCTGATTCGCCAGCCGCGCTTGGTTCTGCAGAGGAGGGGGGAAGGAGAAATGGGTTACGGCAGGAGGGGGGGCGAGGGTGGCAGGGCCGGGAAAAAATGGGGGGGTGGGGAAATAAGGGCGGGATTAAGGGGGTAGGAGAGGGGGGGAAAGAGGGAGGGGAGGGCGAAGGGGAAGGAGGGAGGGGGGAGGGGAGCGGGAAGAGACAAATGGTTCAGAAAGATAATGAAGGCCTCGCTTGAGTCGTACAGTCGTATCGTCTCAAGTATTCAACCAAACACTCCAATACTGCTCCAGTCGAGCTTACTAGCTTGAAAACCATACCAGCCGGGGCTAACGTAGCAGCTTTGGAGTCGACTCAAAAGTCACCTCTGCTCCAGTCGAGCTTACTAGCCTGGAAATCATACCAGCCGGGGCGAACGTAGCAGCTTCAGCAAACGTACCAGCTTGAGGCGAATTTCGAAGAGCTTCTTTTGCCGGGCGTCCATCCCTTCATAGCTCGGCACATCCACCACGTCCGCCTGTCCGTCATTCTCAGCCGTCCGATCTGGCGAATCTCGACGCTGAGCTTGTCGGCCTCGGGATTGCCGAGTGCTCTGCGCTGCGACCACGGATAGGTCCTCCTCTCCCGGCCCGACTGCCGCTTTCCGTGCGTCAATGACAACCTCGTCGTACTTCCGTTTGACTTTCTCTTGTCTGCCGAAGGAGGTAGGGAGCTGCGACGGTGCTGAGTGACGACAAACAGAATCGCAGAATCACAGAGAAACAGTCACAAATCAAGTACGCATCAACAGAACCAATCACCACAAGGTTTCGACGAAAGAACAACCTTGTGAATCGACGCGAGAAAATATATAACTAAAATTAGAAAAGCACGCAGCATCAACAAGTCGTACCCTCGCTTTAGTAATAGCAGAACAGAGGCACAGTAATCAACGAGTCGTACCCTCGCCTTTCGCAGGTGCTGTCGCTACAGGCCTGCCTTTCCGCTCGGCGATTTTTCGAAAGCAGTAGTCCGTGCACTCGTGGTAGGGGTTGCTCGCGTTTATGCAATCGGGATGCACGTGCTGCACCATTGTACTCGATTCACGGCGACGACAAACACGCGAGGACTAACAGGCACAACCCGCAGAAAATCGCATGAAGCTGGTTACGCACTAAGGGTCCAAATTACCGCGAACCTTCGACGATTAGGGAAAACTACTGCATCCGTCAAGAGTTCTAGTCAAAGACGGAAACCTTCTGAGACTGTAAGGGTTTCAAAAGTCGAATAAACGAGATCCAAGTTAGAAGAACCACCAACCTAGTAACATCCCTCCAGCATCCCAAGTAGGGACCAAAGAGGAGAATCAAAGATTCAAGCCAGCCAGAAATAAAGGGACTCTACCTCGTGAAATCCCTTTAGGTTTACACCGAAACGCATAGAACCGATGAGAACCGCAGATTACAGCATTTCCCAGTATCCCTGGGGAGAGGCTTGGGGATGGTATGGGAATGAGAAGCGCTCCGAGGGTTGCCTTGGGTGGTGTCTTGTGTGGACGAGAAAGAACGGGAGTGGGTTGGTTTGGTTGTTCGGTAAACACAACCTCGATTGTACCAGAACGCAATTCTTGTGTGTTACGATCTAACTCACTGAAAGTTCTGCTGGCTTGACATATTTACTTGCTCAAGAATGGCCTTTAATACATGTACAGTTTCCATGAAGTCCAATGAATGGGTACCTTATTAAAACGACAAGAAATCAACGGCTTATTCAAACATCCCCATTGTGATTTTTACATCAGCACTCTCACTTCTGTGTTGGCAATGCCTGCTGTGCTGCTGTGAGCTGCTGAAGCATCTGTGGATTCGGCTGGTAGTGCTTCACACCAGGTTGCACACTGTACTGCTGCTGCTGTCCCGCCACCTGTCCACCAACGGTTGGTTGTTGCTGCTGCTGATACTGACCCATGCCTTGCATCTGCACTTGTGGTTGCGGTTGTGACTGTATCGAAGCCTGCATTTGCCCTTGTGCAAAACCCTGCATCACTCCCATACCCTGCTGCTGGCCCATCTGAAAGCTCATTTGTTGGCTCGTCTGCTGGCTCATTTGCTGGCCTCCTAATTGGCCCATTGGCCCCACAGCACCCTGCATCTGCACGGGCTGAGGCAGTCTTTGAGAAGGTAGGGGGGCTTGAGGGGCTTGGCGTTGGGGTGCTGGTTGCGCCACCCCACTGCCTTGCTGCTGCACCTGCCCCTGCACCTTCAGCCCTTGCATCTGCTGCTGCACCTGCTGCAACTGCTGCTGCCCTTGAATTTGCTGGTACACTTGCTGCTGCTGTGGCAACGGCACCTGCCCCTGCTGCTGCTGCCCTTGCTGACCTTGTCCCTGCTGCCGCCCCTGCTGCTGTGGTTGCTGCTGTGGCGTCCCCTGCTGGCCCTGCCCTGCTTTCGCCCCTCGGCGCATGGGCGGTTGAGCCAGCACCACATTCCTGCCTCTCGACAGACCAGCAGTCGGCATCTGCAGCACCATCCCAGCCACCGGCACTTGCGGTGCTGCCCTCTGCGGCTCACCTTGCCCTGCCGCCCCCGCTACTGCTGCTTGGCCTTGCTGCCCCTGCCCCTGCCCCTGGCCCTGCACCTGCTGAGATTGCTGTCTCTGCTGCACTTGTGCATTCTGAGACCCAGCTACCCTCCCCTGCTGCTGCTGCTGCTGCTTCTGCCCCCCTTGCCCTGTCCCCTGCCCAGCTCCCGGCCCTGGCCTCACCCCTTGCCCTCCCTGCGCACCCCCCTGGTTCGGGTGCAGATGCGGCGGCAACCGAGGCTGCTGCGGAGGCTGGGCAGGCTGGGGCGGCAGCAGCTGCTTCAGGTCCGTCCACTTAGGATCCCCCACCAGAAGCTGACAAAACGGATGCTCCAGCAACTCAGCCGCACTCTTCCTCTTTTTCGGCTCCTTCTGCAGACAGCATCTAATAAAATCCTGAAACTCAGGCGAGCAGCTGCCCGGAGCCTCGGGCGGCTCGTTGAAAACAATCGCGCCGAAAAGTGTCATCCAATCGGCCGACTGCCCGGCCTGCACGTACGGGAACCGGCCAATCACGAGCTCGAGGAGCGAGAGGCCCATGGACCAGACGTCTGAGAGGTAGCCGTCGTAGCCCTCGCCTGGCGGCGGGTTGATGCGCTCCGGGGAGAGGTAGGCGGAGGTGCCCACATACGAGTTGCACTGGGCTAGCGTGGACGCTAGCTCCTTGCTCACCCCGAAATCAGCAATCTTCACCTGCGATAGAGGGGGAGGAATAACGGAAGCAGAGGAGAAAGGGTCAATCACGAACAGGAGGAGTGAGAGGAGAGAGGAGAGCTCGAGGAGCGAGAGGCCCATGGACCAGACGTCTGAGAGGTAGCCGTTGTAGCCTTCGCCTGGCGGCGGGTTGATGCGCTCGGGGGAGAGGTAGGCGGAGGTGTCCACATATGAGTTGCACTGGGCTAGAGTGGACGCTAACTCCTTGCTCACCCCGAAATCAGCAATCTTCACCTGCGATAGAGGGGGAGGAATAACGGGAAGCAGAGGAGAAAGGGTCAATCACGAACAGGAGGAGTGAGAGGAGAGAGGAGAGCTCGAGGAGCGAGAGGCCCATGGACCAGACGTCTGAGAGGTAGCCGTCGTAGCCTTCGCCTGGCGGCGGGTTGGTGCGCTCGGGGGAGAGGTAGGCGGAGGTGCCCACATACGAGTTGCACTGGGCGAGGGTAGATGCTAACTCCTTGCTCACCCCGAAATCAGCGATTTTCACCTGCGAGAGGCCGGAAATCCAGGGGGGGCGCAGGGTTTGGGGAGGGAGGAGGGGGAAAAGGGAGGAGTGGGAAAAGGGAGGAGGAGGAGTCAATCACAAGCTCGGGAAGATTGAGGACGGAGAGGAGGATGATTAGAGCTCCAGGAGAGAGAGGCCCATGAACCAGACGTCTGAGAGGTAACCGTCGTAGCCCTCGCCTGGCAGAGGGTTGTTTCGCTCAATGGTTGCCCGCCCTGCACGTACGGGAAGTGGAGGAGAAGAATATAACCACGAGGATGGAGAGGAGATTGAGAAGGTAGCGGTGGTGGGAAAGGAGGGAGGGAGAGAGGAGGGAAAGAAAAAAAGAAACCAGCAATCCTTACTTTAGGACACATGAAAAGAGGAGGGTTTGGAAATGAGGGAGAGAGGGGAAAAAAGCGTTGACTGGCGTTGACCTGCGTTGACTGACGTTGACTGGCGGGGCTGACTGACCTGGCCTTGCCGGTTGAAGAGCAGGTTGGAGGGCTTGATGTCACGATGCACCACGTGCTGCCGGTGCAGGTACAGCAGCCCCTGCAGGCACTGCTTTACTGGCGTTGACTGGCGTTGACCTGGGTTGACTGGCGTTGACTGACTGACCTGGCCCTGGCGGTTGAAGAGCAGGTTGGAGGGCTTGATGTCTCGATGCACCACGTGCTGCCGGTGCAGGTACAGCAGCCCCTGCAGGCACTGCCGCATCACCTCCGCCCCTCACTCACTCACTTCTTGACTGGCGTTGACCTGCGTTGACTGGCGTTGACCAGCAAGACTGACTGACCTGGCCCTGGCGGTTGAAGAGCAGGTTGGAGGGCTTGATGTCGCGGTGAACCACGTGCTGCCGGTGCAGGTACAGCAGCCCCTGCAGGCACTGCCGTGTCACCTCCGGCATAAACGACTCCGGAATCTTGCCCTGCTTTCGGGCAGAAACATGGAAAAGAAGAAGAAGAAAAACACGAGGTGAACGAAAAGGCGTGCATAGTTATGGCACAGGCTTTATAACACACTCTTGAGTACTTTAGAAATTTCGGCAGGGCGAACATGCACTTTATTTCGGATACTTGTAGAGTGTTTATGCGCATCACAGGCACATTTATTTGCACGGCGCACACTATTCCAGTGACAAAGACACTCTGTTTTCTATACGAGCTATGGCTAACCCAGCGATCAAGGGAATGGAAAATCTTGGCCTTAATCTCATCGGGGAAATTCTCATCTCATCTATTTCCTTTCAAACTTCCCTTCATTTGACTCACCCTCTTCTTAGTCACATCCGCCAGAGTGCCACCATCCATGAGCTCCAGGACGAATGAGATCTCCCCCAGGTGGTCAAAGATGCCGTAACACTCCACCACCTGGCGAGATGGAAAGAAGGGGGGAAGGTACACAGCAGCGCAATGAGGTTATGGACAGGGCATGCAAAGGTGGATGAAAAATGTCGCAGCTTTCCAGGACCTGAGAGGCGTTTTTTTCTTTTAAACGACCTGACGTCATGGAGACGCATGCCATGACGACGTGGGCTCGTGCGAATGATTTTTTTGTCGACTAAAAAAAATGACAGAATCGAGAAGCACGTTATGACAACGTGGGGCCCCCATAGAGACGCGGATGAAAAGACATGGCATGGGAGTATGGGATTGAGGGTGATGCCAATGACGGTGCATACAATACCAAGATGTTGTTTAAGGGCGGATTCGATCGCAGCAAGCCAACTGAGGTCTCTCGTGTCTAGATCTAAATGGATCTAACCAGATTCAACTAGGAGAGAAGAAAGCGAGTAGAAGAAAGACTTAGTAAGTCAATCGGTAAGACAAAACATCGCCTGGGATGTGCGTGCGTACGCGTTTCGGCAAAAAAGCCTTCATCAGCGCAGTGACAAGGCATGGGAGTATGGATGGGAGTATGGGAGTATGGGATTGAGGGTGATGCCAATGACGGTGCATACAATACCAAGATGTCTGAATGCGATGTGTGGGTTATGAATGTGATCACATGACAGCAAAATCATGCCCAACTGTTAGAAAAGCTAGGTGGTGGAGCATCGGTGCTACTACCAGCACTTACATGCTGAAATGGCTACAGGAGACAACGTACTACTCAATCACACATCCTAGCGTTGTCAGGCATAGGATTGTGCAGTGAACTCGCAAATTAGAATTTCAATGTGAGAGACATTCAGCAATCAAGCACGCCATGATTCAAGAAATAGCCATCACCTCCCCTCCTCCTCCCACGCCACCCTCCCCTCCCCATGCCCCAATGAATGATCTGCTCACATGGTCGGATCGTGCGCGCCGTGGGATCTGCATCTCCTGGATGATCTGCTTTCGCACTCCACATGCAACCCAAGGTTGCTATCCTTGGTTGCTACATCATCGCACTTTATCCTGGCAACTTCAACCAAACCCAAACAGCAGTCAGCACACTCACATGGTCGGATCGTGCGCGCCGTAGGATCTGCATCTCCTGGATGATCTGCTTCCGCACTTCCGCACCTCCCCATGCAGCCCTTGGTTGCTACATCATCTCACCTTCACGCACCTTCAACCCAACCCTGGAAGCAGCCAGCGCACTCACATGGTCGGATCGTGCTCGCCGTAGGATCTGCATCTCCTGGATGATCTGCTTCCGCACCTCCTCGTCGTACTTCTCCTGAATCACCTTCAGCGCGTATTCCTGTCATCCATTACAGCCAACAAAGCCAAAAATACAAACACAATTAATGACCTGTTTCATAGTTTGTCTGCTCGCTCGACTCCCATGATTCGCCATAGGATCAGCGTTGTCTGTTCGCTCGACTCCCATGATTCGCCATAGGATCAGCGTTGTCTGTTTGCTCGACTCACATGATTCGCCATAGGATCAGCGTTGTCTGTTTGCTCGACTCACATGATTCGCCGTAGGATCAGCGTCTCAGGCGTGAGTGAAACGGGGAATGAATCAGAAAAAAACGGAAAGACCTTATCTTGAAAACAAATATTAATCACCTTGCCGGTTTTCTTATGCCGAACGCGGTACACGCGACCCCCGCTTCCAAACCCTAACGGCGGCAAAATCCTCTCCAGATCTTCCAGAGCCACATCTTCCCGCGGCGTGAACACCATCATCGGCGCTTTCACAGCGTTTCCCGCTCCCGCGACGCCCAACGCGGTTCCACCAGCAGCACCAGAACCAGTTCCCGATGCGCCGCCTGCTCCGCTGCCTGCTCCGCCGTTAATTGCGGCGACGGGGAGGGGTTGGACGCTGGTGGGTGCGCCTTTCGCGGCGGCTGCTGCTGCGGCGGCTGCGCCGGCTGGAGGCATGGGGAGGGCTTGCGGAACGGGGAGAGGCAGAGGCTGGGGTCGAGCCGCGTTGGCGGTCCGAGATGGCACGCCGATTCGGAGACCGAGTCCTCGGCCCCTTCCTCCTCGTGTGGCCATGATGGTAAAAAAAATGGATTTACGGAAAGAAGATAAATACCGGCGCTACTGGAGTGTGTTCAGTAAAGCGTGGTCTGTGGAGCGTTGTACGATGGAGCGGTGTTCGGGGGAGCGGTGTACGGCGGAGTGGTGTTATGTGGGGTGGAAATCAATGTTGGATGCGACTGGAGCTATGCGAAGGATAGAAGGAAGAGGGGATTGTTACTGACGCGCCTCGTAGAGTATATAACTGAAATGAGTCAGTGCAACGTGATCGCGCGGGGTGGAAGAGGAATGGAGTCGGGAGCAGGAAATAACAAGGCAGGATCACTTCGTGCTTCACGCGACGGATGGGCGGGAAAAAGGGAATCTCGCAGTCGAAAGTCGGATATTGTTCGCTAGCACAGACTAAACTCGAGTTGATATGGCCGAATGAGCTCAGAAACTAGGCGAACGCTGGCTGCAGAAACCTCGTCGGAAATTAGTTCGACTAACAGCAGCAACGGGGAGTAATATGCACAAATGCTAAGAGGCCAGACCTGAATATGCGTGGAAAACACACACACAACCGTCCCTACTATGAAGTCCACGACTCTTTCAACAAGGCTTGTCATTTGATATATTCTCAAGGTCCCCTAGATGTAATGTATTCCTTCCTCCACCCTAAGATCGTGTCCGTAGTTTTGACATGTCACGTTTATGCGTGTCAACTCGAATCGCTCTCTGTTTTGCGTGTCAAACACTGTAGCTGCAGTGTCAAATCGAGTCGCGAGCACGAAAATTTGTGACGCACTCTCATTGGTTGGACACGAAGTTTCAAGAATCAAGACAGGCAGCTGCTCAGGTGGTGTGGCGTGATGGAGCTTTCTGGGTGATGAAAAACCTGCCCGTTGTGCGAATAGTGGAGACGGCACGAGTTGTACATGTACACGTATCAACATCTTTTGCGGTACAGTATTCTGAGTACATACGGATTCGTTTTGTAAGTGGGGATAACATAACAAAGGTGAGCGGTTTATTGCATTATCATTATGTCTGGTTTGGAGATGTGCGATTGGGCAAATGGCCCACTGGCACCGTTACCACCAGGGGTCTTGATTCGTTTTGGGCCACCCTGTCAAATCAGAGTTTCAGGTCTAAGTCACACTGCCACTGCAGTGTTGCTGCCGCGTCGTACCCTAGAAATGGCAAGGTGCTGAAAATTTTTGGGTCTGGTATGGCAGGGTGAAAATCTAAACTAGGCTGCAGCAGTCCAATCTGTGTGAGTGTCTCTCTGGAAAGCCAGTTTTCGAGCACATCCGATGCTTGTTCTGGTGTGAGTATGAGTGTCTCCCGGCAAGGACTTAGCCAGTTCTCAAATGGCTGAGGGAAAAAAAACTCAGCCAGAGTGCTGCCCCTACCAAACTCGGCCAAGGCACTGTACTACAAGAACCAGCAACTGCAAAACAGGGTCAAAATTTCACGAGGCCTGATCGTGATAGGGTGGTAACCTTTGAAACCTGTATTTACAGTGCGGTTTTCAAACAAAACTCTGAAAAAACAAACTAATCAGGATAAAACGCCCTGCAATCCTGAGGCCTGGTTACCACGCCCTTCAGGCCCCCACTCCCGTTTCGCGTCATAACCGAAAGGCAATTTTCGCGGATTCCCTTCCATCCCTGCCCAGAAAGCTTTGCCTCGCCACCAACCTTAAACACACAAGGCAGAACAACCCCCCCTACCGCACACGGACTGGCAAATCAGTTCTGCAACTAAACCAAGCATCCAGCTCTACTGTAGTGGTGGCGGGCGTGCTGTTGCAATTCTGGTGGCTTGGACGAACCCGGGGAAGATAATGTGAGTGGATGCCCTTGTCGTTTTGTATCGGGAAAGTGTTGCACGCTAATACGCTCTACAAAGAGCAGCATTACAATACAAGCTGAGTACAGCTCCAATGACGCTGTGCTGTGTATCTGTTTTAATTGCTGCTGCATAGATAACCATACCATGGAATTTCAGGTATTATTTAATTTTACATATCATATTCTTTTTGTAGTTCTGTTATTAAATGACTACGCTTTGCATGAAAGTTGATTGAGAAAGGAAATGAAGAAAGAAAGGGAGAAGGAAAGTGAAACTGCTAAAAAGAACCTAAATGCAACACGCATAAAACCCCCCCTCCAAATACCCAATCAAAATGCCCGGTCGAGACACCCCATTAAGACATCCCATCCCACACCCCATGAGCCTCGCCTTCCACATTGACATCGCCCTTCTCCCGGTCCACCAAATCTACGTTAAAGCCAGCAGCTAAAATAGTGACCCCCCCCCCCCCCCCCCCCCCCCCCCCTCCCCCCCCCCCACCTTCTAGTTGGGTCCACGTGAAAACAGAAGTTTTTTTGGAACGCTTCGTAAAGTTGGAAGTGCTGTGCTTTTATATTTTTTCAATAGAGACGAGTCTCAGTGTGAACAAGAACATTTGGAGCAGGTGTACAATTCTGATTGGAAGCGAAACTCACATACAACTTACACATGCTTGTATGCAGTTTTGGCGCAAGGCTGCAATGCTTGTATGCACCCTGAGCAGTGATCGTAACTTCACCAAAACATCACATTGAGAAAGCTTGCTTTCTTGTCCTTATAATTTGGCATCGTTCTCATTGCAACTGGGCAGTCGGGCATTTGCTTCCAGTCATGCGATGGGCGAAGCTGACTGCCGAGCACGTGAGCTGCACTACAGACAAAGTTGCTTTGCGTTGGATTGCATGCACCAAGTATAGCGCGAGGGTCATGTCGGATGCGGGAAGAAATGGAAGATCCACCTTTGTGCAGAAGGCCCGAAACTTGGCCCAGTACGGTTCGTATGTACGGATTGTCGAATTCGCTCGCGATTGTGTGAGCATGTTGATGAGTTGGTTGTGTAGCTTTGGGAGCGGATCTGGACACAAGGCGCGTACATTCTCAATTAGTAAAAAACCACCCGAAGTGCGATGATTGGGCTGTGTGGTAATCCAGTGCCTGAAAAAGCAGCGGAATGTGTTCCAGCTGCCAGGCATTGGCTGCCGTGTGTCAAGGGAATGTGCGCGTGGATGTACGGTGCCCAGTTGCGTGGGGAAGGTTGTAAAAGTGGCCACCAGTTTGCACCCGGCCAGTGTGGGATGATCAATGTGAGCGATGCACGGGTGCGCTGTGCGTGATGGAGGACGGCCGGAACTAAATGGGGCGGGGGGAACGCAAAGCTATTTTCTGATGTCCATGCGAGCGAGAATGCATCGACTGCGGTGGCTTGTGGATGAGGAATTTTCGTGCAGAAGCGTGGCAGCTGGGAGTTGCGGGAGTTTGCAAAGAGGTCGATGGAATGGGGACCCCAACGCCGTTCTAAGATGCGGAACCACGGCGTCTTCAACGAGTAGTCGTCATGATCGACTGCTTTTGAGAGCTCATCGGCGTGTGAGTTTAGCTCCCGTGGGATCCATTCGATGATTAGACGCGTGCCGTGCTCCATGCATAGTCGAATGATGTCTTGGCAGGCCGTGGTAAGGTCGGGGCTGCGCGAGCCACCTTTGCGAAGGATGAAGAAGACGCCCTGATTGTCCACCCGCACAAGAACATGTTTGTGCGTGATCTTGCTGGAGTATGTTTGGAGTGCCCAAAGCACACCTTCGATCTCCCTCCGTGTGCTGGACGTCGCTCGCAGCGGCTCTGGCATTGTTGCGCTAGCTTCTTCGAGGGCGCCAGGAAATGTGGTCAAAGTGGCGCCCCAACTGTGAGCGCTAGCATCCACATGGATGACAGCGTCGTAGCTGTTTCGAACGTGAAACGGTGCACCGTTGAACCTATCAAACTCTTCGAGCCAGAAGTTTAGCTCCTCAGCCGCGTTTGGGGGGATGATCACGCTGCTTTTCCATGAAGGTGCGTCATTGATCACTTGTAGCATGGCGTGGCTGAAAGCACGAGCTGTTGCGCCCAGCGCGACGCCCATTGACGCGAGCATGCCTGTGATTCTGGCCACTTGGCGGACTGAGACGGGTCGACATGCCTTGCTTGCGCTCAACAGGTTCCGAATGGTTGCATGTAGTGAGGCTCGTCGTTCGGGACCGATGGTAAATCGGCCCGTGGCCGTGTCTAGCTCCACACCCAAGAATCGAAGGTGTTGCGATGGTGACAGCTGTGATTTCTTCGCATTTATCACCAAACCTGCTGCTTTAAGGTCCAGTATTACACGGTGGCAAGTAGCCTGCGCGTGAGCTTTTGACTGGCAAAGGAATAAGATGTCGTCCACGTATGGAACTACTCGGATGCCTTGCTCCCGCCAGCGACGGGCTAGCTGCTTGATGAGTTGCGTGAAGATGAATGGGGCTGTCGCAAGACCGAACGGCAATGAACGAAAGGAGTAAGTGCGCCCATCGAATCCAAAACCGAGAAACTTCCAGCATGAAGGATGGATATCGATGTGATGGTACCCGGATTTGAGATCAATAGAAAACATCCAATCCCCAGCGCGTGCCACGTCTGCCACACGGCTGAGTCCTTCGTACTTGAATTTTGGGACGATGAGGTTTGTGTTGACTTTTCTCAGGTCGAGGATGAGCCTGCATTTTTCTTTCTGCTCGACCACGTTAAGTGGGCTTATGCACGTAAGCTCGCTTGCGGCTGTCTCGACTGCAGCTCCGGTCTCTGTGAGTTCTTGGATGGCAGTACGAGTGAACGACGCATGCGCGTATGCACCAGCGTGGTTACGCTCCCGAAAGGCCTGTGGTGGGCCGTGGCTCCATGGAAGCCAGTAACCGTTGGCGATGATGGATAGGACGAGGCTGCAAGGGCACCATGAGCTCCACCACGCAAAGGTCGAGCGAAGCCGACCGCACATCCGTGTGACGGTTTTGTCCGTGACGGCGAATTCGTACGGGCCATCGTCGCGAGGC